AGGAAAACAGAAATAATAAATTTATTACAGTAACGTTATTTAAATACAATAAAATGTACACTTAGTAGCAGTATTTAATATTTTTTCCCGATCTAAGTTTATTTCATAAATATATTACAAAATGTTTTACAAATAATGCAATATAGAATTACAAACCTTTCTACAATACAAAGTTAGGTCAAAGATAAAAAAAAAATAGGTCACATAATGACACTTTTCAGATGAGTTCTCAGTATTGATATGGTAGAATTTTCACTTGCATTTGTCACAACAATGATAAAAAGGTCAAAGTCCGTGTATAGGTCACCAAAGGTCATTGGTCATCAAGTAAGTGATCAATATCAATCAACAGTAAGGTCAGGTGTCGAGTAATTGATCAATAAGTGATCAATAAAAAGTCACTCTCTATAGGCCACGAGTCAATAAGTGATCGATAATAGTCACTTTCTATAGGTCACGTGTCAATAAGTGATCAATAATAATCAATGTCTGTAGGTCACGTGTCAATAAGTGATCAATAATAATCACTGTCTGTAGGTCACGTGCCAATAAGTGATCAATAATAATCACTCTCTGCAGGTAAGGAGTCAATACGTGAACAATAATAATCACTCTCTGTAGGTCACGTGTCAATAAGTGATCGATAATAATCACTCTCTGTAGGTCACGAGTCAATAAGTGATCAATAATAATCACTGTCTGTAGGTCACGTGTCAATAAGTGATCAATAATAATCACTCTGTAGGTCTGGAGTCAATAACTGATCAATAATAATCACTGTCTGTAGGTCACGTGTCATTAAGTGATCGATAATAATCACTCTCTGTAGGTCACGAGTCAATAAGTGATCAATAATAATCACTGTCTGTAGGTCACGTGTCAATAAGTAATCAATAATAATCACTCTCTGTAGGTCACGTGTCGAGTAAGTGATCAATAATAATCGCCCTCTGTAGGTCACGTTTTAAGTAAGTGATCAATAATAATCACGGTTTGTAGGTCACGAGTCAATAAGTGATCAATAATAATCACTCTCTGTAGGTCACGTGTCGAGTAAGTGATCAATAATAATCACTCTCTATAAGTCACGTGTCAATAAGTGATCAATAATAATCACTGTCTGTAGGTCACGAGTCAATAAGTGATCAAAAATAATCACTGTCTGTAGGTCACGTGTCGAGTAAGTGATCAATAATAATCACTCTCTGTTGGTCACATGTCAATAAGTGATCAATAATAATCGCCCTCTGTAGGTCACGAGTCAATAAGTGATCAATATTAATCATTCTCTGTTGGTCACGTGTCAATAAGTGATCAATAATAATCGCCCTTTGTAGGTCACGTGTCAATAAGTGATTGATAATAAACACTCTCTGTAGGTCACGAGTCAATAAGTGATCGATAATAATCACTCTCTTTAGGTACGTGTCGAGTAAGTGATCAATAATAATCACTCTCTATAGGTCACGTGTCAATAAGTGATCAATAATAATCGCTGTCTGTAGGTCACGAGTCAATAAGTGATCAATAATAATCACTGTCTGTAGGTCACGAGTCAATAATTGATCAATAATAATTACTCTCTGTAGGTCACGCGTCAATAAGTGATCAATTAGAATCAAAATAGTCATTCAATATATATGTTGTTGAAGTCATCATCTATTTCAATACTTCCAGTCACATTCCTCAAAGTTGTAATAGAATTTGACGTATCAGATGGTTTTACAAGTCTGCGGACACGTTTTTGAAAGTTAAGTATCCAAAAAGGTCGTTTCCTTCTCTCTGTCTTTCTTTTCACTTAATTATCGACTCTATTCCGCTGTTTCCATATTTATGTTGTGTGAAGTACGACCGGATTGATATTTTTAATCACTTTGTCTCTTTTTCTTATTTCACGTCTTAAGTCAGTCAAACCACTGCATGTCATTAGATCGAATTGTTACAACTTTTGAGAGGATACTCACATTAGGTTTTTCTAGATATTTGTTTGTAAAATCGTTGTACATGTCACCCAGGGTATGGGTTGTAGAAAAAAGTTCGTTTCAGTTGGTCATATGCAGCTTATTAATAATAAGTTCAGTTTGCGTCCTGTCAACACAAAATTTTCTGTCCATAACTCCCGGTGATATTTGTCCCTATGGTCAGTTCTACAGATGTCGCCCCATGCTCTAAGTGTGAATTCACATGTCCAGTAGAAAAATAGGGTGAAGAAGCATGCAGCGCCTTTCGATTCTTGCCGGTCTTTCTATTACATCAGTGAACAGAGATTACTTACAACACCAATGAGAGGGTGATTGTTATCAACTGTTAGAAGATCTACATGTGTTTCGTTAACTATTACAACATCCGAAGATTCATTAATGGCTGTCTCCACAGAAAATAGAAAGAAATTCCAGAAAACTTCTGTACAGGCAGGAAACACATCGACGTTGCATCGTAGATATTTCTTGTTTGGAAACTAGATCTCTGTCCATACAATTTCACCGATTTGGAATCTAAGTCCGGTCTACAACGTGTGCATAAGAGACTGGAAATGTAAACAATTTTGTGTTTTTTTGTGAAAGTAAATAATATTCTTACTATTTTTATATTCTAATATTTTTCCTTTTGTCGTCAAAATCAAATTCTTCATTTTCTAACGCCTGTATATAATGTAGGTGTTGATGCTAACAATGCCACAATAGAAGTCTTTATAACCTTTATGACTTATCAAGAATATAAGTTTTAAGTTTTGATGTTTTTGTTAGTGTTTCTTTGTATTGCGACAAAAAATATGTACGTCTCGAAACAACATCTCTGTGTATCACTTCCTGCAAATATTTTCAAACTGAAGTCCCGAAGTTTTTAAGATAAGTACGAAAACGATTATCCGTTTCAAGTACCAACAGAGAAACTGAGTAAGGTCCAAATTCTTCTCTCATTTGTTTTGTAGTCATCATTACTTTTTTTTCCTTGTACAGAAATCATGCGGATTTCGGTTTAGTGATAAGACTAGTAAGATGCTTTCGTCTGACGCTGCATAACAAACCAGAGCAGTGACAGCTAACAACAAAGAGCATGTCGTGTGTTAACGAAGAAAAAAAGGGGAAGCGATGAAACAAAATCCACACACACACACACACACACACACACACACACACACACATACATATACTTGCATTAATTTCAAAATTGTATGTAAATTCACCCCTACATAACAAGTAACATCTGGAAGCATGCTATGAGGGTTTTTTCGACTATTTTTTCAGTCGACGATCCAATAAATTGTATCTTTTGTGAAAAGCAAAGGGACTTCAGGTTGAAATATTTGTGGTTTCCTTCTTAAAAACTTACCAAAATTCATGCAACCTTTTTCTGTAATGAGATCCCCGTTCGTAAAAAGTGACCTACCCCTTCTTTTAAAATCAACCAGAAATTCCAGGAAAAACGCCACCTGTTTCGTGTTATGGGTATACTTGTCAGGAGTTGATTTCCTGCACGTGATATATACGATGAACGTGTCAATAGATTTATTATTGTTATTTAAAGACAAGCTGTCACCGATACATGTTTATCTGAAAGTGAAATTCAGCCTCGAATGAAACACAAGTCAGCCAACCGATAGGGGCACATTAAGTTCCCCATATGTATATAATAGTGTGTTGGTAGATCTTATCACCAAAGTCGCACAATATTGTCGAACAGGATTTCGACCACTTTTACGATTTTGTCCTTTAAATATTTCTTCTTTGGTTTAGACTTTTTATGTAAACGCTCCAGTATAGTTCACAGCCATATCTCTGCACTATCGTTCAAGTTGTCGGTTCAGAAAAGGGTATCTTACTTCGTCGGTACTTTAAACTTTTAGGCCTCTATATTCAGATCTAAATCCTTCGTCTTAATTGTTAGTTTGTAGTGGTCGCTTCTGGTCGGTCCGTAGGAACTATTTACAGATATTATGAACCCTGCCTCTCAAGTGTTTATCCAGCCCGTTCTCAAAGGTGTTGAGTGTTGTTGCCTGTACAGTATCTCCTGTTAGTGAGTGCCATTAATTTACAACCCTTTGAGAGAACTTTCTCCAAACTGTATGTGTGTCCCCTTGTCCTTTTGTTTTGATTTCTGATGATCAAATTTGCTGATGCCTGATTGTCATGAAACCCTCTCACAATCTTAAAAACCTCGATCACGTCTACATTTCAAAGACAGAAGGTTTATTTTTTTCATTCTATCCTCGAATGTAATAGCTCTCATTCCTGGTAGTAGCTTTGTGACTCTTTGTACGTTCTCCAGTTAATTAACATCCTGTATTTGGTGGGGATTCCAGATGCTTGCTCCATATTCAAGTGAGGTCTTACTAGCACTTTATATAGTAAACAAAATGATTTGCTATTCAGGTATGTGTTCTTCTTATCGTTCCCTATATTCGGTTTGCTTTGTTTTCCACTCTGGATGTGCTGTCTAACACTAAGCTTGTTATCCACTATAATACCCGAGTCTTTTTCCTCCTTCTGTACCTTCAGCTGACTTGGACTTTTAGTCCCTTCTGACTCCTTATAGAGATGAAGATTTGTAACAAAGGGATCCCTCTCAATTATCATATGGTGACAATTATCAGGGTGAAACTTTAACAGCAACATGTCAGCCAACCTTGAAGATTATCTAAATTTTTCTGCAGATTTATTTTTCTTCCTGATGTCACTGTACAATTTTGTATCGTCAGTAAATAACATGGCTATTGAATTCAAATTCTCGGGAAGGTCATTAATATACAAGACAAATAAAGTTGGACCAAGGACACCCCCCTGTGGTATGCCACTTGTCACTGGCTTCCAACATGATGTGATACATGCTGTTGTCGGCCTGTTAAAAATTCCCCCATCCAACTCCTCATCTGTTTTGATACTCTATATGACTCAAGCTTACCAATCAGTCTTCTGTGGGGTACCGTATCAAATGCCTTCATAAAGTCCATATAGACTGCTAACGTTTATGACTTCCAGCAATAAAACCATACAAATGGAAACACTTATATACGTTTATTTATTTACACAATCCTATAACCACACACAACTCGCAAACACACAGTACTCTCGCACCATACCAACAACACAGTAGCATATAATATATGATATTATCCTTACAATATATTATAATATCCTACTACACTACAACAAACACGATCAGAACTAATACAGTCTGTAGCTTGGCGAATCTTCGTTCCCACACTGGATCACCGTAACGAAACAACGAAGTTCGAACACAGTCTCTCCTCATCAACACAAGTCGACCACAAGACAGTACAACCATGTTCCTGACAGCATGTAGATTCAGCTGTACAGTCACACAGCTTCAGCAGTATCCAGAAACTGGCTATGTCGATGCCAAGGCCAGGTATGAATACGATGTGTCAATATACACATATGTCACGTGCGACTCTCCATACATCACCGATACATAACAATAAGCTCATGTATATAACATAATACAGCAGCTAGAGTCATTCCACGCGGCCAAAACTCCCAACTTCACAACAAGTTGGCAATGGACAACATCACAAACCCTCGTGAGTTGTCGTAGATAAAGATACACAGGTGTGACTGGAAATCCGCTGGGTCGTATAGGTTTCCATAGTTCCTCACTGAGTCAGGGACTTGCTATGCAGTAGTGGGAACGGTAAAAGCTACAACAAATTAATTAAGTTCTATAACTAAATGTAACATAACAATATAGACATAATCACGAAGTAAATATACCATTATAAGCAATATACCTTCCCATAACACATATTACGCTCCCCACTATGTAACTATATCCACGCACAAATAGTAAATTATGCGGAATTAATGCATACACTTATTGTAAGTTATTATTTAAATATATCTAAATATCAGATTAATATACATAGATATTTATTTCACCTTAAGCGTAAACAACTCAGGCACACCCGATACTGTACGAGTACTCGCTCACCTTCTGCACGCATATCTTACTTGTAAACAACGCGCTATCGAACACCTGAACTAGATAATACTACGGCTTCCATACGCACCAAAAACTAAATTTCAGAACTATATAGCAAATGAAAGTTAAACAATGAACTAACCTAACTTTGAAATGAATCTATAAAACATTTAATACTTACCGTGATCTGTGTTTCACGCTTGTCGTACCTTCACCCGTATTCATGCGCAGTCGCCTACTTTACGTAATCGTGAGTTAATAAACACTAAAACACGCGTAATTCAAATAATACCATGTACATTATACCTGCACAAGTATGTCGATGTGTGACATAGACAACATCCACACTTCCACCTTCGTCGATGATCTCAGTCCATTGATCAATAATCTTTGACAGATGAAGCACGGTTCACTTGCCTTTCATCTTGCCTTGGACTTCATAGTTGATTGTTAATAAGATGGGTCATTACTCATTGCCTCACTATTTTCTCCATTACTCATTGTCTTACTGTTTTTTCCATTACTCATTGTCTCACTATTTTCTCCATTACTCATTGTCTTACTGTTTTCTCTATTACTCATTGTCTTACTATTTTCTCTATTACTCATTGCCTCACTGTTTTCTCTATTACTCATTGCCTTACTATTTTCTCTATTACTCATTGCCTCACTGTTTTCTCTATTACTCATTGCCTCACTATTTTCTCCATTACTCATTGCCTCACTGTTTTCTCTATTACTCATTGCCTTACTATTTTCTCTATTACTCATTGCCTCACTGTTTTCTCTATTACTCATTGCCTCACTATTTTCTCCATTGCTCATTGTCTTACTATTTTATCCATTACTCATTGTCTCACTATTTTCTCCATTACTCATTGTCTTACTGTTTTCTCTATTACTCATTGTCTCACTATTTTCTCCATTACTCATTGTCTTACTGTTTTCTCCATTACTCATTGTCTCACTATTTTCTCCATTACTCATTGTCTTACTGTTTTTTCCATTACTCATTGCCTCACTATTTTCTCCATTACTCATTATCTTACTATTTTCTCCATTACTCATTGTCTCACTTTTTTCTCCATTACTCATTGTCTTACAGTTTTCTCCATTACTCATTGCCTCACTATTTTTTCCATTACTCATTGTCTTACTGTTTTTTCCTTTACTCACTGCCTCACTATTTTCTCTATTACTCATTGCCTCACTGTTTTCTCTATTACTCATTGTCTTACTATTTTCTCCATTGCTCATTATCTTACTATTTTATCCATTACTCATTGTCTCACTATTTTCTCCTTTACTCATTGTCTTACTGTTTTCTCTATTACTCATTGTCTCACTATTTTCTCCATTACTCATTGTCTTACTGTTTTCTCTATTACTCATTGTCTCACTATTTTCTCCATTACTCATTGTCTTACTGTTTTCTCTATTACTCATTGTCTCACTATTTTCTCCATTACTCATTGTCTTACTGTTTTCTCTATTACTCATTGTCTCACTATTTTCTCCTTTACTCATTGTCTTACTGTTTTCTCTATTACTCATTGTCTCACTATTTTCTCCATTACTCATTGTCTTACTGTTTTCTCTATTACTCATTGTCTCACTATTTTCTCCATTACTCATTGTCTTACTGTTTTCTCTATTACTCATTGTCTCACTATTTTCTCCTTTACTCATTGTCTTACTGTTTTCTCTATTACTCATTGTCTCACTATTTTCTCCATTACTCATTGTCTTACTGTTTTCTCTATTACTCATTGTCTCACTATTTTCTCCATTACTCATTGTCTTACTGTTTTCTCTATTACTCATTGTCTCACTATTTTCTCCTTTACTCATTGTCTTACTGTTTTCTCTATTACTCATTGTCTCACTATTTTCTCCATTACTCATTGTCTTACTGTTTTCTCTATTACTCATTGTCTCACTATTTTCTCCATTACTCATTGTCTTACTGTTTTCTCTATTACTCATTGTCTCACTATTTTCTCCATTACTCATTGTCTTACTGTTTTCTCTATTACTCATTGTCTCACTATTTTCTCCATTACTCATTGCCTCACTGTTTTCTCTATTACTCATTGCCTTACTATTTTCTCTATTACTCATTGCCTCACTGTTTTCTCTATTACTCATTGCCTCACTATTTTCTCCATTGCTCATTGTCTTACTATTTTATCCATTACTCATTGTCTCACTATTTTCTCCATTACTCATTGTCTTACTGTTTTCTCTATTACTCATTGTCTCACTATTTTCTCCATTACTCATTGCCTCACTGTTTTCTCTATTACTCATTGCCTTACTATTTTCTCTATTACTCATTGCCTCACTGTTTTCTTTATTACTCATTGCCTCACTATTTTCTCCATTGCTCATTGTCTTACTATTTTATCCATTACTCATTGTCTCACTATTTTCTCCATTACTCATTGTCTTACTGTTTTCTCTATTACTCATTGTCTCACTATTTTCTCCATTACTCATTGTCTTACAGTTTTCTCTATTACTCATTGTCTCACTATTTTCTCCATTACTCATTGTCTTACTGTTTTCTCTATTACTCATTGTCTCACTATTTTCTCCATTACTCATTGCCTCACTGTTTTCTCTATTACTCATTGCCTTACTATTTTCTCTATTACTCATTGCCTCACTATTATCTCTATTACTCATTGCCTCACTATTTTCTCAATTACTCATTGTCTTACTGTTTTCTCTATTACTCATTGTCTTACTATTTTCTCTATTACTAATTGCCTCACTGATTTCTTCATTACTCATTGTCTCACTTTTTTCTCCATTACTCATTGTCTTACTGTTTTCTCTATTACTCATTGTCTCACTATTTTCTCCATTACTAATTGCCTCACTGATTTCTTCATTACTCATTGTCTCACTTTTTTCTCCATTACTCATTGTCTTACTGTTTTCTCTATTACTCATTGTCTCACTATTTTCTCCATTACTCATTGTCTTACTGTTTTCTCTATTACTCATTGTCTCACTATTTTCTCCATTACTCATTGTCTTACTGTTTTCTCTATTACTCATTGTCTCACTATTTTCTCCATTACTCATTGCCTCACTGTTTTCTCTATTACTCATTGCCTTACTATTTTCTCTATTACTCATTGCCTCACTATTATCTCTATTACTCATTGCCTCACTATTTTCTCAATTACTCATTGTCTTACTGTTTTCTCTATTACTCATTGTCTTACTATTTTCTCTATTACTAATTGCCTCACTGATTTCTTCATTACTCATTGTCTCACTTTTTTCTCCATTACTCATTGTCTCACTATTTCCTCCATTACTCATTGCCTCACTATTTTCTCCATTACTCATTGCCTTACTATTTTATCCATTACTCATTGCCTCACTGTTTTCTCTATAACTCATTGCCTCACCTTTTTTCTCTATTACTAATTGCCTCACTGTTTTCTTCATTACTCATTGTCTTACTATTTTCTCCATTACTCATTGCCTCACTATTTCCTCCATTACTCATTGCCTCACTATTTTCTCCATTACTCATTGCCTTACTATTTTCTCCATTACTCAATGCCTCATTGTTTTCTCTATAACTCATTGCCTCACTATTTTCTCCATTACTCAATGCCTTACTATTTTCTCCATTACTCATTGCCTCATTGTTTTCTCTATAACTCATTGCCTCACTATTTTCTCCATTACTCAATGCCTTACTATTTTCTCCATTACTCATTGCCTCACTATTTTCTCCATTACTCATTGTCTCACTATTTTCTCCATTACTCATTGCCTCATTATTTTCTTCATTACTCATTGTCTTACTATTTTCTCCATTACTCATTGCCTCACTATTTTCTCCATTACTCATTGTCTCACTATTATCTCCATTACTCATTGTCTTTTCTCCATTACTCATTCTCTCACTATTTTCTCCATTACTCATTGCTTCATTATTTTCTCTATTACTCATTGTCTAACTTTTTTCTCCATTACTCATTGTCTCACTATTTCCTCCATTACTCATTGCCTCACTATTTTCTCCATTACTCATTGCCTAACTATTTTCTCCATTACTCATTGCCTCACTGTTTTCTCTATAACTCATTGCCTTACTATTTTCTCCATTACTCATTGTCTTTTCTCCATTACTCACTGCCCCACTATTTTCTCTATTACTCATTGTCTTACTGTTTTCTCCATTACTCATTGCCTCACTATTTTCTCCATTACTCATTGCCTCACTTTTTTCTCCATTACGCATTGTCTCACTATTTTCTCCATTAGTTATTGCCTCACTTTTTTCTCTATTACTAATTGCCTCACTGTTTTCTTCATTACTCATTGTCTTACTGTTTTCTCCATTACTCATTGCCTCACTGTTTCCTCCATTACTCATTGTCTCACTATTTTCTCCATTACTCATTGCCTCAATATTTTCTCCATTACTCAATGTCTTACTATTTTCTCCATTACTGATTGCCTCACTATTTCCTCCATTACTCATTGCCTCACTATTTTCTCCATTACTCATTGTCTCACTATTTTCTCCATTACTCATTGTCTTACTATTTTCTCCATTACTCATTGTCTTACTATTTTCTCCATTACTCATTGTCTTACTATTTTCTCCATTACTCATTGTCTCACTATTTTCTCCATTACTCATTGCCTCACTATTTTCTCTATTACTCATTGTCTCACTATTTTCTCCATTACTCATTGCCTCACTATTTTCTCTATTACTCATTGTCTTACTATTTTCTCCATTACTCATTGTCTTACTATTTTCTCCATTACTCATTGTCTTACTATTTTCTCCATTACTCATTGTCTTACTATTTTCTCCATTACTCATTGTCTTACTGTTTTCTCTATTACTCATTGCCTCACTATTTTCTCCATTACTCATTGTCTCACTATTTTCTCCATTACTTATTGCCTCACTTTTTTCTCCATTACTAATTGCCTCACTGTTTTCTTCATTACTCATTGTCTTACTATTTTCTCCATTACTCATTGCCTCACTATTTCCTCCATTACTCATTGCCTCACTATTTTCTCCATTACTCATTGCCTCACTATTATCTCCATTACTCATTGCCTCACTATTTTCTCCATTACTCATTGCCTCACTATTTTCTCCATTACTCATTGTCTCACTATTTTCTCCATTACTCATTGCCTCACTGTTTTCTCCATTACTCATTGCCTCACTATTTTCTCCAATTCTCATTGCCTCACTGTTTTCTCCATTACTCACTGCCTCACTATTTTCTCCATTACTCATTGCCTCACTATTTTTTTCTATTACTCATTGTCTCACTATTTTCTCTATTACTCATTGTCTGACTATTTTCTCTATTACTCATTGTCTCAATATTTTCTCTATTACTCATTGCCTCACTATTTTCTCTATTACTCATTGCCTCACTGTTTTCTCCATTACTCATTGTCTGTTTTCTCCATAACTCATTGCCATACTATTTTCCCCATTACTCATTGCCTCATTATTTTCTCTATTACTCATTGCCTTACTGTTTTCTCTATTACTCATTGCCTCACTGTTTTCTCCATTACTCATTGCCTCACTATTTTCTCCATTACTCACTGCCTCACTATTTTCTCCATTACTCATTGTCTTACTGTTTTCTCCATTAACTTGCATATAACACTAGTTAAGCTCACAGGCCTTTAGTTACCAGCATACTGCGTATCTCTCTTTTAAAATAAGGCTGAGATCTTTGCTTTCTTCCAGTCTTTTGGAACCTGACATTCAATCAGAAGGTTCTTCCAGATTTTTTTTCGAGAGTATCTTTACCTCCTCAGCAATGGACTGTTCCATCTTCTTTCCGGCCTTTATCACCAAGTTTTTTCGCTTTATTTCTTGCCTTTGTGTATTCCTTGTGTTTCAGTTCATCCCCAGTCTCAATAAATCTTTGCCAGCATCGGTGCTTCTTGCGGATTGTTTTCGACATATTCCCGTCCCAGTGGTTGTTTATAACTTTTCTTTGTGACTGTCATTTCCGATATTTGTTTAGCAGCAGTATCTAGTAGTTTTTAACAAATTTCTTATATTTTTCATCCACAGATCCATTTAAACATAATTTCCAATTTACTGATAAGTCTTCCATCATGGTTGCCGTAGTTGTACATCAGTTTCCTGGTAATCTCCTATTGGCTATCACCGTTATATACATGTATCAAGTTAATACATCCGCGATCGCCTTTACCCAGTCACGATATTAACCTGTACATTCTCAGCCATATTTTCCTCATTAGTAAATATAAGGTTCAATAAACCGGGTTCCTGGTTCATTCTTATCCTGGTTGGGATCTTGACATGTTGATAAATAATTGTCTCTGTTTGACTCCAAGAACTGAAATGAAATATTCCGTGATTAGTATGTGTGAGTAATTTGACACTCCTATCTCTGCCTGTAGCTTATCCAACAAACTATTGTTTTCTACTATACTTTAGGACTTGTGTACAGTTTATTACCTTCACTTAGGTTGACAGTTGCCCATATATGCTCTTTGAATCTTGTAACCATGGATACCTCTGTTGTCTTCAATTCAGAATTTATAAAAAGGGTGGTTCCTCTTATACCGATATACTCAGATGAAGTATAATAATGTACAGGGTCGAAAACGAAATATTCTAGCAGAAAAAAAAAAACCCAAAACAAACAAAAAATAAATAAAAATAAAAACCAATCAGAGTGTTCAAAATTGGTCAAAAGCTCTTTTGAGTTTATTAAACTCCATATTATATTAATTCCACTTCCTGTGGAAACAGTATGACAATGAGACTGTAACCCTGGTATGATAGTAAAGTAGTAAAAAACTCAAGTTATTTGATGTTATCACGGACGTAAATCGATATTTAACTGAAGTACGTTGGACAACAAAACAAGTCGGTCATGAAACGCTGTTTATATGAATATATGTGAAGTTTATAAATCCAATGTAAAAATAATGAAAAGTCATATCTTCATCTTCAACTGACAATCTGAATTATTACGATATTTGATAAAATTTGTAGCTTTTTATAAGAACACCATGATGATAATCCGCCATTAAGACTTATCGAGTAATTACAAGTAAAGTTAGACATGGTTTAGGTGGCTTTCAACAGCACGAACTATTAAGTTAAAACTCCTATTATTTTCCTTTGATTTCGTTCTACTTACAACCATGATGATTTAGATTTGGCTTCCTTTCGGATGAGGGAGTGCCGCTTTTGTATCATTGTTCATTTAGGTCATTGATCTACAGTAAAGGAATTTTACCTGCTAGCGGATGAAGTGTTCAATATATAGTTACATATGATGCTTTATTATGACACTTAACCAAACAAACAAAAAATGCAAGCTAACAGCCGCGTCGACAAAAAGGTTATATAGCTTATTTTCAATGTTATAAGCGACACATATACGTGCATCCAGCCGAGCCGGTAGGTGACAGAATAAATGCACGTACATGTTGATTTGGACAGAGCGAACTAGACAGATTACAGATACAAGTGATATTGTTGCTATGTTTAGATCTACATATATAAGTGATATTGTTGCTATGTTAAGATCTCATTAATGTCTTTATGACTAAATATGTAGGCAGCTATCATGTGTCTATTGTAATCATAACCTACTTCCGCTGCTATCTACGGGTACTTTCTCTTTGTCTTATCCGTTCTTTACCAAAGGCGTCACTGTGCGATTTGTAATCTTTGAAATCTACACTGTCCTACTCTCATAATTTACAAATATCACGCAGACTTCTTTGGTTCATGGCTTCATGTAAATAATGAAGCAAAATATAGACATGTAATGTTATATACTGTATGTCTTCTGAGCCCACCCCTCCCCCTTGATAAAATGAAATCAAAGGAAGGAATGTATTTCCATCTTGTGTCAGTTTAATTGCTAGCACCTGAGCTTGGTGGCTTTGAACAGGAATTCAAAAGGAAATGAATTTTATATCGTATTACACTTTGTTTCTGTCGGATTTTACAATGTGGAACAGAAGAGCTACAGATTTGTACAACTTTGAATGACATTCGGTGTTATAATTTGTGACAATCACTACATATTAAAATTATTATCAAGTATATTTTAATGTAAAAAATGCCTGATTTTGCCAACAGAATCATGAGTACTGCCAGACCATTCAGGATTTGGAGTTATGACAGAAGTGTGAAGAAGGGGATCATTGCTTCTTCCTTGCATGAACTTGTTCAGAAAGGTATAGAAATTAACAAATAATAATTTAGGACTATAATTCTGCCATAAAATTTGATACCAACAAAGCAAATATTTAGTTCTTACTTTTTTCATGTAAATTTACCAATTCAATACAGCCTTCACAAATAATTGGAATTCTTATTATCAAAATTTATTGTGACAATATCAAACTTCTGATCAGATACATATTACAGAACAATGAGTTGTGTTTCCTGACTGATTGAGCTTTATCACATGTACAGGTAGAGAGAAGGTAGGAATACTACCTGAGGAAACAGTGAGAGTTGTACTTGAGGAAGACGGTACAGAGATTGATGATGATGATTACTTTCTGTTCCTCCCACATAATACAACGCTGATGCTCCTTACTAGGGATCAAAGTTGGGCAGTGGAGGGGAAAGGTAATGTGTACCATACTTCATCCAGCTGTATTTCTTTATTTGTTTTTGCTATGCATGATAAAATTAACACAATCATGCTACAGTGTTAAGGTTTAGTACAGGGTATTCATTTCAATTCTACAACAAGTTTACAGCTAGATGCTGTTCATTTGAAGTGTACGTTTTACAACCTACAATGTAAAATCATTTGTTGCAGAGCATAGTCCTCAGGGAGGCCCATATCTAATAACTGTAATCAATCAGAGTTTCTTAATTTATAATATTGCTTTATGATTTCATATAATTCCTCTAAGGCTTCATATCAGATATACAGAATGTATATATATTTAGATGTGGAACTTTGGAAAAAGATCTAGTACTTACCGATACTGAAATACAGATCTTACATTATGAAAATAGGGTCAAACCTGACTTAATAAAAGTTAATTTGTTTACATTTACGTTGTGTATTCTTGATTTGGTCTTACCAGTTAAATGGATGTTTACACTCTGGTAAATGTCAAGTCAGACAACCTTTCCCACACGGAATCGGCTTATTTTGTTCTTCCATCAGCTTTTGGGCTGTTACATCTTTGCGTATAACAACAAATGATTAATGATTATTAATTTTTAGCCCCTCAGATGATGGTGGGCTATTAAATTCGTCCTACATTCTTGGTCCATCCATGCGTTTATCTGAAAAACAATTTTTAGCACATCCATCATCCTTCTGTCTGTTTGTCCTTCTGTCCGTTTGTCTGTCTGTCCATCCCTATACAATTTTGGTTAATTCTATTTCTTGAAAAGTATTCATTTTCATATGTCGGTTCCCCTTGGTCCTTAGTTCTGTCTGTTTGATTTTGGGACTGATCAGAGTTACAAAATGGCCATCGTAGATTTTGACTTTGAAAGTTTGAGAACTACAGCATAGATTTTTCTCAAATTTCATGTGTAGGTTTCTGTTACCCCGCTATGTTGTACTATCCTTATTTTATACAAAAGACCAGCAACAACCGTTCTCAAGTACAAATGTTGAGTATTAACACAAGTTACAACAATGATAACATGTATGGCCTGAGTATCAAGCTTAACAAGTTACTCCTTCCACGGCCACACCAGGACTGACTCTATTAGCTGTGATCTTACAGTTTATCCTAAAGTAATTATAATCTAATTCTGATAGGGAAAGTGTCTTCTACTGATCTACAATTAAACCGTGACCAGTTAATGTCTCCATAGTGGAGAGCATGTCCAGCCAATGTTTCACGGCATGATTCTGACACTAAGGTGACCGCAATTAAACTATCTGTCTGATAAGCCAGCCGGTCACATTAAGATTTAACACAAATTATGTTCTACACTTGAGTGACAAATTTCACCATTAACAGTTTCCCTTGATCCCTAGTCGTGTTATTTCATTTTGGTACTGATTAGAAAAAGAATATGGCGTACAGGAAGCCATCTTGGGTTTTGCCTTTGAAATAAAAATCATTGGTTTTAGGTCATTGTAATAAAATCAATGGTTATTTAGTCTCTATTTGAAAGACTCCGGGGCATGTCTTTAAATGCCAGTTGTTTTGGGTACCATTAAAATTCATAGTATTTGAACGTTGATATCAATGTAACCTAATATAAAGACCACATGTCTCATTGTAATTAGATCTTCTAAGAAGACTATTTTTTTTGCTTCCTTGATTGGCTGTTATAAACAGGTGTTATTTTCTGTTATTTAAATACTTTCTCATACGTTAGTATTTTTTAATTTTCATTGGTATACCATCAGAGTTATTAAATGGGTGCTGTAAAATATCTGATGCCAGTTAAGCTCCTCATACATTCCCTAAAAATGACTCTCACTGTCAGGTGGAAATTTAAAAAATGTGCTCTCTGCTTTAAAAACGACATACCTGGTATCTAAAATTGACAACCCTATACTTACAGAAAATCGGTCAGGACTGGATGAGCCAGATTTTATGATTGGTGGCGAAGGACAGCAGATTTCTGAAAGAACAATAGAGCTGATCACTGGTCTACAAAAGGACATAACTCGTCTTATAGCCTTTTCTAACGAGGATTTACAGGTCAGTTTGGATTTATTACTGCAGTTAGATCTGCTGTCATCCCTTTTTAGTTAAAATTTGCATTTCCTAGAGGTTTCTAAATTGAAAACAATTTTCTTCCATTCTCAATGTTATTGACAAAAAAAAATCTTGGAAAATACAGCCAAGTCAAGTTAAATGGGATTTATGTTTTCAAAGTTTGAATAAATGAGGATTGACTGTAACATTATAAAGGGTGTTTTCAGTAAATGACAGACGGTGTAATATGAAAAATGATCTTCAATAAAAATGTGTATATAAACATTATTAAGGAACTTGTTTATTTTTAGATGATACAGGAAGTGACAGAATAATAACTTGTACACCATAACAATAAGGAATTGTCATTTCAGTAACAATCGCATTGACGTATGTGATTGAATAGGCATTCTACCAGCGTTATATAACCCTAAAGTTTTATATTAACTAACATAGCATGGTATATAATGTAATATTAACTGATGTGTCAATTTCAGTAAAATTTCTGAAGTATGTGTCATGATATTGTTACAATAACATAATACTTTATATAATAACTGCAAATTTTTGTAGGGTGTAATCGACCTCAGTGTTCCAGCACTAGCCAACCTCCTTCATGACACTGAAAGTTATGCAGAAGCTGTACAGGAAGCTTGTCAACGCCACCTAGATGAGAGAATGCAGACCTCTGAGGCCATGGACCTGTTGCGATTGTATCACACGTCGAGACAAAACAGTAATCTGATAATAGGAGAAGAATCGTCCACTAAGCGACAGAAGTCTGCTAACACATGATCTGTATAGTGTGAGATTTACAGTGCCTTCTAAGCAGTGCAATTTCTTCATGTAGTTGTATGTTTTACAGTAACATTCCTCCATCACAATGCTTGTCTTTGTATATGTGTCTGAGACTCACAAAACCTATAGGTTATCAATATGTAAAGAATTAAATATAGGCAGCACTTATGAGAAGATCACCTATGTAGCAGAGCTTGTTATTACTTTGTGGCAGTACCTGTACCTGTACAGGCAGAACTCTGATCATACATATATTTGAACATTTTCTTCAGGTTGGTAATGTCAATAGAATAGAAGTTCTAATAAAACAACCAGTAGAAGTAAGAATGTGACGTTAAGATGATTACAAGGTCACCTTCATCAGACAAATGATTTGGCATTTCTCCGATGAAGTTGACAGTATAGTCATCAAATTGTCACACTCCAACGTCTACTGTTTGTGTTATAAGATGAAGGTGACCGTGTAGTCATCAAATTGTCACACTCCAACGTCAACTGGTTGTGTTATAAGATGAAGCTGACAGTGTAGTCATCAAATTGTCACACTCCAACGTCAACTGGTTGTGTTATAAGATGAAGGTGACCGTGTAGTCATCAAATTGTCACACTCCAACGTCAACTGGTTGTGTTATAAGATGAAGGTGACCGTGTAGTCATCAAATTGTCACACTCCAACGTCAACTGGTTGTGTTATAAGATGAAGGTGACCGTGTAGTCATCAAATTGTCACACTCCAACGTCTACTGGTTGTGTTATAAGATGAAGGTGACAGTGTAGTCATCAAATTGTCACACTCCAACGTCTACTGGTTGTGTTATAAGATGAAGGTGACAGTGTAGTCATCAAATTGTCACACTCCAACGTCTACTGGTTGTGTTATAAGATGAAGGTGACAGTGTAGTCATCAAATTGTCACACTTCTACTGATTGTGCCATAAGGACTTCTAATCTATCATGATCATACCTGTGGCAGACTTGTGATCATCCATTATAATTAACAGTGCGATAAATATCAGTATCACTTGAGCAATTATCAGTTACTTCTGGCAGAGGTCCTGTTCAATTTTGTGGCAACATTAAAGTCCTGAAGAGTTGTTTTGTGGCATTCACAGTTGCCTATGGCAGCTGTCCTGATCTGTTGTTTGGTGGCATTCATAGTTGCCTATGGTAGCTGGCCTGATCTATTGTTTGGTGGTTTTCATAGTTGCCTATGGCAACAGTCCTGATCTGTTGTTTGGTGGTTTTCATAGTTGCCTATGACCGCTGTCCTGATCTGTTGTTTGGTGGCATTCATACTTGTCTATAGCAGCTGTCCTGATCTGCTGTTTGGTGGCATTCATACTTGTCTATAGCAGCTGTCCTGATCTGCTGTTTGGTGGCATTCATACTTGTCTATAGCAGCTGTCCTGATCTGCTGTTTGGTGGCATTCATACTTGCCAATGGCAGCTGTCCTGATCTGTTGTTTGCCTGTTTAGCAGCAGACACAATTTGCTTGTAAGGCAGCTTTAACAAGAACAGGCATTTCAGAAATATTCAAGTGTTAAAATATAAAATTTGCTTTACTCTTTTGATTTACAGCATGTAGTCTGTATAGCTTGCAGATTACTATAATTACTTTAAAGATTGTGTGAATGAGTAAGAGATGATATGTAAGGTTATGATTTAAAACATGAGAACTTCCACTGTTCTTTGTGTTTCTATACAGTGTGATAGATATGTGGCGAAATTACTCTTTTTATCTAGAAAGGATGTGTTAGTCTAAACTCTCTGTGCAGGAAACCTGGAAATCTTTGTTTACAAAAAAAAAATTCCTTTATTCAGAAAGTAGAGGAATTATTTTGTTGATAGGTAAAAGACTTACTTGTGACAGTAATAATTCTAAACATTCCACTGAAGGCTGGATGATCTCTTGAGAATTACTGTATTGTTAGTACAATACTTAGACAAGCATATACCACATCAAATTTATTCATGATGTGCTTTGCTAATTTGCAACATTTTAATGAGTTAAAAATTGTTCATTATAAGTTTCACTTTTTTGGGGAAAATTAATTTCAATTATCAATAGAAGAAATTAAAAAGTGAATATGATAATTGAAGTAATTGTTCTATCCAAGCTTAATTATATGCGTCTGAAATATATTACTAATAATGCCTAATTATTTTCAACCTCCTGGAGCAGTGGTCTTATTGATTCTGAATTTAGGTTGATATTTTGATATCAGTCTGATGTCTGTGAAAGTCATGATAATTCAGACTATCCTTTATTGAGTGGGTATGTTTTCTCCGAGTTACTTTATATTAAGCAGTTGATGATAGATGATCACACTTGAGCAGTAATTCAGAGTCAATGCAGTTGTAATACATTATCTTGTACTGCCATCTGAGTACAAGACATTATAGGTACAATGTATTGTAGTTTGGCTTTGTTTACACAAACATGTATGCGTGTTATTATTGTAAAGTTTTTACATTTTATAATAAAATTCATAAAGATTAAGATATATGCCTTGTTATTATTTAAAGTATTTATTTATTCAAGCCACAGAAAACCTGTTTTAACCAACACTTGTCATGTAGGACAACAAAATAGCTGACACATCTGTCTTTAAGGACACCTGGATGTTTAGTATCTGAACCATTGAAGACCTGACAAAACTGACACCTGTCTTTAAGGACACCTGGTCATTTGTGTAGACCTGATCCTCAGAAAACTGGACAAAACTGACACCTGTCTTTAAGGACACCTGGATGTTTAGTATCTGAGCCATTGAGGACCTGACAAAACTGACACCTGTCTTTAAGGACACCTGGATGTTTAATATCTGAACCATTGAAGACCTGACAAAACTGAGACCTGTCTTTAAGGATATCTTTGATAGGCGACTCACCTAGTCATCTGTGTATTACATTGATTTACAAAAATCCAGCCTAAACCAAATCACATTAATATTTTCGGGATGGGAACTTTCTATACTGATCTTCAGTTTGTAAGCACAATATATTTTACTTTGACCAATCAGAAGAGCTTCTATAATTGTTTCCTCGGTGATGGTTTTGGAAGCTCCATCCAAGTCAAATTATAGGTATGATTAGTTATCTGTTCAAAAACAAAATAAAAAAAAAAAAAAATAAATAATAATAAATGTCCTGAGGAGTCCCAAAGATGACACTTTATATAAAAACAGGTCATCAGATATGCCAGAATTTCGCGCCAAAACGTTGCATGCACATTATGCAACACATAGCCCTTTGTTCATCGACACTGGATTGCGGATTCACATTGATTCTGGTTTACCCCTAGACATTGGCAGGGCCAGACTGAAACAATTGTGCTGTCATCGATTAGTCCAGATGTGTCTTCTGCTTTCAATACATATGCTTTAATAAACTAACAAAGGGAGTGCAATCTTCCTTTTAAATAACATGATGAATGTAACCTTAGTTGGTGATCAAACTTGGTCGATGAAATCTTTCATCCCAGCATGCCACAATCCCAATATCAGTACCCTGAACCTTTTGGTTATTGACATATTGACACATTAAGCTTCTATGAACTTAAAAGTAGGTCAAGGCTATTCATTTGAACAAACTATGTCATGTAAGTAGCCTAATATCTGTGTCTTGGGACACATTTGACCCCCATAACCTGGAAAGTGGTCAAGGTTATAAAAGTTCGAACAAACATTGAAGCCATTCTTCCAAGCATGCGACAGCTTCAACATCAGTACTCTGGATCTTCTGGTTGCTTGAAAATTATATTTGACCTTGTGATCTTGAAAGTGTATCAAGGTCATTCATTTGAACCAACTTGGAAGCCTTTTGTCCCAGCATGCTACACGCCAGAAATCTGTATCATGGACTTTTGGGTTGTTGAATAGCTGGTGCCAGATGGTTAATGGATGCCTGGACGCTGCATAGGCATATTAGTTAACTAGATTTACACTATAATATGTTTTTCACTACCAACATTAGATGCAATGCTGTGCAAATGTAATTAAAATGTAGCAAGCATCATCTGTAAAATTTTAAGTAAAACCAAAGATAAAAAGGAACAAATTGTTGCTTGGATACAACTTTTAACAAATCAACGATATTTAGTAGAACATCATTTATTTTTAGTGAAGTACACAAAGCAAAACAACAATGATAGAAATACATGGTATTTCATCATATACTTACAACATTAAAACTGGTATTACAGATTCTCTCTGTATAAACCAGTAGTTACTTATCTATAAACCACACCTCCATATAAAATCAACCATCACACAGATCATATACAAATTCACTATCACTGAATCCACAACTTTCAGATGTCACCTATTAGACGTTTATAATGAAGATTGCTTACGGAATGAATAAATATTTGATCTGTGCACAGATTTGTAAGGAAACTAATGTTAACCCAATGTAACATAATTTTACACCAGTATCATAACATAAAGACATCAATTTATTGCACATAAGCCTCTTTCCCACCTCATAAGATTATTCAAAGTTTGATAAACTTAACTGAAACTATTGCATATGCAACATATTCTCAGAAATGTTAGATAAGAAATCTCTTTTAGAAGTGTTTTGATTGCTCACACCTTATTTGTAGTAAATTATTAAAGTAGGTTTAATTGGTAATGATAATAATATAACAATTCAGTGTGATCTTGAAGACAGTAATCCTAGAGCAAACTGTAGAATGACATAATTAGGTTGTAGACTGACATTATTAGTCAGATTTACAGGTATTCTGTAAAATAAATCTATGATATGTGTTCTAGTCAATTTAAAATAAAATACCAAATGTCCAATTTTAAAAATCATATCTTAAAAAAAAAACAACAAACAGCTAAGTGCTGGTTAGTGTTTTCTGTTTGGATTAGGTAGACAGATCATAGGTGAAGCATTTCAGAAGCAGGTTTTAGCATTGAATTTACAGTATGGCAAAATATACATTCTTCAACAACTGCATAGAGATGTGAATCTTCTCCATCACACCTTTGATTCCTGACCTGGCACCATTAAATCACTTACTCACCAAATTAGTTGAGTTGTTCCTAATGAATAATCAGCAATTATGATATTGATTAACACCATGTAATATATCTTTATTGTCAAATTGGAACTTAGTGGCAAATTTATGATCTATATGTACCAATAAGAATGACAAAAAATTAGAACAAGGAACAAAGTCCTGGCAAGCACATGCATATATGAGAACATTACAGTGGGGTTAAGATTTTGTCTCATGTTTTGGAATGAAAGTTTGCTCACAAATATACGTTACTTTACATAAAACCCATATCATCACAACGAGTTGTAATGTTAAAGAATAAAAAATTGTTCTTTTGAATTAAAAGAAAATACATAGTGAAGCTTTCATGAAGTTGCATCTCAACCTTAGTTGTTGATTTACTGTAGAAATTATTTGATCAACGATTTGAATTTTTTAAGTTTTATTCAAAGTTTGAACCAAAAAATATGTAGCCATTGGCGAAAAATTGAAACGATTATTTCTTCATGAACTTTAATTCTAATTGTATTTTTGGCAGAAAATAGAACCATTCATGAACAACAATGGAGAAAAAATATTTTCTTCTGCCAAAAAAAATAGGATTTTTTGGGACATGAAATAACCTGGCATATTGGTGAATGTATTCATATTTCCTAAGGAGTCAGAATGAATCCTTTTAAGAGTATAACTTTCAGCCGGCTCCTAAGGATTTGACGACAGACTTAAGTCGTCTGTACTCGCCGTTAATGTCCAGTAATTGCTTGGGGAACACAACACCTCGCTCTTTGTAAGCTGCTTCTATCTTACTCATTATCACTTCCAACACAAACTGTGCGTTCTTCAGGATAAATTTGTGCTGCAAGACAGAAAAAAAAAATTATGAATCAAAGGAACCAACCGTGATGGTGAGCTACAAAATAATCTATTACACATATTGTGGGTACATCAATCCTTCAGTATGTATCAAACCCTGCGAAGTCAAAATATACACTTATTGTATTAGACGTATACTGATATATAGATGCAGTATCCCAATGATAACTGACTTTTAGGAGATAAAGAGTTTTAAGAAATGATTAAACATACAAAGTTGAAACCTCATTATGTCAAACTCTTATAACTCAAAGACTCTGTATCACTCAAAGTATTTTGTTGGTCACAGCCAAACTTCATACTAAGCATTCAAACTTTACTTAAATCAAATATTTGGATAACTCGAAGTTTTCCCATGATCCTGCTGACTTTGCGATAACAAGGATGGACTGAAATTCTATAATACCACATTTGTAATTCTAAGGCAAATTAAATGAAGTATTTATATGTAGATTGTTCATCATAAATTTTTGGATTTGTAATGTAACATGATACCTCTCTATAGAAGGTTTTGTTCCTGATGGAGTCCTCAATGTGGGCAATCTCTGCCCTAAATATCTCTGAAATAGCCTCAGTAACGAGATAGTCTATCTCAGGGGTGTGAACCAACAGGACATCACGGGCAAAGGACAAGCAGGATTTGGAAAAATTGGCTGTGTTCATTGTCAGATTTATGAAACAGGCATCTAAAAAGAATAATCAAGTTGAAACTTAAAGATACCATGTACCATGGTTTCTAGGTAAAGACATGACAATAGGCTTAGTTCTGTTATTACATAATGGTGTAAGTATAATATATTTAAACTCTAAATATTAACCAATCAGCTTACATGTATTATAAATATCAACCAATCAGCTTACATGTATCAGGCCATCATTATGGTTTTTATCATTTCAGTTCAATAACAGGGTTTATTATAAATCTGAATTTTTGAAGGTTAACATTATGTATGAAATTTTAAACTTACCATAGATGTAGTTCTTTAGGTCTAGACCTCCAGCTGACATCTCCTCGACAAACTTGAGACAGTCTTTGTGACTGAGGTGGTTCATTGGACGCCATTTGTCATCCTGAATAATGACCAATTATAATGCTGTACTGTAGGCTGGTATACAGGTACTAAGATGTATCATCATTCTATTATTGTTCATAAATAATTACATTGCTGTGACATTAAACACTGAGTATAAGGTCTCATAATCCACACCTTTATATAATTACCTGAGCCCTGTACTTGACACCCTCAATCATCTGGTCTTTGTTTTCTCTGATAACCCTCTCCACACCTTTATATAATTACCTGAGCCCTGTACTTGACACCCTCAATAATCTGGTCTTTGTTTTCTCTGATAACCCTCTCCACACCTTTATATAATTACCTGAGCCCTGTAATAATGTTTTCTCTGATAACCAATTATAATTATGCTGTGACACCCTCAATAATAGGCTGTTTTCTCTATAACCCTCTCCACACCAGCCCTCATCATTCTCTTCTTTGTTCATAAATACACCTTTATATAATTGCTGTGACATTGACACCCTCAATAATAAGGTCCATATGGTTGTTTCTCTGATAACCCTCTCCACACCTTTATATAATTACCTGAGCCCCACTATATAACCTGAGCCCTGTACTCCACAATAACCTTTGTTTTCTCTGATAACCCTCTCCACACCTTTATATAATTACCTGTACTTGACACCCTCAATAATCTGGTCTTTGTTTTCTCTGATAACCCTCTCCACACCTTTATATAATTACCTGAGCCCTGTACTTGACACCCTCAATAATCTGGTCTTTGTTTTCTCTGATAACCCTCTCCACACCTTTATATAATTACCTGAGCCCTGTACTTGACACCCTCAATAATCTGGTCTTTGTTTTCTCTGATAACCCTCTCCACACCTTTATATAATTACCTGAGCCCTGTACTTGACACCCTCAATAATCTGGTCTTTGTTTTCTCTGATAACCCTCTCCACACCTTTATATAATTACCTGAGCCCTGTACTTGACACCCTCAATAATCTGGTCTTTGTTTTCTCTGATAACCCTCTCCACACCTTTATATAATTACCTGAGCCCTGTACTTGACACCCTCAATAATCTGGTCTTTGTTTTCTCTGATAACCCTCTCCACACCTTTATATAATTACCTGAGCCCTGTACTTGACACCCTCAATAATCTGGTCTTTGTTTTCTCTGATAACCCTCTCCACACCTTTATATAATTACCTGAGCCCTGTACTTGACACCCTCAATAATCTGGTCTTTGTTTTCTCTGATAACCCTCTCCACACCTTTATATAATTACCTGAGCCCTGTACTTGACACCCTCAATAATCTGGTCTTTGTTTTCTCTGATAACCCTCTCCACACCTTTATATAATTACCTGAGCCCTGTACTTGACACCCTCAATAATCTGGTCTTTGTTTTCTCTGATAACCCTCTCCACACCTTTATATAATTACCTGAGCCCTGTACTTGACACCCTCAATAATCTGGTCTTTGTTTTCTCTGATAACCCTCTCCAGATCTGTGGCAATCAACGACTCAAAGATAAAGTTCACATCTAAACCAATCTGGCTCAACTGAAATTACAAAATAATACAAATATCATAATTCACCAAACACAGCAAATGTTTAAGGGCCTGAAAGCCCTGTAGGAGGAACAGATTGATATTCACGAATATGCAACATAAACCATAAAGCTAGAATTCCTATTAGGACATTTTTGAGATAGTTCATAGTTCAATCATCTCAGAATAAATGATGAATCTAAATGCATTCCTGTCACAATCATAACCTGAAATGATGCAATATTATCAAAGTTTGTTTTGACCTTCTGAACATCTCCATTAATTTGCACAGAACTGATCTAATTAAACATCTTTTTAATGATACTTTCATTAACATATCTCTATGTGTATATCCTGGTACAAAGGCTTGCTAAAAATAGTGAGAATGCAGAGTTGATTAAAGTATTGTTTATGAGGAGATAAAGGCTGACACAACCATAAACAGATATATACAAATCCATAGCGTAGTCAGACTATGTTATGTCTATATATATTATCACACCCCTCCGAATGCTGCTTCTAACACGTATTTTACACAAACTGTTGTGTTTAACACATTCATGTTAATTACAGGAAATGTTGCCATTTCCTTGACTCCTCGATGTGTTATACATGTATACAGAGGTCTTTCTAGGCCAGTGAAAATTACTGGTTTATTCCAATTACACAGCAAGATACCAATAGGTCTATCTAACCTAAAAATCATTACACATTTTGATTAGAAGATAGTGAAAACCATAGAACACAAACACCAAGTTTAGATTAACATCTCATGCTCATTTCTTAAGCTCTAAAGGAAAACATTAGTAAGTTCTACATAAACCTAGGGCTAAATGGGAGCAAAATATCTGTATGTGTAGTGATATATCTCAGTATAGGGGATTCCATAGTGTATGTCATGACATCTTAAATCAAGGGCTTTTTTATGATAATTTAAGGGAAAAAATGTCAGTGGAACCACTTATTTGTGACCCTCTGATCAGAGTGATGCCTTGGTTAATTGGCTATTATTTAATTCTATCAAAGTAGCACTGAGTAATGTAACACATTTCCTGTCTTGTGAAACAGAAATCCATAACATTTAACCAGTCTAGTGACTTTACCTCATCACACTGTTTGCGTGCATTGTGAAGACATTCTGTGATGACAGACAGCGAGGACTTGCCCCCAAACACCTGTCTATTGACTGTAGATACAAACATCTGTAGCTCGTTCTTAGCCCAAACAACAAATGCTGTAACATAAGATATATCACACGATAATGATAGTAATTTCATCTTCTATCAGTTCTTAGTGACTTTACTGCACTTATCTCAACACAAACAGATAATTAACAGCAGTGACTTAAAAGTTTTGATAAAGTCTACACGGTACCTAATCATTAGAAATGTTGAAGGAAGCAACACATATTGTAATATTTCACATTATAAACATCTTATAAGACACCTCTTACCATTTGTCAGATGGTGTGACAGAGTTAAAACAGCATCCAAAGTTTTATGTATAAAATAACAGACAATCTGGTAATATAACAAGTTCTCTTCAAGCAATTATATAGGTGTGATAGTTTCAAATTACAGGTTATAAATTGTAAAGTTGGACCTACATTTATGCAATATCCAGAAATTTTACCTGACATACAGCCGTAGTGGTCCTGAAATGCCTTCATAAACTCCTTGCCTGTCTCTGAGAGGCATGGGATAAACACGTCACACAGGCGACGTATGTAAAGCGTGGTAGCCCCCTCAAATTTTAACTGACGGATATTGTACTTGATGATGGAACTTCTGTTCTTCAGGAACAAATCACAAGCCTGAGACAATGGAAATCATAATCACATACTGAAACAAGAGGCCCACGGGGCCTTCACAGTCATCGGACTACTAAAACTTTCGTCAAGGAGAAGGCTTATTTTTTCTAATTTGAATAGAATCTTACCAAGAAACTGTTTTCCATGATGCAGATGGTAGTGTTGGTGAACAGTAGGTAACTGTAACAAGTGTTACCTATTTTTTGACAGTAACGTTTTCAGACAGCATTCAACCCTAAATATGAGTAAGTTTCCTTCCTGTAGGCACATCCCTTGTGTCAAAAGGGGTTAATCCTACCTCCTATATATAAGAATGTGTCCTCCCAAATGATATTTCAGGAGTAACATTTGGGGCCCAGACCTTCTGTCCGCCTCAATTCAGAAATAATTGTGTTCTTCCAATGATGTTTACACAAATCTGTGGCTTAAATCTTTGTCATCATCTGTTTAGTTTTGGCTTTTTCTCACACAATACTATATAGATATCTTGGATGCAAAAATCATCCATGACCACCAAAAGTTTTAGGAAAAGTTGACGGATGACAGATATTGCGCTATGGCATACAATGACTAATCCTTTAGAGCAGGCGTAACATTTGATCTGGATCATCTCAGAATCATTTCAGACAAGTTGGAGCTCAATTCCACTTGTGAAACTTGAGAAGTCTGAAAAGAGGTGTTGCTCAGGAAAACCATGATTGCGCAATCTTGTGTCAAATTGGTCCCCCTGGCTGCCGTATCAAAGTTTTAAAAAGGTCGGAAAATAACAACAGTTTGTTGGCTACTTTTCCTCAACATTTTCACCAATTTTTAGCTCAATGGCACCAGTAGAACTGATGAAGAAGTTTGGTCAGCACCATTTCAGAGAATTGGTAGCTAAATCCCACTGGTGCAATTTATGAAGAAGTTCAAAATGTTTTAAGTTGACGCACGGTGGACAGTGCAGGGGAGATGACGACAGACGAAGCACCAGGTCATCATGACTTCATGAAATAACAATAAAACTGGATATATAACAGAAGAATCATAGAGGTTTTTACCCCAAGCTTTTGTTCTAACTATTTTTTACAACAGGTATCAGTTATGGACATTTGCATTAAATAACACCTGAACTTGAGCCTACCTGTGCAGACTTGCCCAGTCTGATCAGCTGCATGACAGCACGTCTGGCTGCTCGAGGCCCCCCTCTGAGGGATCGCTCTGGAGACACCTGTAACTCCCCCATCAGTCCCTCTGTCAGCTGTTTCACCCGGTGATCAATCCTTGCTCTGGAGAAGAGACAGATTAGCCAGTACAGTGGCTGATAAATCTGCTCTCAGATTTCAGTTCACAAGAAGTCTTACTCATTACAAATTAAAGTAAATCACCAACCAAATAAAGAAATTCAAATTCAAAATTCTCAATTTCTTGGAAAAGTGTGGGTTTTTTTATTTGTTTTTGATGATTTGTTTTTACTGTAAAATGTACAAACATCTGACACTATGATCATACACTGAAGATATTGCTACCATGTTGAAAATTTATGAAGACCTGAGAATTATCCAATAAATAAATCCATAATGTATTGTTTTCATTTCTTATCCATTTTTATTCATAAATATTGGATTCTATATGAATTAATTTGTTAAAATGTAAATATTTCACACTGTGACAGACATCAAAATTGATTTCTCCCATTCTGATATCATTTCCATTACATATGTACTGATCAATCAATGTACCTGTAGATATTTTTTCAGATACAAACACAGTAAAAGATGTTGTTAGTCATGACCATATTTTGTTCTATACATTGAGACATACAAATTTGTACATACAATTGACAAACAATTTCACAAGTTACAGATAAAGTTCACATCAATTCAAAATGGCGGCTGGCCTTGTCATTACCTGTAGAACTTGACACCAATGATTACGAAACTAATTTCACAACTTTTTGCATGAAAAGGAAAATGAAAGAATTCATATTTCAGTATCTTGTATTGACTGCAGCATACCAGTTACAAAATGGGAAATCAATAGGTAATTGTGTGTCTCTGATTAATGTTTAGACTGTCTGTACTAACAACGTCTGTAGCCAAGATAGATTCTGCACAACTAACCTGAATTCTTTAACGGCAGGAACTTTTGGACAATCTTTCAAATATTCATTAACTGAAATAATAATTACCATTATGTGTTCATTAATACATAAGTACAGATCATGTTAATGTGTAGAGTTTGAATTAAGTAAGTTCAATCATAACTCACACCAAGCATCACCACGGAGTGGAATATTCATTTTTCATTATTAGTTAGAATGACAGTGAAATATTTTTTTTTGTACAGTGAAAGACGGAATTATAATGAATTGACAAAACTGGTCATTTGGTTATAATTACATATTAAATCATTCAACTTGACTGTATTCTGTTCTACATTATCATCCTTGAAATATCCTATAAACAGGCCATTTATTAACAAACCATACCTCTCTCTACTAAGTCTACAGCTCCTTCAAAGTCTCTTTGTGCAATACACATATCTAGATCTTCTGGAAGTTCTTGTAACCAATCAGAGTTCAGGAAATCTGTTTCCATGGCAGCAAGAGTCTCACTGTCATCCTCTTCTCCAAATGCTGATTTAGAAATGAAAAATGTATTATAGTTTATTTCAAGTTCAGATTGGAACCTGTACCCTGGCGGTAATGTTTCACTTCATCAAAGATGAAACTAAAATCACTTTGACAATGTAAACCATTGTTGGCCTTCACAGGTCCAGCTAATATAGCAAATTACCGTAATTTCAATCCATGTAATATTTGTCTTTTCCAGAGCAAAACACTTGTATTTAAGTGTTTACATGTATTACTGATACCCATCTTCATAGGAAATACAGCTTCACAAGTACAGTAATACAAAAAGTGGTTTTAGGTCATCCTCAATATTCTAGCAGTTATGATCCAGGGGTGCAGTGAGTGAAAGTGATCATAACCCTTGGAATATCGAGGATGCTACAAGGTTACTCTTCAAAGAATACACTTCAGAAAGATTTCAAGTCCATCAAATATGTTAGATAAGTTATGATGACTTTATCTTAAAGAAAAATGAGAATGAAAAAAAGAAAGCATTATATACCTGATAAGAAGAGAGAACTATATTTCATCTGTGTATAGAAATGATGGACTTGGGTCATTTTAAGCAGCTTCTAACAAGACATGATACAGATATTGGATTTGAATGATGATGATATTTTGTTGCTAGCATGTGTGGACTACACAAATTTTGTTTCTAAATACAGATGTGGTGAATCAATTTTTTGTTCCTACATCTAGATATACTAGGGAAACACAAACAATTTTAAAAACATGAGGCAAATTAAAATTTAAGCCTCTTTTTTCATGTTTATCAACTTTGACAATGAGAAAAAAATAATTTTACATGTTTGAATATAGTGTATGATAGCAAATGTTCCACACTTTTAGGACATGATCACTAGGAAAGCAATAATCCTGTATATTTACTGTCTGCCTTTATACACTATTATCATTATTGACATTACTAATGGTAATTTATATAATGAGATATTGTAATCAGTGAAGACACCCAAACATTTTCACACATATCTGACCAGGACACTCACGATTACTATCTTCTGTAGGTGTCACAGAGGCGACAGCTTGCTGTTCTGCTAAAAAAATGGCAGCTTCCTTCTTCTGTTTGTCCCTATTGGCTTTTCTTTTTTTAGTCTCCTCCAAAATGTCGAGCCACTGTCTCTGTGTAAATGATAAAGTTCTGTGTGATAAGATATTGATCTTCTCACTTTCAATGTCTTAGTCTAGACCCTACATACATAACTGAACCCAGCTCTGTCCCCATACATAATACGTAGCTATAGGATATCTGAAGGATTTTTTCATTGAAAAATTGAAGATTCTGTCCGGCCTCCAACTTTGTTTGTCAGAATTAACTGGTACACAAAACTGACACAAAAAGTATTTGACAATCTAATATGAATGTATAAACATATAAGATAATTACTGTATATATTAATGCAAAGTCAATATCATGCAAAATCTGGATGAAGTGTTTGAAAATGTGATAGTAATTAGCAAGACAGAAAACAACAAAGACAGCAGCCTGTTTAGGACATTGAAAAATATGTCCATGATAATTTGATTATCTTTTGAAACATTTACCAGTACATGTTCAACTGTCTTTGATTTCATTTTATTTTCTTTCACATCGGATATCGCAATGAAACAGAAGCCATGAGCACATATCCGTTTTCATGTGTATTAGCAGAAGTTAGTGTTGATATATAAGTATGCGGAGTGTGGATGTATCAACAGAAGTTAGTGTTGATATATAAGTATGCGGAGTGTGGATGTATCAACAGAAGTTAGTGTTGATATATAAGTATGCGGAGTGTGGATGTATCAACAGAAGTTAGTGTTGATATATTAGTATGCCGAGTGTGGATGTATCAACAGAAGTTAGTGTTGATATATAAGTATGCGGAGTGTGGATGTATCAACAGAAGTTAGTGTTGATATATAAGTATGCGGAGTGTGGATGTATCAACAGAAGTTAGTGTTGATATATAAGTATGCGGAGTGTGGATGTATCAACAGAAGAGTGTGGATGTATCAACAGAAGTTAGTGTTGATATATAAGTATGTGGAGTGTGGATGTATCAACAGAAGTTAGTGTTGACTTATTAGTATGCGGAGTGTGGATGTATCAACAGAAGTTAGTGTTGATATATAAGTATGCGGAGTGTGGATGTATCAACAGAAGTTAGTGTTGATATATAAGTATGTGGAGTGTGGATGTATCAACAGAAGTTAGTATTGATATATAAGTATGTGGAGTGTGGATGTATCAACAGAAGTTAGTGTTGATATATAAGTATGTGGAGTGTGGATGTATCAACAGAAGTTAGTGTTGATATATAAGTATGTGGAGTGTGGATGTATCAACAGAAGTTAGTGTTGATATATAAGTATGCGGAGTGTGGATGTATCAACAGAAGTTAGTGTTGATATATAAGTATGCGGAGTGTGGATGTATCAACAGAAGTTAGTGTTGATATATAAGTATGTGGAGTGTGGATGTATCAACAGAAGTTAGTGTTGATATATAAGTATGTGGAGTGTGGATGTATCAACAGAAGTTAGTGTTGATATATAAGTATGTGGAGTGTGGATGTATCAACAGAAGTTAGTGTTGACTTATTAGTATGCGGAGTGTGGATGTATCAACAGAAGTTAGTGTTGACTTATTAGTATGCGGAGTGTGGATGTATCAACAGAAGTTAGTGTTGATATATAAGTATGTGGAGTATGTGGAGTGTGGATGTATCAACAGAAGTTAGTGTTGATATATAAGTATGTGGAGTGTGGATGTATCAACAGAAGTTAGTGTTGACTTATAAGTATGCGGAGTGTGGATGTATCAACAGAAGTTAATGTTGACATATTAGTAAGCGGAGCGTAGATGTATCAACAGAAGTTAGTGTTGACTTATTAGTATGCAGAGTGTGGATGTATCAACAGAAGTTAGTGTTGATATATAAGTATGCAGAGTGTGGATGTATCAACAGAAGTTAGTATTGATATATAAGTATGTGGAGTCTGGATGTATCAACAGAAGTTAGTGTTGATATATAGGTATGTGGAGTGTGGATGTATCAACAGAAGTTAGTGTTGATATATAAGTATGCGGAGTGTGGATGTATCAACAGAAGTTAGTATTGATATATAAGTATGCGGAGTGTGGATGTATCAACAGAAGTTAGTATTGATATATAAGTATGCGGAGTGTGGATGTATCAACAGAAGTTAGTATTGATATATAAGTATGTGGAGTGTGGATGTATCAACAGAAGTTAGTATTGATATATAAGTATGCGGAGTGTGGATGTATCAACAGAAGTTAGTATTGATATATAAGTATGCGGAGTGTGGATGTATCAACAGAAGTTAGTATTGATATATAAGTATGCGGAGTGTGGATGTATCAACAGAAGTTAGTATTGATATATAAGTATGCGGAGTGTGGATGTATCAACAGAAGTTAGTGTTGATATATAAGTATGCGGAGTGTGGATGTATCAACAGAAGTTAGTATTGATATATAAGTATGCGGAGTGTGGATGTATCAACAGAAGTTAGTATTGATATATAAGTATGCGGAGTGTGGATGTATCAACAGAAGTTAGTATTGATATATAAGTATGCGGAGTGTGGATGTATCAACAGAAGTTAGTATTGATATATAAGTATGTGGAGTGTGGATGTATCAACAGAAGTTAGTATTGATATATAAGTATGTGGAGTGTGGATGTATCAACAGAAGTTAGTATTGATATATAAGTATGTGGAGTGTAGATTGAGATTAATCATCAGACTATGGATTTAATTGATTATTTACTAATATTGATCTTATTGATGCTTACAAAGTATATCTCGTCTAATGATAAGGAAGGAGCATCTTACCTAAATGTAACCAAGTTCCTCTTTTCACAACACACATATGTATGTTTACAGTATATTCCATGTGATTCCTATCCATATACCGATTGCTTACATATACAGAGAGGATGTTCCTGATTTGCCCACTTTTTTTTAAAACAAAGATATGTGTTGTTTTAGGAAGACAATAGAAAACCAATTATAGTCAGTTACAGTTTAACTATAGATTTCACCTATGTTTATTTACCTGTGTTTTTACCTGTGTGAGCTATTACCAGAGATTCTACCTGAAGTCTACACTAAGTACTTTTCATTACATTTCATTTCATTGATTTTATTACACACATTATATTAGATAGCAAAAGCAAAATGTTTATCATTTCATACACATTACATACATATATATAAAATTAAACATGCAAAGCAGAAAGTTTATCATTTCTTATACATATAAATACAATTAAACATACAAAAAGTGTAAAGTTTGTCATTTCTTATACATGTAAAAACACAGGTAAATACAGGTAAATTAATATGAAATAGACTATAATCCTTATCACAACATTCTTCTGTCCATGTTATTTTAAATAGTGGGCAAATTGGGATACAGCCATACAGAGTTGGGGCCACAATTTATGTTAGCTGGTGCACGCTTGATGTGACAGCGAGACATGAAAGAATAGCTGACTTGTATAGATTATATTTACTGGTTTGGTCATGAATACATTGATAATGACTCGTACCTGTGATTTCAACACTGAACACTGTTGATAAGGGCTAGTGGTAAGACAAGTGCTGGAGTACGTAAGATAAATAAGGGATAATTGGTAAGTGAATAACAGCAAGACTTGTCTGATGTCAAAGAAAACAAACAAGAAAATGAACAAACATTAGGCTGTAATTAAACATAAGGTTATCAATAGTCAGTAAATGAGATGAAAACAAAGTTTGAAGAGAATGTTTTCAAGTTTTGGACTTTTATATTGTTGGTCTGACGTGTTAGCTGAAGATTCTGTGATCAATTTCCTGGCCCCCGCAGATAGATTTTTGCTGAATTTTTTGGGTGCACACATTATGCAAGTAGAAGATTTTTTTACTATTTTCATCCCAAAAAGTACCTGCACACATTACATAACTCACCTTTGCCTTTGCACTGTCGGCCTGGTACATCTTGGAGTCAGGAAACATGAGGATCTTAAAGGCATTCTTGACTGGCCCAGCATCCCGAACATTGACCACAGCCAGGCTATCCAGCTCATAGAGGCCCTGGAACCTGTACCGCACTGGTCCTCGTCTATGACATCATACAAAATCACATCAATGTCAATAACTGTGTTTGCTTTCATTTACAGCTGTTAACAAAATGTACTACCAAAACAGTGGTGTTTGATAAGAATACCTATCTAATTCTAACAAAATATCTTTTTTCACAATCATACAAACAAGAAACACTGACATTACTGTCCTTGGAAAAGCAAGCTTGATGGACTAATCTTTAAAACAGTATATTTCTGTTAAAGCCCTTACTAACTTCTAATGTATAACAATATCCAAACATTACCAATGTTGTTGCTGCTAGAAAAGTATACTTTACTGAATCATTTCCAGCAGTGCATCAAGGTCTTTACATAGGCATTAGTCCACAGCCAAAAGTCCCTCAAAGTAAGTCTTTACATAGGCATTAGTCCACAGCCAACAGTCCCTCAAAGTAAGTCTTTACATAGGCAGTCCCTCAAAGTAAGTCTTTACATAGGCATTAGTCCACAGCCAAGCCAACAGTCCCTCAAAGTAAGTCTTTACATAGGCATTAGTCCACAGCCAACAGTCCCTCAAAGTAAGTCTTTACATAGGCATTAGTCCACAGCCAACAGTCCCTCAAAGTAAGTCTTTACATAGGCATTAGTCCACAGCCAACAGTCCCTCAAAGTAAGTCTTTACATAGGCATTAGTCCACAGCCAACAGTCCCTCAAAGTAAGTCTTTACATAGGCATTAGTCCACAGCCAACAGTCCCTCAAAGTAAGTCTTTACATAGGCATTAGTCCACAGCCAACAGTCCCTCAAAGTAAGTCTTTACATAGGCATTAGTCCACAGCCAACAGTCCCTCAAAGTAAGTCTTTACATAGGCATTAGTCCACAGCCAACAGTCCCTCAAAGTAAGTCTTTACATAGGCATTAGTCCACAGCCAACAGTCCCTCAAAGTAAGTCTTTACATAGGCATTAGTCCACAGCCAACAGTCCCTCAAAGTAAGTCTTTACAATAGCAGTCTTTACATAGGCATTAGTCCACAGCCAACAGTCCCTCAAAGTAAGTCTTTACATCTTTACATAGGCATTAGTCCACAGCCAACAGTCCCTCAAAGTAAGTCTTTACATAGGCATTAGTCCACAGCCAACAGTCCCTCAAAGTAAGTCTTTACATAGGCATTAGTCCACAGCCAACAGTCCCTCAAAGTAAGTCTTTACATAGGCATTAGTCCACAGCCAACAGTCCCTCAAAGTAAGTCTTTACATAGGTATAAGTCCACAGATCAGTACATATTATACTCACCTGTTAGGAAGCCAGGTTGCTATCATTAAGCTGTCATTGAGCAGAAAGGAATGGACTCGTTGGATCTGCATGAATGATTCAGCATCCAGCTCTGCCAGGTCACTATTGTGTACAAGGTGACGGCCAGGGACTTCTGTCACGCTCTGTTTCACAAGAAACCGCAACCAAACAATGATCACAATACTACGTTGTATTATATCACAGGAAACCGCAACCAAACAATGATCACAATACTACGTTGTATTATATAGGGACTTCTGTCACGCTCTGTTACACAAGAAACAGCTACCAAACTACCATCATCAATCCTATAAAAGACTTCTGTAATGCTGCTACCAAAATATTCACAATCAAACAAATACTAAACAAGCAACCGTATGTAAATATAGAAATTCTACCTCAGAATGAGCAAGTTAGATTCCGTAGCTTGCTGAAATTTCAAACCAAAATTCTGAAATCAAAGACAAAATTCTATATCCCCAAGACTTGCGAAACATAATAATTGATTCTTTATCTTCCACCTTAATCGTGCGAGACAGGTGAAATTTGGCAGTTACAATTACAAACATCACTAGATAATGGAATTTCAAAGTGATCTAAAAATTTGGAGAAAGTGAAGAATACTTCTGATACAATGGAGATACACTTTGAAATAAAATCAATTGAAAAAGCTTAAAAATAAAATCACAGAAACTACTGTTCTAAACAAGAGATCCAAGAGGGACCTTGGTACCCACTATTGTTTAGTCTTCATTTGTTCTTCAAAAGTTTGATATTTCCCTTTCATTTTCTTCTTTCCTCTTATTTGCGTTTAACTACCAGATATATGAAATTTGAGGATTCCTCTTAATAAATAGTAACTTTACTAACAACCTGTCAGATCATGACAGCAGCATGTCAGCCATTTTGTTTTTCTGTTCAGTCTCAAAATCAAAAGGGCACAATTAGGGGTCATGGGAAACCTATATATGGAATCTGAGAAAAGGATCAATCTATTACATATCAAGAGAGTGCCATAGCAACCCTTAATTGTCAAAATCCAAAGCCAGACAGCCATTCCTTTTCTCTGTCTTTTTTGGTTTTTCTGTCCCAATGACAAAAGAGCAAAACTTAAGACCAAGTGAAACCAATGTAAGAAATTTGGGAAAGGCCTATCCAGTACTTCTCAAATAATAACAATAACAAGGATTGTCTACATAATGGCAGAGGCATGGTATCTGGCACCATTAACTTACAGAACAGCCCTCCACCTTCTCTAGAAGGAAGGCTAGGTTTTTCCTGGTTTCCTCTTCAGGGTTTTCTTGTTCTTGCTCTTTTGGTTCTTCAACTATTGCTGTTAATGAAGAAACATTTGATTATCTCTCTTTTGCAAACATATGATTTAATCAAAATACAGCAAAGTGCATAAATATGTCCTTTTCTAAAATTTAAAATAATTACCTCTGTTTATGTTAAGGATGTTAATACTAACCTTTATCACTCACTAGTGACATTTCCATCATCGAGGACATAAGACTCTTCTGTTCTGTGAGAGTATGACTGAGCTGGTACATCTCTCCTTCCAGGACTAGGTGCAGTTAAGGATGTATGTACATGTTCAAACTATTTAACATTTTCAACTGTACACTGAAGAATTTTTCTGACATGAGTACCACAAATATATGCCCATCCATGAAGATTAACTTTATCTAAAATACATTTTGAGCTGCCTTAATAAAAAAAAAAAAAACAATCAAAAACTAAATAACAGTTCTTCCAAAAATGTAATGATAAAAATGATCACTGCAACTGATCTTATATATAAACAAATAATTTTCAAACATAACATGAACAAATATCCGCAAAAAAAACCAACTGCATAAACAGGATTCCCTCATTAAAAGTCAATATAATTTCCAAATCACTTCTGGTGTAAGTATTTCTTCACATAATATCAGTAAAAATCCACACAACTTTGAATGAAAAATTAAATTGCATGTTTTTTCTGTTGCTATCTGTGTCATCTGAATGATATGTACCGATAACATGCAGTATGAATTTGCATGTGTAAATTTAAGACCGTCATGCCACCTTTTGGCAGCACATAACAAAGAGAAAATGTTTACAACCCAAATTTCACTCGGTCAAACGGGTGAAATTATATCAAAATTTTTTCCACAGATCAAATGAAAGACATCTGAATGATTAGACTAATGTAACAGAACAGGGAAAAAGCATTTTTCTACCAAGAACTCCAACAGGAATTGAAGGTGATTCTCTGGCTTATACTAACAGTCAATGACTCTACCAACTAAGCCAAAGGAGCATGCTCTGTTAGCTGAGTGACAAAGACCAAGTTTAACACTACAGTCAAGTCATACCGACCAGTCCCCTTCACATTCTATTATTTGAGTTAAAGTTATTTTAACAAAGTGACAAAGATTTATGTGTTCTGTAATATCAAACAGAACATTTTCTAAATATACTGATCACAACTGTGATAAAATCAAAGGATACTTGATATTTCTTTCGCTGTTTCAATAAACTGGAAATAATTTTTGTACACATTTTTCTTGAGAGAGTGCGCAGTTTCATCTGACAAGATCTGAACTTTTTGTTTCATCACCAGCAAATCACTTTCTCCCCCTGGTCCTCCTGCCAATTTGCTGACAACTGTTTTAAAAAAGGAAAAGTTTGCAATTGAAGCTTCATCAGTGATTGATATCTATTTACCATATTTATCCAGCGATAAGCCAATCCATATATATTTCCTCAGTACTCATGGCTATTTCATACTCCTGTAATATTCCCAGCCGCTGATCACTTTGAATAAAAAATAATGTATTGGTTCCCTGAATATATTTAATTACTGGATATATTTACACAGTAGATCTACATGTAGTACTGCGTTGATGTTTTTGTAAAGAGGAAACTTTTAATGTCATTTCAACTTTTAAATAGTGAAATGATTTTGCTATTTAGCACCCCATCGGCTATACATATGAAATAACTGCGAATTTTAGAATTTTTATAGGAAGCATCTCCTGATCATCATATAACTTTAGATATGGATAAAAAGGCATTTGTTTTGCCTGCTTCCATTATTTACTTATTATTATTATATCATGTCTCTGGTTCAATACGCCAAAAGTTCAATCCCCATTATTTACGTGTAGACTAAAAATATCATCTTATGACAAAGTAGAAAATTACTAACACTGTCAAAATCATGAGAAAAGCCTATCATAAATTATAAGTTAACATACAAAGATAACGAAATAGGTCATAGAAAATATGGTCCCCAGGTTTAAGCTTATGCTCGAATCCTGGTCCCCTCCCACCTCGAGCACTTGTTTACGTTAACAACCCATCACTTTTAACAATTTATATGCACATTTGACATTTATATCGCAAATATGCTATAACCAGTTAACTGAGCTTAGCGTAACAAAGTAAACAGCAATAAGATTCTCACAATTTTCAGGATTAAAATCTTGCTTCGACAACACTCTCGCCAGCCCTCCATGGTCAGCCATTTCCGTAATTGACTAAACAAGAAACCAAGATTTTTTTCTGCCATATTTCCGGATCTGAAAAAAATAGACTTGCGTTTTCTGAACATATCGAAAATTAAAAATACAAAACCCGCGCCTATTCATTTTAAAATATCTAACGTCGAAAAAGTAAGGAGTATGAACGCTTATTGATTAAATAGTTTATATCTCATTGCCGGAATGTTGGTTTCAGGATTTAGATTCGCCTGGCAATGGCGGCGATTAGGAAAGGTAGAGTGAGTCAACAGACTTTTTGTATGGGTGCATGTATTGCACTGATACCATACATCGGCGTACTGGGCAGGAACTTCCAAAATTTATGGAATGATTCGTGGATTCCGCTTCTACTTGCATACATTGTGTGTTATCATGGAGCCCTTTTCGTCCTGTACAACTTCCAGTGGAATGAGAAAGATATCTACAAGGTTGTAAGGAGTGACACGTTGTTTGGCTCGTCATATTATACAAATATCAGACAGGCATTGTCTAAAAAGAACGCAGCGTTTGAATAGATTTTTATCATTATATTTTCATGTGTATGCTGTGATGTATTTATTTTTTCTATGAAATATTTTTCTCTTACTTCTAGTTTTGATACCCATTTTAAGATTGTTAGGTGTAAAATTTCACACCCAAACGTTTTCGAAAATGTTTTGTGTCCAGTTTACAAACACTTATGTAATTAAATGTAACAAGTACTGGCTTTAAAACATACACAACAAAAGCTATGTATACTGAATATGGGCTTTTTGCTCAGGTACTGGAGCACCAGCGATTCCGGCTTAATCTACAGATCAGGCTATGTAGAAGAATCTGACAATACATATGTAGGGTGAATGTAAATGACAGGTTTGGCCCTGTCATTTATATTATTATTTTTTTTTATGCATATTGAAAAAAATGGATGACTAATCATAGAAGTCAGTGAAATTAATGTGTTTGGCATATTTGTTCAAATCCAATTGATTTTTTTTAATTTCATTGCTACGTGTTTTTCCACATACACATGCCATTTAGTAACAAACTCTATAACGAGTCCATTCAATATGGCGTCATTCATTCATTGTGTCATCTGCCGAGAAGTATCCTTTTAATGCAGATTTGGGCCACAGGTCTGCTTTCAGCATAATGTCTTCATGCAAAAAATTCATAACCTGCAATCATGGTGCATTAAATGGTGGAAACAAGTAAATTATGGCATGCATCAAGGAAATTTTATTTCTCACCATCACAACATGTTGTTAAAGCGATGCATTTATATAATATACTAAATTTATACAGCGCCTTATCTAATTCGTTAGGATTACACTAAAGCGCTTTACATAAAATAACATAAAAATTAAGCATAAAGGATATCGTTCATTATCCATCAATGTAAAATGTCCATCACAAAAAACCTAAAACATTAAAACTATGTCATACACTGTCTATCAATAGAAATCCTATCACAATTTAAAGGCTGTTTTAAAAAGATGTGTTTTCAGTGCGGATTTAAAAGCAGACAGAGATTCTATGTTCCTCATGGAAAATGGAAGATTATTCCACAAGTGTGCTGCTGCTGTATCAAAGCAGCGGTGTCCATATGTGGCAGCCCTTGCTTTGGGGGAAATAAGCAATGCACCAGACTGTGACCTCAGTGTCCGAGTTGGTTTATAGGGACGTACAAGTTCCTTGAGGTACTCTGGTGAGTTCCCATGGAGAGCCTTAAACACAGTCATGAGCAGTCGCGCCGCAGTATTTTGCACTCTCTGGAGACACTTAGCCAATGTACCTGGAATGCCATATAACAAAGCGTTCCCATAGTCCAGTCTGGATGTTACGAGTGAATGCACTAGAGTCTTGTAGGCATCAGTGGACAGAAATTGCCGAATACACCCGATATTCCTTATTTGAAAGTGGCGTGACTTTGTTACAGAAGTCACTTCTTTTTCCATACTCAGAGAGCTATCTATAAAAACTCCCAAGGTTCTTTACAAATGGGACAGCCCTGATAGAGTTGTTGCCAATTTGAACCTGGAATGCTGGAATGTTTTTCATTTTGTGTTTTGGAGTTAACACAATGACCTCCGTTTTGTCTTGATTCAGTTTTAACATATTTGAAACTGTCCATGAACTAATGTCTGATAGACATGCTTCCATCCGTGCAGATAGGTCAACCAAATTGTCAGTGGGTTTTATAACCATATACAATTGGGTATCATCCGCATAGCAATGATAGGACAGGTTGTGACGGCGACAAATATCTCCGATCGGTTTGGAGTAAAGACAGTACTTTCTTGGCCCAAGTACTGATCCTTGGGATACACCAAAAGACAGTGTTCTATCCTTGGAAGTAGTACTGCCTATAGCCACACTTTGCCTCCTGTCAGTTAAGTAAGACTGTATCCAGGAGAGTGCATCATTGGACACACCGTATGTATGTTCCAACCGCTTAAACAGTATACCGTGATCAATAACATCAAACGCAGAGGATAAGTCCAACAGTACAAGAACAGCTGAACAATTGCAGTCCAACGCGTTTGCTATGTCATGGTGTACCCTCAAAAGAGCAGTCTCTGTTGAATGGAATGGACAGTAAGCTGACTGATGGCTGTCGTTAAGATGGTTTACATCGAGATGTACTTCTAGACGCTTTGTCACTACCTTCTCCAGAATTTTAGACAGGAATGGTAGGTTTGATACCGGCCGGTAGTTTTTCATCACTCCTTGTCCAAACCATGTTTTTTTAGCAATGGCCAAATGATGGCTGTTTTAAAACAAATCGGTACCTTTTGCTCAACTAGAGACTTGTTAATGATAGCAGAAATCAGCGGGAGCAGGTGTTCCACACACTGTTTCAAAAGGTATGTAGGAATAGGATCAAGTTCACAGGATTTGGAAGGCGCACTGATGATAATCTTGCGAAGTTCGTCAATAGATACCGGGTCAAACTTTGTCAAATGTTCACCTTGAAATTCACTGTCCGATGACATAGAAACAGTATTAACATCCACCGAAGCATTCATCAAAGCAAGTTCATTTCTTAATGTGACAATTTTGTTTATGAAGAATGAACTAAACTGTTCTGATAAGTCTTCTTGAGACCCGCAACTTGGAAGAACAGTATCATGTTTCTGACCCATTAAGCCTTTGGCAAGTTTGTGCAGTTGTTTATGATTATTGCGACAATGTTCAATTTTACTGGAGTAATATTCACGTTTGGTTTGAATAAGACGTTTGTTCACTTTTCGACACTGGTCTTTGTATAACTGATTGTGGATTGCAAGTCGTGTTCTCCTCCATAACCTCTCAGCTGTGCGTCGTTTCTGTTTCTCACCACGGAGTTCTTCATCATACCATGGGGTATTAGGCCTCAATGTCACAACTTTAGAAATCAGTGGAGCATGTTTGTCAATGATGGTACTTATACCAGTATTGTAGGCAGTTACGAGGTCATCCACTGTGCCATCTACAGACTGTAGAGTATGTGATGATTTAATATCCTCAATCAAATCTGCTGTACAAACTGATTTGAATCTCCGAAATGAGACTTCTTTCCTGATTCGTTTGGGCTTTGAGACATATAAGGAGGTACAAATAGCCAGGTGGTCACACATGATATTACCTTTGGAATCACTGAGATGAGGATCAAAGATGGATGGCACAGACAGAATGAGAGGACTTCCATCGCTTGTGATTACTACATCCAACGTGTGTCCATGGATGTGTGTGGCCCCTGTAACGTGCTGAACTAGGTTGTAGCCTTCCAAGAGATTCAAAAACCGACGGGCGTTGCCATCGTTAGAGTCATCCAGGTGAAAGTTCAAGTCACCAGTTATAACAACATCCTGTGATATTGCAGCTTGGAGATCATGATAGGAAGACCACTGTTCGAAAAACTGACTGTTTCGAAAGCCGTTCTTTTTAGATAGCCAGATTTGCTGGTGCTCCAGTACCTGATGCTGGATTGTCCTTTTCTTGAAGAAAAACAAATCTGGTGGTGTTATGGGGGATTTGTGTAGACATGTGTAACAGCGGTCATTAATTTTTTCAATGCCTCTGCTAATAATCGACTTATCTGACGCTCAACCCGCTAAAGAGACCCGAGGGGTTACAGCGATGCTGGTGGGTGCCAATGTAACACAGGTCATTATTTATTTCAATGCCTTATCTGACGCTCAACCAATCGAGCTAACCAAGTGGTAAGAGAAGGGTAAATATTGGAAAAAAAACTTGAAATTCATTCTTATCAATTCAAATTATTCAAATTGCCCTAAATCTGTTGTCCATCTTCGAACATCCTTTTTGTTCAAAATTCTTGTAATTGCTATTTCTTGATATGTACTGGATGGGGAATTTTATATGAAAGTTCCTTTTGGTAACTAAATGTGCATTGTCCTATTTTTTTGGACTGATAAAAAAACAAAAAAAAAAACGATGCCATCTTGAATTTTGACATAAAAGTTTGTAATCACTGTTTCTGGTTAAGAACTGAATAGATCTTCGTCAAATTTTCATGTTTATTTTCACCTTGGTCCCTAGTTGTGCCCTTTTGATTTTGGGACTGATCAAAATAAGAAATGGCTGTCAGGAGGCCATTTTGGATTTTGACATCTTAAGTTTGTGATAGCCTTTTTAGGTCACCTGACCATTGTGCTACCTCTGTCGTTATATGCCTTCTGCCAACGCCGTCATATCTTAAACTTTTCCAGTTTCACAGGTGCCATTGAGCTAAAAATTGGTGGGAATGTTAAGGAAAGGTAACCAACAAAGTATTGTTATTTTTCAACCTTGTTAAAACTCTGTTATGGCAACCAGGAAGGCCATTTTGTAACATAATTATTGAATCATGGTTTTCCTATGCAACACCTATTTCAAACTTCTTTTCAAGTTTCACCAGTTAGATTGAGCTCCAACTTTACTGTCAAAAAATAGGTAACACTTGTTTTAGTTACATACACCTCCCCAGAACTACCATCTGCATCATGGAAAATAACTTCCTAGTAAGATTTCATTCAAAGTAGAAAAATAACCCTTTTCCTTGCTGAAAGTGTTTGTAATCAGATGACCATTAAGGCCCATGGGCCTCTTGTTCTTAGAAAGTGTTTGACAGATCTGTTTCTAATTTCATATGTAAGGACGCACTGGTCTCTTGTTGTGTACTATCCAATTGTTGATCTAATCCAAATGTAAATAGGGCTGGTTAGTAGTGATCTTGGACTTTGTGATCAGAGAAACAAATTGCTCAGTGGTGGCCTTTTGTTTTTGACATTTAAGAATTTGTTACCACTATTTCTTGAGAATGACTGGATTGTTCTTTTTCAGATTTGGTAGTATATTTCCCTTGTTCTGTTGTGCCCTTGAACTGAGAGAAAACAAAATACTGACAGGAGCAGGTGGTCGTCTTTTATACGACAGTAGATGATTATTATTGCTTTTTCTTCAAAGGAATTCTCAAATTTCCTATAATTAAGAAATAAAAAAAAAAAAAGAAGAAAAAATGAGGGAAAAAGAGATCAAATGAATATCAAAGAACGATGGGCACCAAGATCTCTCTGGGACCAATTGTCAATTTATGACAATGTTATTGTTCATATTATATTATGACATCACAATATCTGAAAATATGATATGAGCAAATTCCCTAGATAACAGGCTGGTTATGTGATAAATATAAATTATTTGTAATGGTCATTCATGTTTTTGCCCTATGTTTTTATTTTTTCCAGAAATGTTGATCTTTTAACTGACTGACTTTTTTGTCCCTCCAGGTTGCAGTGCGAGCAGCTTTCTTGGGAACAGTATTTGGACTTGGGTTACTAATTAGTTTCTCTGGCACAACATGGAAATACTTTGGCTGGTACATAGTCGCACTTAGCTTTTTCCATTTTTCTGAATATTACACAACAGCTTTAACAAATCCACGCTCACTGACGTTAGACTCCTTCCTCCTGGATCACAGTCGAGAATACAAAATGGCCGCCCTGGCTAGTTGGTTAGAATTTACAATTGAGTGGTATATAGCTCCAGGTAAGTTTCATTGTATCAGATATGTGTACCTTTTTGGCATCACTTACATGACAGGTTTCATAATTAATTATTAACTAAATAATTAATTAAACAAATTAGTGTTTTCTTCATCTTCCCAGGAAATGATTTTCTTCCACTATACAAAGAATCGTCTTCTCTTTTACTTTTTTAAGATTTCTCTGTCACACTATAGAATATGACAGATAGGCCATGTAGCTATCTGGTAATTGAAATCAGTGTTCCGTGACCATGTCACTGTGCATGTGGCTATCTGGTAATTGAAATCAGTATTCTGTGACCATGTCACTGTGCATGTGGCTATCTGGTAATTGAAATCAGTATTCTGTGACCATGTCACTGTGCATGTGGCTATCTGGTAATTGAAATCGGTGTTCCGTGACCATGTCACTGTGCATGTGACTATCTGGTAATTGAAATCAGTGTTCCGTGACCATGTCACTGTGCATGTGACTATCTGGTAATTGAAATCAGTGTTCCGTGACCATGTCACTGTGCATGTGGCTATCTGGTAATTGAAATGCAGTGTAATTTCCTTGTATTGACCATGTCACCATGTCACTGTATTGCATGTGTATTGATTATTATCTGGTAATTGAAATAGTTATTCCTTGTATTGATTATTATAACAGGAAGAAATCTATATCTGAAGTAAACAGCTTGTATTGATTATTATAACTGGAAGAAATCTATATCTGAAGTAAACAGCTTGTATTGATTATTGAAGTAAACAGCTTGTATTGATTATCTGAAGTAAACAGCTTGTATTGATTATTATAACTGGAAGAAATCTATATCTGAAGTAAACAGCTTGTATTGATTATTATAACTGGAAGAAATCTATATCTGAAGTAAACAGCTTGTATTGATTATTATAACTGTATTGATTATTATAAGAAATCTAATCTATAAATCTTGTATTGATTAGTAAACAGCTTGTATTAATTATTGAAAAGAAATCTCACTTTAAATACTGATGTTTCTCTCATGTTTTAAAATCAGTTTGGTGATCATTGGTCAGTGTTAAAGGTCAAGGATCACACTTTCAAAAGCTTTAGTATTTACAGTTACACTTGTAATCACTAGCACAATGATGGGAATCCTGATGAAGAGATAGGATGTGAGCCTTCAATCACTCTTACTTTAGTTTCTGTAAAACATTGTTACAGGTCACCTTTGTTTTATCAGTTTTAGGATTTTATGATAATTATTGTTTTAACATTACTTTTATTATTCATCACTAGTAGTTATACAATACGTTTGACCTAATTACAGGACTGAAGCAGTTTCACATGGTCAGCTTTATGGGGCTATTGATTGTAGTGCTAGGGGAGATAATCCGAAAGGCCAGTATGTTTACCGCGAAAACAAACTTCAACCATTACGTCCAGTACATCAAACAAGATGGCCACACCCTGGTCACGTCCGGTATTTACTCTTTCTGTCGCCATCCCTCCTATGTTGGCTGGTTCTACTGGAGTATTGGAACACAGGTAAGTCACTATACATTCAAACACTGGTTTGTCAGGGGGAAAATACAGCAGGGTAGTAATTCAAACACAGTACTAAAGCCCAAGTTTTAATTTTTTTTAAATTCCAACATTATCACATGACAGATAGCAGATGATAATGTGAATACATTCTGTATTCTGAAGTAATTACAGAGCTTACTGCCATAAAATTGATTGTATATGTTTTTCATATTATGGAGAAAACTTGCTTGTTAATCCTCAAATTAAGAATTGTCATATAAGTAGATGTAGACACATGGAGTATGTATTTTTAAAGCTAAGCCAGAAAGGTAACAGCCCATGTGTACCTGGTACAACCTCAGGCTTTACAATAAAGTAACAAGTAATTATTTCTTTAGAAGACTTCCAGGAGAAAGAAAAGGGGGACTCAGATAGAATTGTTGGGACTGATAGAATTGTTGGGACCCAGATAGAATTGTTGGGACTCAGATAGAATTGTTGGGACCTAGATAGAATTGTTGGGACCCAGATAGAATTGTTGGGACTCAGATAGAATTGTTGGGACCTAGATAGAATTGTTGGGACCCAGATAGAATTGTTGGGACTGATAGAATTGTTGGGACCCAGATAGAATTGTTGGGACTCTGATAGAATTGTTGGGACTTGGATAGAATTGTTGGGACTCGGATAGAATTGTTGGGACTCGGATTGTTGGGACTCAGATAGAATTGTTGGGACCCAGATAGAATTGTTGGGACTCAGATAGAATTGTTGGGACCCAGATAGAATTGTTGGGACTCAGATAGAATTGTTGGGACTGATAGAATTGTTGGGACCTAGATAGAACTGTTGGGACCTAGATAGAATTGTTGGGACCTAGATAGAATTGTTGGGATTAAGATAAAATTGTTCAGACTCAGGTAGAATTGTTGGGACCCAGATAGAATTGTTGGGACCCAGATAGAATTGTTGGGACCTAGATAGAATTGTTGGGATTCAGATAAAATTGTTGGGACCTAGATAGAATTGTTGGGACCCAGATAGAATTGTTGGGACCTAGATAGAATTGTTGGGACCTGGATAGAATTGTTGGGACTCAGATAGAATTGTTGGGACTCAGATAGAATTGTTGGGACCTAGATAGAACTGTTGGGACCTAGATAGAATTGTTGGGACCTAGATAGAATTGTTGGGACTCAGATAGAATTGTTGGGACTGATAGAATTGTTGGGACTCAGGTAGAATTGTTGGGACTCAGATAGAATTGTTGGGACCCAGATAGAATTGTTGGGACCAGATAGAATTGTTGGGACTCGGATTGTTGGGACTCAGATAGAATTGCTGGGACTCGGATAGAATTGTTTGGACTCAGGTAGAATTGTTGGGACCTAGATAGAATTGTTGGGACTCAGATAGAATTGTTGGGACTCTGATAGAATTGTTGGGACTTGGATAGAATTGTTGGGACTCAGATAAAATTGTTCGGACTCAGGTAGAATTGTTTGGACTCGGATAGAATTGTTGGGACTCAGATAGAATTGTTGGGACCCAGATAGAATTGTTGGGACTGATAGAATTGTTGGGACTCAGATAGAATTGTTGGGACTCAGGTAGAATTGTTGGGACTCAGATAGAATTGTTGGGACCTAGATAGAATTGTTGGGATTCAGATAAAATTGTTCAGACTCAGGTAGAATTGTTGGGACCCAGATAGAATTGTTGGGACCCAGATAGAATTGTTGGGACTCAGAGACTAGTTGGGTACAGCCTTAGTTGGTACATCATAAGCACCTGTGTGCTTTGAGGAATGGGAGAGGGATTAGTAATCTTTACGTAAATATATTTTTTTATGAAGTTTGACTATTCTATGTTATATTAATTTTGATATATCTTCATTGACAGTGAAATATATATTTTTTTTGTTTGTTTTACAGTTGATCCTGTTCAATCCTATATGCTTGGTAGGATATACAATTGTTTCATGGAAATTCTTTAAGGAAAGGATTTATGAGGAAGAAATTTATTTGCTCAATTTTTTTGGAGAGCATTACTTGGACTATCAGAAAAAGGTTGGCACTGGTCTTCCATTAATTTCTGGGTATCGAGGAGAAATATAGACACTGTGATAACTGTAGTATACCAAATCAATGCCTTTCTCAGATGAATTCCATGTAGTATCACATGTCTTAATGTAGAACAAAGGATTCTGTTACTTTAAGGAGACGCCTCAATAAAGTGAGACTCCAACAATAAATAGATAATCAGGAATAAACTTAATTGTCATCAACACTTTCTGTGATTGCAGATTGACTAGCTATATTTTATATTTGTGTGAACAATGTTAATCATGAATTTGATTGTGTGATCGATTCTTTATAGGCATTAATGTTTTATATATATGTAATAGTATACTATAATTGCATTACTTTAGACGTATTTCATGGGCATGTAGTTGTTATTAGATATTAATCATTCTGGGAATCTGTGATAATGCTAGCACATATATATTACAAGCCCATAGGGCCAACACATTACTTCTCAAAATTTAAGCTCAATACAGGACAATTAAAAAAAAAATGGTTGAAAATTTTTGCTTTAACAGCTGTATTTTTGGTTTGCTTATCATCAGACATGAGCTTATTGGTGGTTGCATGCAATATTAATGTTCTCACTATCAGCTGATGCTAGTGCTGTCAAAATTAGATGATTTAGTAACATTGTCACTAAATTATATAAGGATAATGTTAACGGGAAACATCATGATATATAGGCGATGTTGCTAGCACTAAATAGGGAATAAGTCTACTGTGTTTTACAATTTTCAGTGGTACATTGTGATTATGCTGTTGTTGATTAAATTTTCCTGGTGATTCGTGCTGAGTATGTCACCTAAAATAGCCATATTTTGTATCTATTTCTTTAGTGGTTGGTAATGGGGACGGACATGCAGATATTATCACTGACCTTGAAAGGCTTAGTCAAGACTCTTATGAAAACAAAATAAAACCAGTTGTGGCCTGTCCTTATTTCATTAATGAACAGTTTTTGGTCCAACTGATCAAATGAATAAATGTAATTAGCCTGGAACAGTTTGATGCCCATTTACATACTGTTGGACTGAGGACTAAAATTGGATCTGATGTCTCTTTTTAAAAAGAGTTATTCCCCTTTGCTGACATACCCGATAGTTTGACTGGAGTAGGAAAAGAGGAAATGTAATGGCTTTGCCCATTTTTATTAAATGATAGAGGTATTGAAACATGACTTTCTTCCCATCTGCATTATATTTAGAAAAATTTATAGGGGAACATTGACTGATTTTTTGGGATTTTTTTCTTTTTTTGTTTGTTTTTGTTTTTGTTTTTTTAAACGTATTGTATTCATGTATGGTACTTCAAAAAAATAATTAATTTTTCATTGAAAAGTTTTGGTTTTTTTTTAAGGATAACTCATGGTACAGTGTATACTAAGACTAAGACACTGAAGAATAAGTTCTATTTTTTTTCTACCTGGTGGTTAGTTTTATTTAGCTCCAACAAAAAAATGTAAATTCTGTGTATTTAATATCAATGTAATGCCATCATTTTAGTGTGTGTTAAAATATACATTTTGTGTATCTTTTATCATTAGTATTTAATGTTCTAGCTTTTAGGAACACAGGGATGATAAAGTGACCTCATTGTTTGGGAGAGGTCATGTAAATATTGTATATGTGTAGGTCTGAGATACGTGTAGGTTAGTTAAGGATATTGTCTATGTCACCAACTAAATCCAATAATTATTTCTACTGGTTAGGGGAAATATACACTGGGGTATTGACTTGGTCATTCAAAATATTTCATAAGTATAAAGAAATAATGTCTTCTAATAAGTGTGTTGAGGGGAAACGTAAATAAATTAAATGTTGAAAAGAGAACTATGCTTGAAATTACAAATAAAACACTTTTTTCATCATCATTAACATAAATAGCATGTTACATATACCCTTAATGAGCCAAGACTCCCATCAAGGTTGACAAGGCTAAACAAGACAGGCTAACATATTCATTACAAAAACCATAATAAACATGATGTACACAAGTCAAAATAGGACAAACACAACACATTTACAACATTGATGACAAAATATCTCCATGGCAATGGTACTTGGGTCCACAAGTAGGAACATACTTGAAAATGTATATTGGAGTGTGTGAAAAGAAGAACAGACAGGAGAGAAACTGCCATTTTCCTTAACATGACTTGATCTGATCTTTAGTATTACAGATTTTTAATAAGCAGTATTGATAAATATATTCATTACTAACAGTCTATATAATTACTGTACCTGTTTAAGTTGATCTAAATAAAACAAGCTAAAGCTTTATAATGTAAGCACAATATTAATTATTTACAAGGTATTCCAATGTAATTAAGTGAAGTTACATATAACACAATATACTACACCATGTACAGGATATTACAATGTATCATTATTTCATACTCACTAGTCTGGTAATCATAATAACTATTAACATGCACAAGCCATATATGGTCAACAGGTTACCATCATAAAAGTAGGTATAGAATAAAAAGAGACAATATTATAGAGACATAAATATGACATCTGTTTGAATTAATGTTATTGACTAATTGCGACTATACATACTTAACAGGGAGTTTAGAGGGGATGTCAAATTAACAGTAATACGTAAATAAAATTGGATGAAAAGACATACAGATAAAAGACATACTGACCAATACATCTCCTAATTGTATAGAATTAGCAAACAAACTACACTACAAAAACAAAGTTTGTAAATGTGTATCAGCAGGAGTAACGACAGTCCTTGGGTCTGACTCTCGCTGCGGTCACTAGAGACGAGCTAGTTTCATGTCACTCATCCTTTCTGTGTCTTCTCACCTGCATTATCAACATGCTGTAGTTGTTTGTCTATTACATCCTCAATATTATCTCCCACGTGGAACACGATACACTTATTTGACACCTTACACAAACCAAACACATTGTAATACCAAGTGTAGACAATTCTATCACTGATCTAAACTTAATCCCTGAGGTTTAGATTTTGTTTGGTAATATCATCAGAGACCAAATTACCAGACTTTCTGAAAATTTCTTTTTATCCATAATCATGTGTTTATATCACTGTTGAAAAATGTCACTATGATGGGGCTTGCTGAACCTGAACTTCCTGGCAGGCGATGCATCGCCACAATGTTATAATAACCATCCATTTGTACTCCAGTAACTTCTAACATTTTTTCTGAGAAATCTTCTCGTAAATTTTCACCCTTGTGTTCTTTAAATCCATTCACTTTGATATTGTATTTGCTGGAATACTGTTCATTGTGGTTAGCTTGTGGTAGGGCTTCAGAGATTCTGTTCTGTTAGAAAACTAGGATGTCTTGCATCTCCTGTGGTTTTTTTTTAATATCAAAATTTACTCCATTCATTCTTTGACTTTATCGATCTCTTTGTCCATATATTTCTTTGTTGTTTCCATCATCACTTCTTGGCAGATCTGCTGTTTACTGTCTGTCTGTATGCATTCTCTCAATAGCTTGAGTCACTCCTTCATCAACTATTTTTCAAGGTCTGCTGATTTGGATAGTTCTCTAAGAGTGGTTTGAATATTTTGTAACTGTTTTAATGTCACAAATTTCCTGGGTTATATTACAGGAGCCTTCATCTTCCATGGTAAGTTTCAATTGTCTACTTGCTTTTAGATTACTAGTTCCAGTACAACTTCTTCTAGTAGAATAAGCCATTATCTCATCCAGAAAAATATGTAAGTTACACACTACACTATACAGTCACAGAAAACACTGGCGGAGAAATATACTACCCAGTGTAGTACAGTTCCATATTGTACAGGTGGTGAGTTATTATCAGACAATGCAACACTGATACTTGTCCAAGAAAGGTGTAAAAAAGACACAATTTTATATTCTTTCCACAATAAACTTCTACACTGTTGTTGCACATGATGATATAAACATTCCACTTGTTTTGATGTTGGTTCATAGGAAAATGGCAAAAAACTAGTGAGACTGTTTATTTGTCTACTACTCCATACCCAAGAACACAGCTCACCCCCACAAATAAAATGTTTGGTTCATTCATAGATTCTTTTGATGAGACCATGTCTCAGTTTCAAGAACATTCCTTAACTTAAGGAAATCTTAACTTCCATAGAAAAGTATTACGTAAGAAAAACTTAAATTTAAGGAAATTTCCTTAAGTAATGTAATTATTTCCAATGAGAAATATTAAGTTCAGTGAAATTCCTTGAATTAAGAAAGATTCATGAAGATAGGGTATGGTTTGCATGGGGGATTATTTGTATTGAACTATGATTATTCCACAGCTATATTTAGCAGGTTGCACATTTAACACACATTTAACAACTGACATTATTTATAATAAACATTGCATTTTATGATTTCGTAAGGACACATTCCTGTAAAATTTTATCATTTTTATTGCTACAAATTCACTTGAGTGTTTACATTATTAATATTTCATAATTAACTTGATGTGCTATTTCAACAATAAAATGTTGAATTTATTGATAAAATGAATTACTGTAGTAATTGATAAAATATTTAAAGTTCATCATCATTTTTTGTGAAATTATAGCTAAAAAGGATGAATACTGTTAACAGATAGGTCAAGTACTAAATATCTAGATAGTGTTTTCTAGATATGATGTTTAAATATTGATTTATTAAGATTTCATCTTAATGATAATCATAGTTTCTATGCTGAATACACCTTCTTCACATGTACTGTACTTATATACACAATTAACCTGTAGCATATGTTTATTTTATCACTATCAACATATCAGTCATTGTTTCCTTCTCAAACGGATCAGCTTTCTAGGACTAAGACGGCATCTTGTGAATAATAATGCAATAAGACTTTATATAACCTTGAATCACATTACCTGCTTAATGGTATATGATGGAATCTCTGTCAAATGATCAGGGAACGCATTAGCTCACATGATAGAGCATTGGCCTATGCAATCTTAGGTGAAGATGAGAGAGGTGTGGTTCAACACTCCCTACAATGGCAGTTGGTGTTTCTCAGAAAGCTGAGAAAGAGACCAGTCTGTGATGTGTCCTTGGACAAGACTCTTTACCCTTATTGCCCTGGATGGCATGCAAACGACCTTCATTATCTTGTAGAGTGAGGTAGTCATCAGCTACTACAAGGAGACCAGCCTCAAAATGGCCATTCTGGAGGCTATGAACACCGCCAACAACAAGTCTGTTGATTTTGTCGGAGTCAGAAGAGTGAAATTTTGTTAATTCAGTGTATAAAATGGTTATATTCTCAATCAGTGATTTCCGATATTAAGCTGTATGAAAGTCCCTTTTGTATGATTTTAATATAATTATCATTTTCTAAGTGAAAGCTGCATTATAATTTGTGTTTTATCTCTGGACTAGCATTGTGTTTTTATTTTATTCTGTTGTATTTAACATTTATTGTTCTAGGAATCATTCAATCACTTTTAATTGTCACGATGTCTGTTACTGTTATATGCATAATGGCTACCAGTTCACATAAAGTTTTAATAATGAAGAGCACTGCTTGGTAAGCCTGTTTTTTCTGACTCTACAATGCCATCAGAATGCCATACAGACTTTCTTGAAAATTATGTTTCTTAATCAGACCCTTCAATAATAACTTGGTATATGATGTGATACAGCTTGTCCTAGTTCATGATACTTGGCACTAACCCTAAATACTAAAGTCTTTCAAGATTACAGTATGATAGATGTACATGCAGACCATGGTGCTGGTAATAGGTTGCAAGACCCTGTAGTACTGACTCTGGTCCAGCTAAAACAAAATGTCCAACGTAACAGCTAGTAGGCAGCTAAAATATTTGTGGAGGTGTTTGATTAGAAGTAATAATTTCCAACAGGCTAAACATTCTTCACAGTTTGATGATAACTTAGGTGCAAAATTCTGTAACTGGTGAAGTTTGTTTTTCTGAGAATGAATGTGCATTGATATTAAATTGTGATAGAAATGAAAGTAATAAACCTGGCAGGCCATAAGTATTGTAGTGTATGTATGGTTAACAATGTTTATATGTATCAAGGAAACACTGTTAATTGTTTGATGTTGGAGATTATTAAAAATATCTGATTATTTGGTGTTTATTGTTCTTGTGTAATTAATATACCATTCCACGGATGTAAAATGCACATATCTTTCTACTAGCTAGACTCCTCCGCCACAATTTTAAAAAAATGTTTGTAGTCAACAACCCTTAGGGTCAGATGACCTAATATAATGTTCAAGTATACTTCAAGTATATTAATTTGATAAGTACTTTACATTCCATAACAAATTTGAGTTACTTCCACTTATCTACTTCTACTTATTTAATATGATGCAGAATATGTATTGCATTCATGTACTAAGCTTTGAAAGGACTTACATAGGCATAGCCTGTTGTTTGATCCCAGGAATAAATGAAAAGTTAAGATTTTGTTGAAATTGAAATATGCTTATATAGATACTGGCTGACCCTATGGGGTAGATGGATGTGGCCTAAATGGTTAAATTGACTCCATTTTCAAAAATCTTCTCAACACCCAGATATGATAGTATCTATTACTAAAATACTGTTAAAGGATGGAAGAGTTTATGTAGGAAAATTAAGATAATCAGAGCAATTTCTTTTAATTCAAATGTGGTCAGAGGTGTTATATTCAAATAGCATGGGATAACAGTTAATGTTATGTGTGTTTTACATTTGTATTACATGTACAATGTACTTCAAGCTATCTTACTTTGTTAACAAGATCATTTCTACAGCATTGTAATTGGTTAAGGTCACTGGTCATTGGGCCTCTTTTATTATATTGTATATATATACATTGTATTGTATATGATTAATTAACTCAATCTGCTCTGTAGGTGTATTCTCACCTATACAATGTTATCTCTTTCGTTTGGTGTTATACTACTGAACAAAAAAGCTTCTGTTGATTTGGTTTGAGGTCAGTGGTACAGTAAGGTGATTGTCACATCAAAGTATGGCAAATGTCAAATCACAGGAAGGTCAATGTCACATCACAGCAAGGTCAATGTCACATCACAGCAAGGTCAATGTCACATCACAGCAAGGTCAATGTCAATGTCACATCATAGTGAGGTCAATGTCAATCCATATCACAGTGAGGTCAATGCCACATCACAGCAAATGAAATGTCATATCACCGTTCAGTCATTGTCATTTCAAAGGAAGATCAATGTCATATCACAGCAAGGTCAATGTCACATCATAGTGAGGTCAATGTCAATCCATATCACAGTGAGGTCAATGTCACATCACAGCAAATGAAATGTCATACCACCGTTCAGTCATTGTCATTTCAAAGGAAGATCAATGTCACATCAAAGCAAGGTCAAGGTTACATCACAACAAGGTCAATGTCATCACAGCAAATGAAATGTCATATCACCGCTTAATCATTGTCATTTCAAAGAAAGGTCAATGTCATGTCACAGCAAGGTCAATGTCACATCACAGCAAGGTCAATGTCATGTCACAGCAAGGTCAATGTCATGTCACAGCAAGGTCTATGTCACGTCACAGCAAGGTCAATATCACATCACAGCAGGGTCAATGTCACGTCACAGCAAGGTCAATGTCACATCACAGCAAGGTCAATGTCATGTCACAGCAAGGTCAATGTCACATCACAGCAAGGTCAATGTCATAATATATATGTAGAAATCACAAGATCACTACAAGGTCAGTATCATAGTTGACAGATGAAATATTATTGATTACATAAACATCAAAAGGGGCTTTGTGCCAGTTGAGTTAAAACACCATTACAGTCTGAGAATATATCACAATAAACAATCGATCTTTAAACAGAATCTTTAATGGGTGAGGAAATCCAGCCTCTACAAAAATATATTAACAATATATAATGGTTTGTGATACAGATCACAAACAGTCGTATAAATATATTTAATTGGTTAGTAAGAGAGAAATTATTGTTTCTTTTAACATACACATAACAGTCCAAGCCAATAGAGACAATGCTGTTTGTTTTAGTGGGATGGGTAGTGTGCTTCTTCACTCTGGATACCCCACGGTAGACCAGGTGATTGATCAACAGAACAAATATATATATATATATCAATCACAATAGCCTTGGAGTGTGTAGTTTTTTGGTGTTATTTGATGCGTGTCAACTGGTTTCGCCCTCCCTGTCTTCTTCGTACATAATTTGAAGCTTGCACTATTGGAAAACTCGTGTCAGTTGAACAATTTCATTTCAATAAAATCCAGTGAAAAATTGATAATCTTCAACAGAAGTATAAAATGAAGATCAACAATTACAAGTGGCCTTACATTAAATGTAAAGTCCTTCACAGAGTTTATACTGAATTAGAGTGATTTCTGATGGAGGTGACCGATATCTTCACTTATCAATACGTACATCAACAAAAGCCTGCTTTGTTAATAGTACTGCATGAGCCTTGATTCATGCTTCCTGACGGATATCACAAAGTTTTAACATCTACAATGTAGCAATGGGGGTATTATGATTATAAAACTAACAAAAACATGAACATCTTTTAAAAAAATCCTACTTTTCCTTGGGTGTTCACAAGATATTCCGGTTTAACAGGTACAAAAAAAACAATACATCAGGATTTGGACGGAAGGATAGATAAATACACAGTAAAATGTGTCCTGTAGTCAACGGTATCACAAGGACATGTAATCTGACTATTGACAACATAAGGATTAAAAGCAAAATTGAAAATAAAATCATTATGTGAAAAAACAAATTAATAGTCAGTGTCATATGAATTAATCTACCAATATCTACACGTAAACACAGAGACCCTACAATTCATAAATATTAAGGCATTCCTACTTCATATTAATAATGTTAAGTTTTCCTAGAGATCACCACTTATCCTGCTTAGTTTAAAAAACTGTTTGTTTTTTCTAAAAGTTCAAATTCACAAACAAATGTGGAGAAATGAGGCCTTAATATCTAAAAATATGAAAATACACTTTGTAAGTTTATAAGCAGGTAGACATATTGTTTGATAAAGTTTTGTGTGATATGATACACATCATACAGAGTCATTTCAAATCACCAAAGTCTAGTCAAATTAAACAACCAAATGTCTTTTAAGATCATGATCACATAAGATTTAAGTTCATGAGAAACAAGATCCTTTTTCTCCAGGTTGGTTTGTATAGAGAATAGAAGATCTATCACAACTAGTGAAAAAAAGGACACAGGTTTGATTAAAATTTTCAAATCTAATAAATTTTTAAAGTAAAATAATTACTTAAATTCAAGAATAGAGTAAAATTCTGCAAAATCACAATGATTATTATATACTTAAATTAACGTAAATGAAAATTCTACAGAGTACATTTATAAACAATTTTCACCACATCTTTTACAGTTATATCCCCAGGAGACAATGTATTGTTACACGTCCCTGTGGTTGCTTCCTGTTTTTTTATTATATTCTGGTCCCAGTTGTCAATTGTCCTCCATTTTCAAATCTTTTACATCTTAGTCAGATGTATTGCTGGAGTTGCTTGCCTCTGGTTTTTCATCTGATCCCAAGGAAGTCTTTGATCCAAATGTCTGTTTTTCACCGCCCATCTTGTTGAGTTTCTCAAGAGTACTCAACATAGGTAAAGTTGGCAGGTTACCCTCATCAGACTCCATGGCTTGTATTCCTTAACAGACAAGGATTACTAACTGTTAATAGGCTGTACTATACCAGATAGTTCTTACAATTACATACCGTAGCACATAGTATTCCGTGTTGTCTATTTGTGTTCTTAAGAAGAACAAATTCAAATAAACTATTTAACCACATTATAAAGAATGATGGAAAAGAACCACATTACCTGTCCCCTTATTTATCTATCAGGATATGGATTGTGATAGAAGTATATATATCTCTGCAGAATAATTTGATAAAACTAAGAGGGTTATATAACCACTTGTATTGTTTTTACCTTGATCTGCCATATCCCATGCTTCACGGTCCAGTGAGTTGTCACGGATGTATTCTAAAACGCGACGTAACTGCTGTTCCCTGGCCTTTAACCTGTTTTCAAAATAATCCGAGAATATCACATCAGTATATTATATTTGTGTTACTCATTGGAGAACTCAAATACAAACAGATCATGTGACACCTTAGTGTTACTCATTGGAGAACTCAAATACAAACAGATCATGTGACACCTTAGTGTTACTCATTGGAGAACTCAAATACAAACAGATCATGTGAAACCTTAGTGTTACTCATTGGAGAACTCAAATACACATAGATCATGTGACACCTTAGTGTTACTCATTGGAGAACTCAAATACACATAGATCATGTGAAACCTTAGTGTTACTCATTGGAGAACTCAAATACACATAGATCATGTGAAACCTTAGTGTTACTCATTGGAGAACTCAAATACACATAGATCATGTGACACCTTAGTGTTACTCATTGGAGAACTCAAATACAAACAGATCATGTGACACCTTAGTGTTACTCATTGGAGAACTCAAATACACACAATGTCATGTGACACCTTTAAATGGTTCAAACTTGTATGATATACTGCATTCTGGTGAAAATTTTGTCACATTCATACAAAAAAAGTTTTATTTTCCTTTCAGGATCAGAATAATACATTTTTAACTTTTCCAAATATGCATTCTTATAACAAGGTCCTTGAAAAGCTACAGTTTGTATGACATGAGGAATACTGACTTCATTTCCTTGGTGTCCATCATGCAGAAGATGACCTTGGTGACAACCTTCTGTAGAATAGTGTCGTGAGATCGGGCAAACATCCCAAGGGCATCCCTGATACTGGGGTGGTTCACAAGCATCTCACATGTCTAGGAGAAAACAAGTTATTGTTTTGATGTGTAAGGATGTAGGCTGAGACAGTTTGTTCAGAGAATATAGCTTCGATATAGATAGTATTCCTCCCTACATTAGTAATTTTGGTTTTCAATACACGTAAAACAAATAAATACAATATTCTTTAAAATCATCCATTTTGGTTACTTTAGATAATTTTTAAATGTATTGTATCAACACTACATATTACCAGAACTTTCAGAACGAGACCTCAAAACTAGAATACCTGGACATTAATCTGGCCTTCAGATATATTCAAGGATTCATTAAACGGGGAAATTCCCTCCATATATTTCAGACCTATGTATCCTTCAATTAAAAAAATGATATTTGCTTTATTGCATTACTAAATCTTCAGAAAGCCAGTCAACGATTGATACAACGATGAAAGTACTGATAATGTATATCTTGTACCTTTCATATCAACACAATCAGAAGTAATACGGTCCACAATATGTATTGACTGGCTGATATCTATAACACAAAATCTACAAACATTTAAAAAGAAATCTTATTTTGAAAATTTAGCTCAGTCAGTGAAAATAAAATTTGCCTGGTGCCAGTTTTGCTTGTGATATTGTATCCTCTGTACCATAGTACAAAAAGCCCAGGGCGTAAAACATTGTGTCAGATTCCATGGTTAGTAGTGGGTATATCAGTGTAACACTGGTATAGAAACGCTTTCAACTAAACATGCACAGGCCTATTGTCAGAAAACAGGAGGGCTTACCATCTTGTTCTCAGCATAATAAAGGAGGATTTTGCCAGCCAGCAGATAAAGTTTCTCATCCAAGGTTTTATTGGGGAGGTCTAGCAGTACCTCCATTAGTTCCTCCTGAAAACATAAAGCTAACATGTTGTCATCTGTTGTAATATCAGATACTGGTGTCAGAAATATTCAGCAGAACAGGAATTTAATTAGAGTTTTGTAGTAGTCTACCTGAGCACATATCATCTCTGAGCTCTCTATAGCAAGTAGTTCAAAAGTCTGAAGGGCATAGCGCAGTGTCTCTGGGTCTGTACTGTTACACAGGTGCACCAAGGCTTGTGCTGAAAACAGATCAATTTCATATTAATTAACAATGGCAGTGTCACTAACTCACCTACCAAATCAACCTCAAATTGACATTTTAATAGCCTGCTTAAAGTGAATGATAGAATCACTTTGTACTTCTAAACTTTTGATTGCTGATTTAAACATTTCAAAATGATGTCACATTTTATAATAAAACAATGTTCTATAGGTCTGTTTCTGGTGGGTCCTACACATGTGTATCTGGTATGTTCTATAGGTCTGTTCCTGATGGGTCCTACACATGTGTATCTGGTATGTTCTATAGGTCTGTTCCTGATGGGTCCTACACATGTGTATCTGGTCTATATGTCTGTTTCTGGTGGGTCCTACACATGTGTATCTGGTATGTTCTATAGGTCTGTTCCTGATGGGTCCTACACATGTGTATCTGGTATGTTCTATAGGTCTGTTCCTGATGGGTCCTACACATGTGTATCTGGTCTATATGTCTGTTTCTGGTGGGTCCTACACATGTGTATCTGGTATGTTCTATAGGTCTGTTCCTGATGGGTCCTACACATGTGTATCTGGTATGTTCTATAGGTCTGTTCCTGGTGGGTCCTACACATGTGTATCTGGTCTATAGGTCTGTTCCTGGTGGGTCCTACACATGTGTATCTGGTCTATAGGTCTGTTCCTGGTGGGTCCTACACATGTGTATCTGGTATGTTCTATAGGTCTGTTCCTGATGGGTCCTACACATGTGTATCTGGTATGTTCTATAGGTCTGTTCCTGGTGGGTCCTACACATGTGTATCTGGTATGTTCTATATGTCTGTTCCTGGTGGGTCCTACACATGTGTATCTGGTATGTTCTATATGTCTGTTCCTGATGGGTCCTACACATGTGTATCTGGTCTATATGTCTGTTCTTGTTGGGTCCTACACATGTGTATCTGGTCTATATGTCTGTTCCTGGTGGGTCCTACACATGAGTATCTGGTATGTTCTATATGTCTGTTCCTGATGAGTCCTACACATGTGTATCTGGTATGATCTATATTTACCTGGCATGTTCCTAGAAGCCATCTGTGCTCTGATCTCAGCATTAAAAGCAAGCTCTAGGTAGATACTTGCTACTGTTCTCTGGCAGTAAATAGTGCCCTGGTATGCTGCATGAGCTAGGTCATCTAATCTACAAAGGTCAAGGTCATACATCATAAGTGAGGTGTGAAAGGTTTTCTATATACATGTACATATCTTCTTTAACCACACTTTGATACTACTGTAACCCTGGTAAAATACTAGCCGCAATATACCACTCGGCTAGAGAGAACTTCTCTTCAGCTCGATTGGTTGAGCGTCAGACCAGTAAGCCAGGGGTCCCGGGTTCGATTCCTAGCGGAGGCATTGAGATGAAAAATGACCTCTGTTACACTACAACAAACGTAGTCTAGCTTTTCAACACATATGCTTTTGTCCAACAGAAATAAACTCAAGGCATTTAGTCTAAATCAAATCAAATCAGTTTGAAACTGTAGCACATGATCAATACTTTTCTTTCCTTTCTTAAGAAAAATAATTTTTAAACAACCAGTTTCTACAATGATAAGGTAGAGTATATAAACACCTACAGTAAACTGTTCCTGGGACAAAAGAGATCCTTCCACACTACACTAAAGCTAAGTGTTCCTGGGACAAAAGAGATCCTTCCAAACTACACTAAAGCTAAGTGTTCCTGGGACAAAAGAGATCCTTCCAAACTACACTAAAGCTAAGTGTTCATGGGACAAAAGAGATCCTTCCAAACTACACTAAAGCTAAGTGTTCCTGGGACAAAAGAGATCCTTCCACACTACACTAAAGATAAGTGTTCCTGGGACAAAAGAGATCCTTCCACACTACACTAAAGCTAAGTGTTCCTGGGACAAAAGAGATCCTTCCAAACTACACTAAAGCTAAGTGTTCCTGGGACAAAAGAGATCCTTCCACACTACACTAAAGCTAAGTGTTCCTGGGACAAAAGAGATCCTTCCAAACTACACTAAAGCTAAGTGCTCCTCGGACAAAAGAGATCCTTCCACACTACACTAAAGCTAAGTGTTCATGGGACAAAAGAGATCCTTTCACACTACACTAAAGCTAACTGTTCCTGGAACAAAAGAGATCCTTCCACACTACGCTAAAGCTAAGTGTTCCTGGGACAAAAGAGATCCTTCCACACTACACTAAAGCTAAGTGCTCCTCGGACAAAAGAGATCCTTCCACACTACACTAAAGCTAAGTGTTCCTGGGACTGTTCCTGGGAAAAGAGATCCTTCCACAAAAGATATAACCACTAAAGCTAACTGCTAAAGCTAAGTGTTCTGGGATCCTTCCACACTACACTAAAGCTAACTGTTTCTGGGACAATAACTGTTCCTGGGACAAAAGAGATCCTTCCACACTACACTAAAGATAAGTGTTCCTGGGACAAAAGATATCCTTCCACACTACACTAAAGCTAACTGTTCCTGGGACAAAAGAGATCCTTCCAAACTACACTAAAGCTAACTGTTCCTGGGACAAAAGACAAATCCTTCCACACTAACTTTTTTACATACCCATGATCTGCTACAACAGAACTCTTATTTTCCTCTGACTCAGAGACAATTGTGTACAGATTCACAGTGGCCTCCTGCATGATGCGTGAATTCTCTGAATGAAGTAACGATGTCAATGTCTGCACCCCATTCATGTCCACAAAGTTGTCCTGTACAAATCAACAATGTCTGGGCTATTACAGAATACAAAACACTCAATATGTTCAGAGTTAGCTGAGTAATAAATCCCAAACATCAACTTATATCAGATATAATGAGTACAACAGAGTAGTACAAGGTATAATTACCTGTATTGACTGTATGGTGAGGCGCTCCCCTAAAATTACCTGTATTGTCTGTATGGTGAGGAGTTCCCCTATGTTATAATTACCTGTATTGACTGTATGGTGAGGAGTTCCCCTATAATTACCTGTATTGACTGTATGGTGAGGAGTTCCCCTATAATTACCTGTATTGACTGTATGGTGAGGAGTTCCCCTATAATTACCTGTATTGACTGTATGGTGAGGAGTTCCCCTATCATAACCTGTATTGACTGTATGGTGAGGAGTTCCCCTATGTTATAATTACCTGTATTGTCTGTATGGTGAGGAGTTCCCCTATAATTACCTGTATTGACTGTATGGTGAGGAGTTCCCCTATAATTACCTGTATTGACTGTATGGTGAGGAGCTCCCCTATAATTACCTGTATTGACTGTATGGTGAGGAGTTCCCCTATGTTATAATTACCTGTATTGACTGTATGGTGAGGAGTTCCCCTATCATAACCTGTATTGTCTGTATGGTGAGGAGTTCCCCTATAATTACCTGTATTGACTGTATGGTGAGGAGTTCCCTATGTTATAATTACCTGTATTGACCGTATGGTGAGGAGATCCCCTATGTTATAATTACCTGTATTGACTGTATGGTGAGGAGATCCCCTATGTTATAATTACCTGTATTGACTGTATGGTGAGGAGTTCCCCTATGTTATAATTACCTGTATTGACTGTATGGTGAGGAGCTCCCCTATGGCCTCCACAGCATGTTCCTGTGTTGCATCATCATCACAGTGTGCCATGGCCATCAGCACATCCAAACTGGCGACAATGACAAGAGATCATAACAAATATTGATTAGAGGTTTACATTGATATCTTCCCAGGTATAAATGACAAATCTTTGTGTTACCTGTACTGATATACTATATATGATGTACATAATCATTCTATTTAAAGAAATGTAAATTGAGACCTTTGACCTTTCAGCCTTTAACATGGTATAATTGTGGGTTAGTAAGCTTGTGAGCAATATTAAACACAGATATTTGTTGCTAGAGATGGGTTCCCAGGCACAATATAAGGTGATACCTCTACATTGTACAATGTATAGATGTCTTTCTCAATAATATCCTTTCGTTATATAATAGATGATTTCTTATGATTACATCTGACAACTCACTCATACTCTTACTCATGTCAAAGATCATTGTAAAATGTTGAATCTCTGTAACTGTTGCTCAGAGATTTTCTCTCAATGATATCACCTTTCTACCAAAAGTTCAAAACAAAAAGAATGAGTTTTATTCCTTTTGAAATCATGAGAGGGATAATGTTTTCCTCTGAAATTGTTTTCAAATACATATTCTATTTTCATGTTTTTACATCAGTCTTTTAGGCTGATGACAAAAAGTAAAATATTTATCCCTTCCTCAAACTTACAATCCCTCCAATACAATACAGAACTTGTCACTATTTAATTACACTCACCCTCTACTACTATACAGAACTTGTCACTGTATAATTACACTCTCCCTCCACTACTATACAGAACTTGTCACTGTATAATTACACTCACCCTCCACTACTATACAGAACTTGTCACTGTATAATTACACTCACCCTCCACTACTATACAGAACTTGTCACTGTATAATTACACTCACCCTCCATTACTATACACAACTTGTCACTGTATAATTACACTCACCCTCCCTCTGCTACTATACAGAACTTGTCACTGTATAATTACACTCTCCCTCCCTCTGCTACTATACAGAACTTGTCACTGTATAATTACACTCTCCCTCCCTCTGCTACTATACAGAACTTGTCACTGTATAATTACACTCTCCCTCCCTCTGCTACTATACAGAACTTGTCATTGTATAATTACACTCACCCTCCACTACTATACAGAATTTGTCACTGTATAATTATACTCACCCTCCCTCCACTACTATACAGAACTTGTCACTGTATAATTACACTCACCCTCCATCTGCTACTATACAGAACTTGTCACAGTATAATTACACTCACCCTTCACTACTATACAGAACTTGTCACTGTATAATTACACTCACCCTCCACTACTATACAGAACTTGTCACTGTATAATTACACTCTCCCTCCACTACTATACAGAACTTGTCATTGTATAATTACACTCACCCTCCACTACTATACAGAACTTGTCACTGAATAATTATACTCACCCTCCCTCCACTACTATACAGACCTTGTCACAGTATAATTACACTCACCCTTCACTACTATACAGAACTTGTCACTGTATAATTACACTCACCCTCCACTACTATACAGAACTTGTCACTGTATAATTACACTCTCCCTCCCTCCACTACTATACAGAACTTGTCACTGTATAATTACACTCTCCCTCTACTACTATACAGAACTTGTCACTGTATAATTACACTCACCCTCCACTACTATACAGAACTTGTCACTGTATAATTACACTCACCCTCCCTCCACTACTATACAGAACTTGTCACTGTATAATTACACTCACCCTCCCTCCACTACTATACAGAACTTGTCACTGTATAATTACACTCACCCTCCCTCCACTACTATACAGAACTTGTCACTGTATAATTACACTCACCCTCCACTACTATACAGAACTTGTCACTGTATAATTACACTCTCCCTCTACTACTATACACAACTTGTCATTGTATAATTACACTCTCCCTCTACTACTATACAGAACTTGTCACTGTATAATTACACTCTCCCTTCCTCTGCTACTATACAGAACTTGTCACTGTATAATTACACTCTCCCTCTGCTACTATACAGAACTTGTCACTGTATAATTACACTCTCCCTCTACTACTATACAGAACTTGTCACTGTATAATTACACTCTCCCTCCATTACTATACAGAACTTGTCACTGTATAATTACACTCTCCCTCCCTCTGCTACTATACAGAACTTGTCACTGTATAATTACACTCACCCTCCACTACTATACACAACTTGTCATTGTATAATTACACTCTCCCTCTACTACTATACAGAACATGTCACTGTATAATTACACTCTCCCTCCCTCTGCTACTATACAGAACTTGTCACTGTATAATTACACTCTCCCTCTACTACTATACAGAACTTGTCACTGTATAATTATACTCTCCCTCCCTCGGCTACTATACAGAACTTGTCACTGTATAATTACACTCTCCCTCCCTCTGCTACTATACAGAACTTGTCACTGTATAATTACACTCTCCCTCCCTCTGCTACTATACAGAACTTGTCATTGTATAATTACACTCACCCTCCACTACTATACAGAATTTGTCACTGTATAATTATACTCACCCTCCCTCCACTACTATACAGAACTTGTCACTGTATAATTACACTCACCCTCCATCTGCTACTATACAGAACTTGTCACTGTATAATTACACTCACCTTTCACTACTATACAGAACTTGTCACTGTATAATTACACTCACCCTCCACTACTATACAGAACTTGTTACTGTATAATTACACTCACCCTCCATCTGCTACTATACAGAACTTGTCACTGTACACTCACCTTTCACTACTATACAGAACTTGTCACTGTATAATCACACTCTCCCTCCCTCTGCTACTATACAGAACTTGTCATTGTATAATTACACTCACCCTCCACTACTATACAGAACTTGTCACTGTATAATTACACTCTCCCTCCACTACTATACAGAACTTGTTACTGTATAATTACACTCACCCTCCATCTGCTACTATACAGAACTTGTCACTGTATAATTACACTCACCTTTCACTACTATACAGAACTTGTCACTGTATAATTACACTCTCCCTCCCTCTGCTACTATACAGAACTTGTCACTGTATAATTACACTCACCTTTCACTACTATACAGAACTTGTCACTGTATAATTACACTCTCCCTCCCTCTGCTACTATACAGAACTTGTCACTGTATAATTACACTCACCCTCCATCTGCTACTATACAGAACTTGTCACTGTATAATTACACTCACCTTTCACTACTATACAGAACTTGTCACTGTATAATTACACTCTCCCTCCACTACTATACACAACTTGTCACTGTATAATTACACTCACCCTCCCTCTGCTACTATACGGAACTTGTTGTCATCACCAGATGCTGCCATACAGGCCAGCTCATAGGCAGCTGTCCTCTTCTCCTTTACCCTAGTCAAATATATCATACCAAGATTATTTGTGTGAGTGAAATATGTATTGTTTATCTACAGATGAATAGCAACAGCCTTTCTATTGGCTAAAATCACATATATTATAGTAGTTAACATGATCTATGTATCATAATGATATCAACAGCCTTTCTAATGGCTAAAATGACATATATTATAGTAATTAACATGATCAATGTATCATAATGATATCAACAGCCTTTCTAATGGCTAAAATGACATATATTATAGTAATTAATATGATCTATGTATCATAATGATATCAACAGCCTTTCTAATGGCTAAAATGACATATGTTAAAGTAGTTAACATGATCAATGTATCATAATGATATCTACTGCATTCATTTCTATGCTTGAATTCCGTTTTGTAACAGTTTCATATATACAGCTTTTATCATGACTACTAATTTTATACATGTACAGATCTTATCAATAATAAATTTTACCTACTTTGAGCTGCGAGCAGACTTCATAACAAGTTCAATGTCTCTTTCCTGGACCAGAAACTTCTCTATGTAATCTCCTTTCTGTAAAACACCAATCCCATAATGGTATAATGCAAATTCATCTACAAATTTACAAAATCACATCAATTACAAATTTAATATTTCCGAAATTCTTACTAGATTAAATCAAGAAGAATGAAGTAACAATACAATATATAGATATTAGAATCTTACAATGTATAATGTGTCTGTCTGGGGTGTACATGTATAATGTGTCTGTCTGGGGTGTACATGTATAATGTGTCTGTCTGGGGTGTACATGTATAATGTGTCTGTCTGGGGTGTACATGTATAATGTGTCTGTCTGGGGTGTACATGTATAATGTGTCTGTCTGGGGTGTACATGTATAATGTGTCTGTCTGGGGTGTACATGTATAATGTGTCTGGGGTGTACATGTACATGTATAATGTGTCTGTCTGGGGTGTACATGTATAATGTGTCTGTCTGGGGTGTACATGTATAATGTGTCTGTCTGGGGTGTACATGTATAATGTGTCTGTCTGGGGTGTACATGTATAATGTGTCTGTCTGGGGTGTACATGTATAATGTGTCTGTCTGGGGTGTACATGTATAATGTGTCTGTCTGGGGTGTACATGTATAATGTGTCTGTCTGGGGTGTACATGTATAATGTGTCTGTCTGGGGTGTACATGTATAATGTGTCTGAGGTGTACATGTATAATGTGTCTGTCTTGGATATACATGTATAATGTGTCTGTCTGGGGTGTACATGTATAATGTGTCTGTCTGGGGTGTACATGTATAATGTGTCTGTCTGAGGTGTACATGTATAATGTGTCTGTCTGGGGTGTACATGTATAATGTGTCTGTCTGGGGTGTACATGTATAATGTGTCTGTCTGGGGTGTACATGTATAATGTGTCTGGGGTGTACATGTATAATGTGTCTGTCTGGGGTGTACATGTATAATGTGTCTGTCTGGGGTGTACATGTATAATGTGTCTGTCTGGGGTGTACATGTATAATGTGTCTGTCTGGGGTGTACATGTATAATGTGTCTGTCTGGGGTGTACATGTATAATGTGTCTGTCTGGGGTGTACATGTATAATGTGTCTGGGGTGTACATGTAAAATGTGTCCGTCTAGGGTGTACATGTATAATGTGTCTGTCTGGGGTGTACATGTATAATGTGTCTGTCTGTGTACATGTATAATGTCTGTCTGTGTACATGTATAATGTGTCTGGGGTGTACATGTATAATGTGTCTGGGGTGTACATGTATAATGTGTCTGTCTGGGGTGTATATGTATAATTTGTCTGTCTGGGGTGTACATGTATAATGTGTCCGTCTAGGGTGTACATGTATAATGTGTCTAGGGTGTACATGTATAATGTGTCTGTCTGGGGTGTACATGTATAATGTGTCTGTCTGGGGTGTACATGTATAATGTGTCTGTCTGGGGTGTACATGTATAATGTGTCTGTCTGGGGTGTACATCTATAATGTACTTGTCGGGGTGTACATGTATAATGTGTCTGTCTGGGGTGTACATGTATAATATGTCTGTCTGGGGTGTACATGTATAATGTGTCTGTCTGGGGTGTACATGTATAATGTGTACATGTATAATGTGTCTGTCTGGGGTGTACATGTATAATGTGTCTGTCTGGGGTGTACATGTATAATGTGTCTGTCTGGGGTGTACATGTATAATGTGTCTGGGGTGTACATGTATAATGTGTCTGGGGTGTACATGTATAATGTGTCTGTCTGGGGTGTACATGTATAATGTGTCTGTCTGGGGTGTACATGTATAATGGGGTGTACATGTATAATGTGTCTGTCTGGGGTGTACATGTATAATGTGTCTGTCTGGGGTGTACATGTATAATGTGTCTGTCTGGGGTGTACATGTATAATGTGTATAATGTCTGGGGTGTACATGTATAATGTGTCTGTCTGGGGTGTACATGTATAATGTGTCTGTCTGGGGTGTACATGTATAATGTGTCTGTCTGGGGTGTACATGTATAATGTGTCTGTCTGGGGTGTACATGTATAATGTGTCTGTCTGGGGTGTACATGTATAATGTGTCTGTCTGGGGTGTACATGTATAATGTGTCTTTCTGGGGTGTACATGTATAATGTGTCTGGGGTGTACATGTATAATGTGTCTGTCTGGGGTGTACATGTATAATGTGTCTGTCTGGGGTGTACATGTATAATGTGTCTGTCTGGGGTGTACATGTATAATGTGTCTGTCTGGGGTGTACATGTATAATGTGTGTCTGGGGTGTGGGGTGTACATGTATAATGTGATTGTCTGGGGTGTACATGTATAATGTGTCTGTCTGGGGTGTACATGTATAATGTGTCTGTCTGGGGTGAACATGTATAATGTGTCTGTCTGGGGTGTACATGTATAATGTGTCTGGGGTGTACATGTATAATGTGTCTGTCTGGGGTGTACATGTATAATGTGTCTGTCTGGGGTGTACATGTATAATGTGTCTGTCGGGGTGTACATGTATAATATGTCTGTCTGCGGTGTACATGTATAATGTATCTGTCTTGGGTGTTCATGTGTAATGTGTCTGGGGTGTACATGTATAATGTGTCTGTCTTGGGTGTACTTCTATGATGTGTCTGCTTGGGGTTTAGAAGTAATTTTGGGGTATAATACCTGAAGTTTGAAGTTCACAAATACAAAATATTTGGTATAATACCTTTAAGTTAAAAGTAACAAAGATATAATTTGGGGTATAATACCCTAAGTTTAAAGTTCATTAAGACAAAATTTTGGGTATTATATCTTAAGCCTGAAGTTCACAAAAACAAATTTCTGGGTATAATACCTTAAGGTTAAAGCTCACAAAGACAAAATTTGGGGTATAATACCTTAATATTACAGTTCATAAAGACAAAATTTAGGGTATAATTACTAAAGTGTGAAGTTCACAAAGACAAATTTTAGGGTATAATACCTTAAGATTACATTTCACAAAGACAAAATTTGGAGTATGAATATACCTTAAGCCTAAAATTCATAAAAATAAAACATGAGTGGTTATACCTCCAGTCTGAAGTTCACAAAGAGAAGAGATATGAGAATGGTGGATGCCAAAAGGATGACACAGTGGGAAGAAAAAAGCACCGCAGTAAATACACTCTTGTGTGAACAGTCGTCCACAAACACCCAGTCTTTGCAGCCATGGGCCTAAAAGAAAAAAACATAACAATAATAAATTGTGACATATCTTACATGTTTATACCATTGTCTTATCATATATATGGTCTTACATATCTTTAATATGACAAAGAAATATTCTATTAAAAATCTTTCTGTTTCAGTAATGACACCAGGCCCCAGGACAATAAAATGGTCTCACATGTAAGTCTATCACTGTCTTAAGTTTTGACATAACTATTCATGAAAAGAAAGGTTATGTGTGATTGGCTACACAAAAACTGAAGTTGAACTTGTCTCATGATCCCAGGCCTGAGGACAATTTACCAAAATGACATAGTGTTATAGAACATCACTGTATCAGGACAGAGATATAAAGGAAGTGAGATTATACATTTTAGTAATCACATTTTTTTCTCTAACAAAGTTTTATTGGTAGTAATATGAAATGAATGTTCTTTAAGAGACTTACTGCCACGGCTATCCAGGTAATACAGGTGTAGTACAGGGAAGCTCCTAGTAAACCGACAGCTCCAACCACATAGAATATACAGTACAGGAAACGCCTTCAAAACAAAACCATCAAAATCCTATATATGTATTCCTTAATTAATATGAACCACACATCAAACTGACCATGTGAATGTGTAAGATTATTACGGGAAAGATAGACATATAAATGGCCTTATAATTCATCAATCTAGTCAAATTTGAGCACTGTCTGCTGGATAGCTGAATTGTTTGGTAGTAAAGCACAAACAAATATAATGATCAAAGCCAGATGGAGACCCTGGGTTTTTTTCTGTTATAGAGCGTTTAGTTCCATTTCTGTCATAATATATATGCTGTAAACATAGATCTTTTAGGGTAATCTTATTTCAGCACTAGAATCTGAATGCACTTATTGCAGTTTCTTTATGTCATCTATATTATTGTGAAATGAAAAAATTGTTATTGTACTTATTTGTTCAAAATTGATATTGCACTAAAATTTGATTGAGCCAAAATAAGTACATGTATGTTTACAGCATTCTTCTTTTTCATATACTTCTGCTGTGCATGTATGCATATACATCTACCTCATACATACCAGTGGGTGTAATTTCCAGTGAAGCCCCCATGTCTGTTGTAGTATGGACGAAAAATGACAGTAAAAGCAAAGAAGACAGCAGTCCAACCAAATGCATACCAGTAATTTGTCAACAAGGTCAAACAGGTCACCAGAAACATTAAATAGATGATTAACTGAAATGAAAAAGATCAAACTGAAAGCAAAACAAACTTTATAGACTACAAGAGATCCCAGAGGGATCTTGGCGCCCACCATTTGAGGATCTGTTTTCAGTTCTTGAAGATTTGTTTATTTTTGTTTGTTTGTTACAGGTGTTGTAAATGTTCATGAACTGGTCTTCATTGAATGTACTCAATGATGGCACAAGATATTTTTATAAAGCACCTATTAGCAAATATCATTTGAAAAAGATCCAAAGTATTATTAGATAGCAGTCAGTTACAGGTGGATAATGGACAACATGCTTGTGCTGTATTACTGTCGACATCCAAGATGGCTGCCTGTGGGCCACCTTGATTTCAAATCAGTCAAAAAAGGTACAATGCACAACTAGGGACCAAGGGAAACCAATATCTATGAAATATCAGAAGGATCCATCCAGTACTTCCTCAGATATAGCAGTAACAAGATTTTACTCTCAAAATCCAAGATGGCTGCCTGTCAGCCATCTTGATTTCGGATCCGTCCAAAATGGTACAATGCACAACTTGGAACCAAAGGGAACCTGCATATGAAATTTGAGAAAGATCCATCCAGTACTTTCCAAGAAATAGCAGTAACAAACTTTTACATTCAAAATCCAAGATGGCCACCTGTCTGCCATCTTGAATTCGAATCAGTCCAAAAAAGGTACAATGCACAACTAGGGACTAAGGGGAAACTGCATATGAAATTTGAGAAAGATCCATCCAGTACTTTCCAAAAAATAGCAGTAACAAACTTTTACTTCCAAAATCCAAGATGGCTGCCTGTCGGCCATCTTGAATTCGAATCAGTTCAAAAAAGGTACAATGCACAACTAGGGACCAAGGGGAACCTGCATATGAAATTTGAGAAAGATCCATCCAGTACTTTCCAAGAAATACCTGTAACAAACTTTTACATTCAAAATCCAAGATGGCCACCTGTCGGCCATCTTGAATGCGAATCAGTTCAAAAAAGGTACAATGCACAACTAGGGACCAAGGGGAACCTGTATATGAAATTTGAGAAAGATCCATCCAGTACTTTTCCAGAAATAGCGGTAACAAGAATTGTTGACGGACGGACGTACGGACGGACCACGGACCACGGACGCAGGGCGATTTGAATAACCCACCATCTATTAGATAGACGGTGGGCTAATAAAAAAATAATTCAGTTGTAAACATATGATTCTTTACAGGTAAATATTAAACTTCAATTATTCAATCATTACATAAATATGAGACAAAATTTAAGACTCTTTACTCCAAAAGATGATTATTTCTTAACTGCAATATTACATCACAGAAATAAAAGAGAGGAGAAGATATGAGAAAGCAGTACTGAATTGTTTTGATATCTTATTATGTTGATATTCAAACAGAAAATAACTGATGATTTAGCAGAACCCTGGTATAAGCTGCTTGAAAGTTAGAAGCAAATATTAAGTTTTATCTATCAGAAGTATATTTCTACAAAATCAGACTGAATACTGGAAACAAATACATATTCCTCGCACAGAGTAAATAAATGTTATCATACAGTATTCCATCACAAAATGAAGTAAAAGGAAATATCTGCTATTAATAAAACTCAGATCTGTTATGACAGCAAATGTGAGAACAGCAGTAACACGTACGTTAACTGCAGTAAATAAGCTTGAGAACTAGTGCTCCTGTAATTAGTCTTCAATCTACTACAATGAATGTGATCTGCTTTAATGAATGTGAGAACTGCTGTAATGAATGTGAGAACTGCTATAATAAATGTGAGAACTGCTGTAATGAATGTGAGAACTGCTGTAATGAATGTGAGAACTGCTATAATGAATGTGAGAACTGCTGTAATGAATGTGAGAACTGCTGTAATGAATGTGAGAACTGCTATAATGAATGTGAGAACTGCTGTAATGAATGTGAGAACTGCTGTAATGAATGTGAGAACTGCTGTAATGAATGTGAGAACTGCTATAATGAATGTGAGAACTGCTGTAATGAATGTGAGAACTGCTATAATGAATGTGAGAACTGCTGTATTGAATGTGAGAACTGCTATAATGAATGTGAGAACTGCTGTAATGAATGTGAGAACTGCTGCAATGAATGTGAGAACTGCTGTATTGAATGTGAGAACTGCTATAATGAATGTGAGAACTGCTATAATGAATGTGAGAACTGCTGTAATGAATGTGAGAACTGCTGCAATGAATGTGAGAACTGCTATAATGAATGTTAAAACTGCTGTAATGAATGTGAGAACTGCTGTAATGGATGTGAGAACTGCTGTAATGGATGTGAGAACTGCTGTAATGAATGTGAGAACTGCTATAATGAATGTGAGAACTGCTGTAATGAATGTGAGAACTGCTGTAATGAATGTGAGAAGTGATGTAATGAATGTGAGAACTGCTATAATGAATGTGAGAACAGCTATAATGAATGTGACAACTGTTATAATGAATGTGAGAACTGCTACAATGAGTCTTAGAACAGCTATAATGAATATGAGAACTGCTATAATGAATGTGAGAACAGCTATAATGAATATGAGAACTGCTGTAATGAGTGTGAGAACTGCTGAAATGAATGTGAGAACTGCTGAAATGAATGTGAGAACTGCTGAAATGAATGTGAGAACTGCTGTAATGAATGTGAGACCTGCTGTAATGAATGTGAGAACTGCTGTAATGAGTCTTAGATCTGCTATAATGAATAAGAGAACTGCTGTAATGAATGTGAGAACTGCTATAATGAATGTGAGAACTGCTGTAATGAATGTGAGAACTGCTGAAATGTATGTGAGAACTGCTGTAATGAATATGAGAACTGCTGTAATGAGTGTGAGAACTGCTGTAATTAATGTGAGAACTGCTATAATGAATGTGAGGACTGCTATAATGAATGTGAGAACTACTGTAATGAATGTGAGAAGAACTGATCTGTGAAATGAATGCTTTAATGAAGAACTGAACTACTGTAATGAATATGAGAACTGCTGTAATGAGTGTGAGAACTGCTGTAATGAGTGTGAAAACTGCTGTAATGGATGTGAGAACTGCTGAAATGAATGTGAGAACTGCTGTAGTGAATGTGAGAACTGCTATAATGAATGTGAGAACTGCTGTAATGAGTCTTAGATCTGCTATAATGAATGTGAGAACTGCTGTAATGAATGTGAGAACTGCTGAAATGAATGTGAGAACTGCTGAAATGAATGTGAGAACTGCTATAATGAATGTGAGAACTGCTATAATGAATGTGAGAACTGCTGTATTGAATGTGAGAACTGCTATAATGAATGTGACAACTGCTGAAATGAATGTGAACTGCTGCAATGAATGTGAGAACTGCTATAAATGTTAAAACTGCTGTAATGAATGTGAGAACTGCTGAAATGAATGTGAGAACTGCTGTAATGAATGTGAGAACTGCTGTAATGAATGTGAGAACTGCTATAATGAATGTGAGAACTGCTGTAATGATAAATGCTGTAATGAATGTGAGAACTGCTATAATGAATGTGAGAAAGCTATAATGAATGTGCTATAATGAATGTGAGAACTGCTGCTATAATGAATGTGAGAACTGCTATAATGAATATGAGAACTGCTGTAATGAGTGTGAGAACTGCTGAAATGAATGTGAGAACTGCTGTAATGAATGTGAGAACTGCTGAAATGAATGTGAGAACTGCTGTAATGAATGTGAGACCTGCTGTAATGAATGTGAGAACTGCTATAAGAACTGCTGTAATGAATGTGAGAACTGCTGTAATGAATGTGAGAACTGCTGAAATGAATGTGAGAACTGCTGTAATGAATGTGAGAACTGCTGTAATGAATGTGAGGACTGCTATAATGAATGTGAGAACTACTGTAATGAATGTGAGAACTGCTGTAATGAGTCTTAGATCTGCTATAATGAAGGTGAGAACTGCTTTAATGAATGTGAGGACTGCTATAATGAATGTGAGAACTACTGTAATGAATATGAGAACTGCTGTAATGAGTGTGAGAACTGCTGTAATGAATGTGAGAACTGCTGAAATGAATGTGAGAACTGCTGTAGTGAATGTGAGAACTGCTATAATGAATGTGAGAACTGCTGTAATGAATGTGAGAAATGCTGTAATGAATGTGAGAACTGCTATAATGAATGTGAGAACTGCTGTAATGAATGTGAGAACTGCTGTAATGAATGTGAGAACTGCTGAAATGTATGTGAGAACTGCTGTAATGAATATGAGAACTGCTGTAATGAATGTGAGAACTGCTGTAATGAATATGAGAACTGCTGTAATGAGTGTGAGAACTGCTGTAATGAATATGAGAACTGCTGTAATGAATGTGAGAACTGCTGTAATGAGTGTGAAAACTGCTGTAATGGATGTGAGAACTGCTGAAATGAATGTGAGAACTGCTGTAATGAATGTGAGAACTGCTATAATGAATGTGAGAACTGCTGTAATGAATGTGATAAATGCTGTAATGAATGTGAGAACTGCTATAATGAATGTGAGAACTGCTGTAATGAGTCTTAGATCTGCTATAATGAATGTGAGAACTGCTGTAATGAATGTGAGAACTGCTGTAATGAGTCTTAGATCTGCTATAATGAAGGTGAGAACTGCTTTAATGAATGTGAGGACTGCTGTAATGAATGTGAGAACTACTGTAATGAAAGTAAGAACTGATATAATGAGTCTTAGATCTGCTATTTTGAGTGTAAGAACTGATGAAATGAGTATGAGAACAACTGTATGGGATGTGAGAAAAGTTTTATGGAGTGTGATGATGAGTGCAGTTTTCACAAACTGCAATGAATAGGAGTGAGAATTAAGTAATTTTATGAAATAAATTTTAAATTGCTAAAATGGGTGTGAGAACTTCAGTTATGAATGTGAGAACCAATGTAATAGATCAGAGAACTGTTAAAGGGAATATCAATTTTTCTTAACCTACATCAAAAGCTCTAATCATCTTTTCCCGTCTAATGAACTCTTTGATCTCCCGAAACAGTTCCACTTTTACATCCTGTAGTCCCTGGGTGGCCACGGCATCCACACTGACCGTCATGGTACTAGCAATTGATCGGATATCCAGCATTGTCTGTAGTAAAAGAAATACTTTGTTGTGTGTCATAATTTTATAATATACTTATTTCACATTTAAACAAGAGTCCCATAAGGCCTGTATTACTCATCTGATTTAGTTTGCTGAAATTGATTCATTTTGATTAAGGGAAAAGTATTTAAAACACTTGTATCTATTTCCCCTTAATAGGCTATACCTCCTCCACAAGGGGATTAGATGCAGCTGTTTGTAAATAACTAAGTTCACTTCACGAAGAATGTCTTCAGTTCCAACATAATAAAGATTTTAAAGAATTTGCTCTGTGTCCACTATTTGGCCCTGGCCTTCTGCTTCCAATAGACAGAAACCCACTGTTCATACAAAACTGATCCCTTATTCCCAAGCATGTCTCACTCCAAAGTGAAGCAGAATCCAGGCATTCCTATATAAGAACAAGATAGCTTTAAAGAAATTGATAGATTTTCCTATTGACCCCATACCCCTCAGGCCCCATAGGACCGAGTCCCACCACTTATACTAAACTGATTTTCCCTCAGCCTAGTATGCTTGAGACCAATTTTGGACAATATTCTGCAATTCCTAAGGAACAAGAAAGATTTTAAAGAACTTAAAAGATTTTCCCTATTTGGCCCCACTTCTCTGTTCCCAGGGGGCTGAGACCCATTTAATTACAAGAAACAAGAAATGTTCTATGTATTGCTTACAACCATGCCTAGGTTACTGTAGCCAAAGCCATTAATTATTTACAACCTGCTCATCCTTGGAAAACCAATGATAATGCTTTGACCCTATAACTATGTACGTAATGTTGTGTATAACATACTCATTCAAACCTTTCTTATAAAATTAATCATTTGCTTACATCATTCCTCTTGGCAACTGGCAACATCTTAATGACAGCATTTGCTGGAATATCATAATCCTCAATGAAGAATGCATCACGTAGGTACTGGCCTTTGTAGCGAAGTTTGAACTGGAGGTCTTCCCGGCCAATGTCATACAGTATGTGTAGAAGATGTGCTCGAATCCTGGCTATCTTGTCTGAGGGCTTGACTACAGCTAGAAACGTCTTACACTGAAAAACAGGATATTGACAGTCTACAAACAAATTTGTTTTTCCCTGTCTTTAGATTTCTCTGTAGGACTGAACAAAGGTTTTTCAACTTGTGTAAAAAATAAATGAATCATAAATATTAGTTTCTAGTTCCTTTTGTAGGAGTTTGTAACATTATCAATTAGTTTGCATAAATATATTCTGTTTATAACTTGTTAGCAATTTTACATGTCAAATGTATTGTAGGAGCTGAAATACAGTTCCAGTCACCTTACTGTAGTCTTGACAAGTGAGAATTTCCTAATTCAACAATAAAAACAAACCTATTGGCAGGATAGCTGCCTTGAAAGAGCAAAAGGTTGTTAGTTCAAGCCACAAAGTAGGCAGGAAAACTTTCATTGTTATCAATAACAACAATAAATCAACGTTCTTCTACTGTAAAAGTTGCTGTTTCCACATGTTTCTGATTTTCACAATATCAACAGATATTATGCTCCATTACTATACTGATTCCGGACACCATCCAAGTACAGTATATGGACATTGCAAATTCATCAATTTGATAAACAAAAAGATAAATCAAAAGTATCTTTAAAATATAATTTTCAATACCCTGTGGCAACAGGCCACCATCATATACTACATTATGAAGACCTGATGGTGGCTATAAAGGGGTCAAATTCAGATGACCTTTCAACCAACCAATTAAAAGGTGACTGCAAAATCTTATCGGAGCCTGTTTCTCTTTGGTTCTCATCATGGTTAGTCATTATTAAATAGATAATAATCGAGTGTCAGGAATCTCAGCCATACTAAGATGGCTAAACTCCTTGCAAGTCATATCACACCAGGAAGGGTGTATTTATTAGATAATGTGTTTTATCTGTGGATTAACATATTGTAACTACATGTGTGCCTCTGAAAGAAATGAAGTAATACTTCATATATATTCAACACAGCTTCTATTACCTATTCTATCACTTCATCTTTTTTTTCCAACTTGCATATGTAGCGGAACTGGACCGGGTCAATCATCGGCAACCAGTTAGCTCAGAAGGTAGAGCATCCCTCCACAGTTCAGAAGGTCTCCGGTTCAAACCCGGGTCTGACTGTGAATTTTTCTGCTCCTATTATATTAGGTGCAGTGACCAAACCTTGTTTCAGGCAGAAGGTGAATGCTTAACAAAGGGATACGAACAACTGGATTGTTAGATATGATGTCTTTGGGGTCAAAGACTAAAAATAAGGAGGGAGGAATGTAGCAGAACAGGACAGGGTCGATTGTCGGCGACCAGTTAGGGTTAAGGTAGTGCATCCATCTAGAGTTCGGAAGGCCCCAGGTTCGAACCCCAGTCTGGCCATGCATTTTTCCACTCCTGTTACACATGTAATGTGGAAAAGGATTATTCAAGAGACAACTGACTGGCTGAAAAGTCACTGGCCACTGTCAGGTCTTCATAACATAGTGTTTAATGATGATCTTTATTTCAATCAAATTTAAATTGTGGAGGTAAAACTTTGTCAAACAACATGGAACCATACATCTTGGAAAACTTCATAAACATACATATGTAAATATCCCTATATCTCCTTTGACTACTGAACACTGGGGATAATAAAAGTACAGGTATACATACACACATATGTCTGCTTTATACAAACTTGGCTCATATATCATGATATTGGCAATTATAATGCTGATTTGTTAATCTACTGTACTTTATACAGTGCCAATTCATCACAGTTATTCTATCATATGCTTAAACAAACAATCTTACTCCCCTGAAGTTGCTGATGGTTTCTTCGTTTAGCAACATACATGAGACCCAATGCATGCCCATGATCCAAGGGTAAAGTGTCTTGCTAAAGGATACAACCAAAACAGCATAAATGTGTTATTAATCAGTTTAGGCAGAACTACCTTCCTGAGTAAGGAGCTTTGAACTACACACGTCGGATCTTCTCCTGTGGTAGAGGGCATTAGTTAGTGTAGCCTAAGCTATTGCACAAAATAAGTTGTATGTATATATTGTGGATGGGAATAAATCCTGAGATAAAAAAAGTCTTTTTATTTTAGTCATATACTTCGAGTGTCTTCACAGATTTGTTATTAATGGCAAATCTGTGTCGTGTCTAATACCAGGGACGTATAATACCTAATAATAATGCTAATACCTATAAAATGCAGTGCATTAGGGAAGATAATGCAAATATGCTAAAATACTATGAGAGCCATCTGTAATTATATGAACAGCATTTGTTTTAACTGAGATATGTTTTACATGACTTTTCAGTAAGCAGCATAGACATCCGATCTATGGAGAACATGCTTCGCTCTCGTTCCTTATTCGGTGTTGTATGCTATTTTCAGGGACGAGTTGACGTACAACGGGATTCTGCCATCATTAACAGGTGATGTTTATTTTTAACCAGGTAATGTTTCAATATTACTATGGTGAAAGAGACAGTGACATGGCAATATATTTAAGATAGAATCATTATAATTTTCAAATGATAAAACAGACTTACTGGAAACGCTTTGCTTTCCACGTAAATGATCATTTTGTTGACTAGACGTTTCCTTTCACATCTGTTTACATAATTCCCTTGACAATGACGTCATTTCCTTCAAGCACGTTGACTGGTTGTCTTTATTTTAAAATATATTAAACGAGCGGAACGAAATAAATTCATAATTGAAATGGTCCTATACTTACAAGACTTACAAGATCATTTAGAAAGAGAAGTTATTAGACATAATTTAAATACACACAGATCAAAATATTGACTAGGAAAGTCGAATACAAAGTAAAATAAAGCATAAATAGTACAATTTGGTATATTGTTGATTCGTTTCTTTCACATTTTGAGTTATATAAAAACTCTATTATTTTCTCGCTAGACACATGTGGTACAGACAGCGACTACATGCTTAATAAGATTTGGCTCTACTATCTGTGTTCCCTTTGTGAATTATGGGTTAATTTGATAGATTCGTACTGGAGTTGAAGGAAAATGATCTGCAGGAAAGGTATGTTTTTTAATTTTTATCCACAAGTTTGTAATATAACACCATAACTGAAGGTTTTGATTTGTTTACCTACCTTATTTCCTGTAATTGTTACTTGTATCTCCAAATATGTACTTTATGTGGTTGTGATTCGAATGTCCCTGTTTCATAGTTTTCTTAATTGCCAAATAAAAGTACTGCAATGATATCGACATGTCATATAAATATATACAAAACATCAAGGAAAATAAGTCTTACCACTAGGGTGACAATAAAACTTGGTGGGGAGTGACCAAGAATAAACTGGGTTACATTGTAAAGCACAGACATTACCCATAGTATATATCAACTTTAAACTTTCAAATAAGATTTCATCACATGAAGGTTACTCGTAGATCAGGTTATGGCTTTTAATGGAAAGTTGAGACTGTCTAGCTTTTGTGAGATCTAGATTTCTACAGCTGTTATTTGTACTAACAACTGATTTCACACATAAATAGAAAATAAACCAACAGCATTTTAAAGTTCATTTCACTATATATATATATATACAATATATGATTTTTTAAACCTAGGGATTTGTTGTGGGATAAGATACTGTATTATTTTTAAGGCAAATTTCATAGTTTCAGCTGTCAGATAACTTTCAATGAATGGTAGGTAACACATGACTGTGAGGTAACCAGTGAGTGACTGTAAGATAACCAGTGAGTGACTGTAAGGTAACCAGTGAGTGACTGTAAGATAACCAGTGAGTGACTATAAGGTAACGAGTGAGTGACTGTTAGGTAACCATTGAGTGACTGTGGGGTAACCAGTGAGTGACTGTTAGGTAACCACTGAGTGACTGTGAGGTAACCAGTGAGTGACTGTTAGGTAACCAGTGAGTGACTGTGAGGTAACCAGTGAGTGACTGTGAGGTAACCAGTGATTGTAAGATAACCAGTGACTGTAAGGTAACCAATGATTGTAAGGTAACCAGTGACTGTAAGGTAACCAATGATTGTAAGGTAACCAGTGATTGTAAGGATTGTAAGGTAAACTGTGACAGTAAGGTAACCAGTGATTGTAAGGTTAACTGTGACTGCAAGGTAACCAGTCACTGTCAGGTTAACTGTGAATGTGATGTTACCAGTGATTGTAATGTAACCAGTGACTGTAAGGTAATCAGTGCTGTAAGGTAACCAGTGATTGTAAGGATTGTAAGGTAAACTTTGACTGTAATGTAACCAGTGATTGTAAGGTAAACTTTGACTGTAAGGTAACCAGTGACTGTAAGGTAAACTGTGACTGTAAGGTAACCAGTGACTGTAAGGTAAACTTTGACTGTAAGGTAACCAGTGACTGTAAGGTAACCAGTGACTCTAAGGTAAACTGTGACTGTAAGGTAACCAATGACTGTAAGGTAACCAGTGATTTTAAGGTAACCAGTGATTGTAAGGTAACCAGTGATTGTAAGGTAACCAGTGACTGTAAGGTAACCAGTGACTGTAAGGTAACCAGTGATTTTAAGGTAACCAGTGACTGTAAGGTAACCAATGATTGTAAGGTAACCAGTGATTGTAAGGTTAACTGTGACTGTAAGGTAACCAGTCACTGTAAGGTTAACTGTGAATGTGATGTAACCAGTGATTGTAATGTAACCAGTGATTGTAAGGTAACCAGTCACTGTAAGGTAAACTGTGATTGTAAGGTAACCAGTCACTGTAAGGTAACCAGTCACTGTAAGGTAACCAGTCACTGTAAGATAATCAGTGATTGTAAGGTAACCAGTGATTGTAAGGTAAACTGTGACTGTGAGGTAACCAGTGATTGTAAGGTAACCAGTGACTGTAAGGTAACCAGTGATTTTAAGGTAACCAGTGACTGTAAGGTAAACTGTGACTGTAAGGTAAACAGTGATTGTAAGGTGACCAGTGACTGTAAGGTAAACAGTGATTGTAAGGTGACCAGTGACTGTAGGGTAACCAGTGACTGTAAGGTATCCATTGACTGTAAGGTGACCAGTGATTTTAAGGTAACCAGTGACTGTAAGGTAACCAATGATTGTAAGGTAACCAGTGATTGTAAGGTTAACTGTGATTGTAAGGTAACCAGTCACTGTAAGGTTAACTGTGAATGTGATGTAACCAGTGATTGTAAGGTATTGTAAGGTAACCAGTGACTGTAAGGTAAACTGTTATTGTAAGGTAACCAGTCACTGTAAGGTAACCAGTCACTGTAAGATAATCAGTGATTGTAAGGTAACCAGTGATTGTAAGGTAAACTGTGACTGTAAGGTAACCAGTGATTGTAAGGTAACCAGTGACTGTAAGGTAACCAGTGATTTTAAGGTAACCAGTGACTGTAAGGTAAACTGTGACTGTAAGGTAAACAGTGATTGTAAGGTGACCAGTGACTGTAAGGTAAACAGTGATTGTAAGGTGACCAGTGACTGTAGGGTAACCAGTGACTGTAAGGTATCCAATCACTGTAAGGTAACCAGCCACTGTAAGGTTAACTGTGACTGTAAGGTAACCAGTGATTGTAAGGTAACTATTGACTGTAAGGTAACCAGTGACTGTAAAGTTAACTGTGACTGTAAGGTAAACTGTGACTGTAAGGTAACCAGTGATTGTAAGGTTAACTGTGACTGTAAGGTAACCAGTGATTGTAAGGTAAACTATGACTGTAAGGTGATCAGTGACTGTAAGGTAACCAGTGACTGTAAGGTAACCAGTGACTGTAATGTAAACTGTGACTGTAATGTAACCAGTCACTGTAAGGTAACCAGTGACTGTAAGGTAAACAGTGATTGTAATGTAACCAGTGACTGTAAGGTAAACTGTGACTGTAAGGTAACCAGTGATTGTAAGGTGACTGTCATTAAGCCAGTAAGAGTAAAGGAGTGCACATTTTTCACATGTTGCCAAAAGAATCCTCCTGATAAGATGGTAGATGTGATGCTATGTTCTTGAAATGGAACACTGATTATAGATCAAAAGACCTCTAGTGAAATCTTGTTCACAGGTATATATTATGTGGGTCACGTACACAATGTATCCTTATCTATTGCTACTCTACATTTTGTAAACAATGTTGGTTCAGCTCCATACTGTAACAGTTTGTGTTTCTCAGAATTATTTTCTGCTGGTATCTTGTGTTCTTGGACCCGGTACTTTGCCTTAGAGTGGATGTCATATAACTTAATCCCATATGTTGTTCAGAAAGTAACCAACCATTGCAAGCTAAAGAAGACCTTGTGGTATAGGGTACTTGTTGAGATCAATTACATATAAAAGTCAAAACTCTGACATAATTAGGAGTATAAAAACATTAATATCGTGATAAATGTCTGTAGTTGTTTTACATGTAAACCAGCTATCATAATCCTAACTCTGTCCATCATCTACTGTCCGCTATGCATGAATTTTTACATTTTAAACTTCTTCTAAAGTTCCACTAGTGGGATTGAGCTGCAACTTGTATGAAATGATCCTGAGATGGTCCTGACCAAGTGTTACTATTTTTTGGGTCTATCCAAGATGGCAGCCATCTTGAAAAAAATACTTCTTCTCCTGTTGCACTGGTGCCATTGAGATAAAAGTTAGTGGGAATGTTAAGGAAAGGTAACCAACAAAGTGTTGTTATTTTTCGCCATTTTCAAAACTTTGACATGGCAGCCATGGAGGCCATTTTGTAACATGATTGAGCAATCATGGTTTCCCTGTGCAACACTTTTTTTCAAACTTCTTCTCAGGTTTCATCAATGGGATTGTGCAACTGCTTTTCATGAACAGAACCTACCATTTATGAGTTTCTGATATTTACAAGGAATGTCCAAAATTTGATCTGAATCATATTTGGGTAGAAGGGAATCAATGTTGGATCTCGATAAACGGTAAATCTCTGCCCCCTTAGATGGGAAGGGCGGGGCCCAATAGGGGAAATGAAGCAAATTATTTAAAATCCTACTTCTTCAGTAGGAATGATTTGATTTTGTCTAAATTTGGTGTGATTTTTTGTTTAGATGACGGGGAAACAATTTTGTATAAACTGTGGATCTTGGCCCCCTTGGGTCTCATGGTGACCTATTGCAATCTTGTCATGTGTCTATAAAAAATTTAACTTTTTTAATTTCTTTTCAAAACCCTGTAACCAATTTAAATGAAATTTCGCGGAAACCTTCCCTGGCCTTAGACAAACCAAAATAATGAATTGTACAGTCCCCCCTTGCAGGGGCCTGAAGGGCTTGGCCAAAAAGGGTCCAATTAACTCAGATTTCAAAAAAACTCTTCCTCAACACCCATTGATGGCATAATCAAACAATCTTCATAGATGGGAGCATCTTAAGGTGCTTTGCCAAAATTTTGAATTTCATGGCCCCAGGGTCTCACATTTCCCCATGGGGAAGGGGGATAAATTTTACTATAGTTTATATAGGCAAAATAGATTTTCGAGCATAATTTGTTTCCTTTCCATTAGAAATATTTCAAACTTGGTTAGAAGTATGAGAAAGGGATGATGCCCTGATGGTATGCATATGTAGATCCTGACTGACCCCCAGGGGCTGATGGACAGGATCAAAGAGGGTCAGATTTCTAAAGTCTTCTTCTCAAAACGCAAGTATGGTGGAATCAAATGCTCTTCATGGATGGAAGCATCTTAAGGTGCTTTAATTACTGAAATGGGTCTCATATTTCTTTCTGTTAAGGAGGTTAACTTTACTGTAATTATTCATAGAAAAATGCATATTTTAGCATAACATTGTTTATTTCCCACTGGAAATAACTTTGTAAGAATTATTAGTGTAGAATGACAGTTTTAATGGTATGCATGTATTGACATTGGCTTACTATCATTAATGTCACAATTGTTTTAATGACACTTGAAAGCTACTTACCCTTTAACCTTTATAATCAATATTGCTCATCTCATATGACCATCAAGGCAGCTAGGTCTCTAATTTAAAATCATACTTTTCCTTTAAGAATGATTGGATTTTGCCCAAATGTGGTCAGAAGTGTATTTGGGTAAAGGGAAATCAATTTTGTATAAGCGGTCAGTCTCTGCCTCTTGGGATGGGGAGATGGGGTCCAATAGGTGTAATAAACCAAATTCTTTAAAATCCTACTCCTGTAGGAACAATTAGACTTTGTCCAGATATGAGAGGGGGAAGGGCTTAATATGAGAAATAGAGAAATTATGTAAAGTCCTACTCCTCATGTAGGAATAATTTGGATCTTGTCAAAATTTGGTTTGAATCATGTTAAGGTGAAGTAAAATCAAATTTGTATAGGCAGTGGGTCTATGCCCCCTTGGGCAAATGGGGCAAGGCCTAATAGAGCAAATTATTTTAAATCCTGCTTCTCCAGTAGGAATAATTTAATTTTGTCTCAATATGGTAAGAAGGATGGCTGGGTAAAGGAATCCCTCTAGTGTGGGAGGGGCAGCTCCCATTGGGAAATAAATACTTGGCTTTTAAGATTCATGTGAGCTATACCGGCCCTATTGGCCTCTTGTTATCCTGCAGAATGCTCTGCATCTTTTACTTGTTTCTTGTCATCAGAATTATGAATAAAGATTTTTTTTCGTGTGTCTTCTGCCAGTATTGACTGTTACTAAAATTTTAGCTTCATCCAAATTTTGTCGTAACTGTAGCATATCTGATTCTTGACCAGATAGAATATAGGATAGGATAGAATATGTTGACCTTTTGACCCTTGCTAAAATACTTGAGTTATTTTCTTCCATTCTATACTTATTTACCACTTCCTTTATTCCTTTATTTCAATCCATCATGTATAGCCCCTTTAAGTGCCTTTGATATTTTGTGTAACATACAGTGTATGATAATGTTTTGGATTTTTTAGGTGTAGAATATATGATAACGATTAAGATGTTGATATTAACAGGAGAAAAGAGTGGTGTCTATGTCACAGGCCCGCCTGCCATGGATCCAAACAAGGAGTATGTCAATCCTGGCACAGAGGATCAAATGGTGAGAATTTTACTGTTAATGAAAGAAGCAAGGTTTTTTTTTTAATCTTATCCCCCGCTGAACGCATTTGCGGGGAATATTTATTCGGACTCTGTCCGTCAGTGTGTGTGTCTCCACCTGTTCAGTTCAGCTCCACAAAACATTCTGTAGATGTATATATATTAGTTTAGTGTCCTAGTTGTGCCTTTTGCTATTGATGACATTTCATTTTTATATTTTTTCTTTAGCTATGGAAAAATAGTCAAAAGACACTAAATTAGTGTTTTTCTTTCCAGGATACAACTTTGAAACCATTCCTCTCAACTTCACAAAACTTTCTGTATTTATATATATTAGGTTAGTGCCCTAGTTGTGCCTTTTGCAATCTATAGCATTTCATTTTTTATATTTTTTCTGTTACCAAGGGAACATAGTCAAAAAACACAAAAGTTAATGTTAACTTTCCTTTCAGTGCTACAACTTCAAAACCATTCCCCTCAACTCCACAAAACTTTCTGTATTTAGCACCCTAGTTATTGTTTTCCAGTTATCATGGAACATATAATCCTCATCACAAATTTCAGCTTTTCTGGACCAGTGCTTTGAAACCATTCAAGATAATAGCTCAAAACTTTTTACACTTATTAAGCTGGTAGCATCTTTTGCTATTGGGAAATTCTCTATTTGAAAACTTTTTCTGTTACCATGGAAACAGATAGGCAAATCAAAAAGTTTAGTTTTCAAGGTAATTATCTAATACTCAAAACTGGTTACAGGTATCAATCTAGTACTCTAGTAGAAGTTCTCCATTTCAATATTTTGTATGGAACAATTAAAGATAATAGATAGAAATTAAACTTGTTGTAGTATTAACATATATATATACAAATGTATATGATTGTGTGTCTTTCTATTAAATGGTAGGACATGGGGGATAATGTCACACTTCGCATTATCTTGTTGTATTGTTTCTTTTAACACATGTGCACATATTTATTGGTATGAAACATGCCAGTTTGTATTACATTGACAAGCTGGCTTTAAGATTTCACTTTTCTCTTTGTGGTGTACTTATTTAGAGAGTGGTTTGATGGCTACTGACTTTGTAAACTGAATCTGTTTTTCATATTGCAGGCTATAGAAGGATATAAACTAAACAAATGGAAGCGAGCCTTTACCTACTTAGCATGCGTGGTAACAGGTGGATTCCTACGACTTGTGTTCTATTGGTGTCCACACTGGCTGCTGCGATGGACACACTCAACCTGCCCTCTAGGAGAGGCAGAGTCCATACTCCTCTTAGTAAGTACAGAAAAGTCAGTTGTCTCCCCTTGTTAAATCTATCACCCTGCCCTCTAGGAGAGGCAGAGTCCATACTCCTCTTAGTAAGTACAGAAAAGTCAGTTGTCTCCCCTTGTTAAATCTATCACCCTGCCCCCTAGGAGGGGCAGAGTCCATACTCCTCTTAGTAAATACAGAAAAGTGAGTTGTCTACCTTGGCTAACTCTATCAGCCTGCCCCCTAGGAAAGGCAGAGTCCATACTCCTCTTAGTAAGTGCAAAAAGTGAGTTGTCTCCCCTTGTTTACTCTGTCACCCTGCCCCCTAGGAGACGCAGAGTCCATACTCCTCTTAGAAAGTACAGAAAAGTGAGTTGTCTACCTTGGTTAACTCTGTCACCCTGCCCCCTAGGAGATACAGATCCTATACTTATCTGTGTAAAGTATGAATCAAAATTAAGGGAATCTCCCGATTTCAGAGATCCCACAAGGTAAGTCATAAGTAACCTTGCTATGTTTGTCAAATTGGTAAGGCTGACCACCCGGCCACATAATCAAGGCCTAGCTAGGTGATTACACTACCCAATTATCTAATTAGTGTCACCCACTTCCAGTTAATCTTAGTTGACCGCTACGCTTATGAGCACACTTGTACATGGCTGTTTCCGGTAGCACGACCAACCCTATTTTTTACCCCCGACCCTAAATTTCACAGGGTTATCAAAAACTTAAATCGGAAATTCTGGAAATTGGGGTCTTTTACGGTACTGATTCCCAGTTTTATTCGAATAGATCGCTCTCCAATGTGGAATGTGTAATGGATTCAGATGTGTATGAAGTAACACCAAACATGACGATCGGCGATGTTAAAAATATGGCAAAACATTTATGTTTAAAACGCACGGAGACCTCATCAGATTGTAAATATGATTAACACGGCAGTCAAGGCAGCAACAAAGAAAACTGTCAGTGCCTTCCAACTGCTTATGGCAGGTGGGCGACAGTTTGAGATTTTTCATAGTGCTCTGTACTAGCTGTTCTGCAATCAATATAAAGTTGTCAGTCTACATCTGCACTAAAATTTATACAACATGATATTTAGTTGCATACATGGAAACATGATATTTAGTTTACATACATTAATACACTAGTATCAATGGTATATGAAACACATACAAAAGGAAGCACATTTTCACTGTAGCTAATACCTTTTCTGGTAGCCTAATGCATTATTATTTTCTTATATTGTGCAAAGTTTCTGTTCATATATCAAAAGGATTTCTGTCAAAATCAGTATTTCCTTTAAACTGTTAGAAACCAAATAAATGTGGCATTAAGATATTTTCTGAAGTTAGAAGTATTATTACAAATGTAAGTATCTAGAAGAGTTACATTAAGCTACTTGCCTTCTTAAATTTACATACTTATATTTTTTGGCCTTAACAGAAGACTATTGGTCAGGATTCAGGACAGGGTCTAAGTAATGGTTGATAAAGATGAGGTCATTATTTAGATAATTACGTAGTTATTACCATGTTTATACTACCTATTCGGTCAAATAACAAATTGAACAAGAAAATGGTTTGAAATCTTTATGATGTAAAAATGTGCAAGTATTCCTCAATCAATACCAATAATTTAACCACATCAGTCCTTAAAAGAACTATTAAGTTGGCATCATGTTTGGTTCTCCCAGTAAAGGTGATGATGGCTAAACAGGAAATAGCTACACTTATGAATGGATCCAGACCAAATTCCTGGATTTCTATACGTCTTCAGTTCTAAAATACATATCGCAGTAAAGGCAAAAATTCAAATATCATGGACCATTAGATCTAGATTGAATTTCTATAGACAAATTTATTTCATTTATCTTTGTTTCTTTGCCTTTTTCTCTAACATTTAAGTGAAATGAGATGATTGATATTATCTTTTCCATATGTCAATTAAACAAATTCTTTCAAAAGCATCATATTTGGAAATATATGTCCTTACTTACTACTAAACAGATAACCATAAATGTTAATATCTGATATATTGGGCGAGTTCAATGAAAGAATTACAATGAATGAATTCCAACTGGATCCTTACTTATGAAAACCCCCTAGATATTTTGTTCGTTGTTATAGTATAGCAAAGTATTTACTTTGTTACATATCCATTAATGAATTTTTCCTTTTGGACAAAATGTCACGACGCACAAGGTATTGTCGTGAGTCATAAATGTTATTCACGCCCTTTTGTCAACTCCATAATTTTGAAAAGTTGGCAGGTATGCATTTGCCCTGATCCGTAAACATTCTGAATAGCTGAGATAAATTAAATATATTCATGTGTAAACACGCTGATATACTAAGGATTCCTGTCACCTCAGAGAGATTGTCGTATGAGGCAGAATTCTGTGTCATAAAAATGTTACATCCGCTCCTTTTCAGTATATCTCCAAACCTAGTTGATGAAACATCTATTATATCAATTGAAAATCTTTCAAACAAGGACATAACTGCCAAAACATTTTGTTATTATGAAATATTTACATCTAATTTATATTTTAGGTTTCACTTTTTTTTTTGTTTCTGTAGTCAGTAGAAAGTGTTTTCACAAGCAAAGATAAATATTAACATATCTGTTTTGTCAGTGTTATGACACAAAGTGAATGGACTAAGATTGATAGGATTGATGAAATGAACTTACTCTTCAGAAATTAATATCAATTTACATTTAACAGTATACCAGACGTGAATATTAATCACAACATATGCATACAATGCCAATCAGAGCATATTTTATTCTGTTCACTGGTTTTACCTGTTTCAGAGGTTTCAGTAAGACAATTTTTCTCAAAATTTTCTCCGTGAAGTTGTTTCGGTGTGGACAACTCTAACTATTAACTGTGATATAATGGACGATGAAATAGGGATCATTTTACACTATCACTTTCACTGTATTAGATCTTCAGGTGATATTTGCATTACATAATTGAGTGACATCACAAATTGCTATTCTGGTATATATATATATATCAATATTTTGGTTTTACACCAACAACTGGCTGTAGGGGGATAATGTCATGCTTTGCCGCTCCATCATAAAACTAGTCCTAAAAGCTGGAGGATGTTAGAAACATTGAACAAAAGATATCAGGTGTCTATCCTGATAAATACATGCTTAGTGAGTTGGGTCATTTTAGTTTGAGTATGTATAAAATCAGCTCAATGAAGATGGTTAACACTGATGATTTATTCGTTGTACGTACCATTTGGGACCAGTAAGTAATGCTCACGTTTCGTGAAATTTCAGACCCAGACTACTCGACTTTTTTAAAAGGGGCTCAAGTTTACCTTCAACATAGAAAATGCCTTGTGTATTGTCTAGTCTATTGTTGAACAACTTATTCAGTCTCTCAGATCCTCATCAGGGTATGCAGTGAAGTTTGCATCTTCGGTGGATATTCTGTTTGTATGACCGAGTTTAAGGGCTTTAGGTGTTGAATTGGGAATAAGTCATTAAATTTAAAAAAAATATGTTTATGTTGATTGAATCAGGAATAAATTGCTAAATAGACATTGTTAAATTAAGATTGTCAAGTCATTTTCTGTTTCATCTCTTTCTCATTACATCCTATCTGTCTTCAGACAAACTTCAGTTAAGCATGCATGTTTGTCATACTTTACATAAGGATAGTCTTTGTACACACATTGTATTTGAGTAGGTTCCTTAGATAAATAAGTCACTGTTTATATTAAAAAAAAAACAGAATTTATCTAGCATTAATGATTTTTTGGCAGTTTAATTTTACACTAATAAAATGTCAGTAGCCGTAGTTAGCACTCTTCATGGATGAAGTAATTTTTTTTAAGCACATTCTGTTTTATGTGTAATTGCTGAAATTGACATTTTATTGGGTATGTACTATTTATCTGCTTCACAATCTTAGGTGACAGAACAAAAATGAAATGATCTACTATTCTCAGTGTTAGATATACCTTAATTAACAATAATACATTGCTTCACAACTAATGATGGCAATCGTTGATTATTACTGACTGTCCAAGCTTTCAAGGCATCCAGTTATACAAATATCTCTGAGTAGCCTTACATAACAAATTATACTTGATCCCTGAACTCATAAATCATCTTGGTATTTTTGGCATCATTTGTTTAAATCACTGATTTCAATACACAGATTTAGACGTCTTTAGATCCTGTTCTGATCCTGATTGCAGGTTTTTCGTCTGGACTAATTGATATCAAATCATATTTTATGTTGTACATTTGTTGGTTTTAACTTACAACTTAATGAGAAACACAAAACAAGACACAGCTGTTATGTCTGTACATGTTTCTCACATTTAAACCAATAATTGTTTTTTTAAATAAGTTATTAATAATTCATGAGATTAAACTGATGTGCAGTTACACTTTTGATTTGATATCAAAGTGGGTGTCATATATGGTGTGATGGATCCAGATTAAATAAACCCTAAGGTCAGACAGAATGGGCGGTTGGTAAAAGGGATATCTGATCACTCTAAATAAACCCTAAGGTCTGACAGAATGGACGGTTTGTAAAAGGGATATCTGATCACTCTCTAAATAAACCCTAAGGTCAGACAGAATGGGCGGTTGGTAAAAGGGATATCTGATCACTCTAAATAAACCCTAAGATCTGACAGAATGGGCGGTTGGTAAAAGGGATATCTGATCACTCTAAATAAACCCTAAGGTCAGACAGAATCGGTTGGTAAAAGGGATCACTCTAAATAAATATCAGACAGAATGGATCACTCTCTAAATAAACCCTAAGGTCAGACAGAATGGACGGTTGGTAAAAGGGATATCTGATCACTCTCTAAATAAACCCTAAGGTCGGTTGGTAAAAGGGATAGACTAAATAAACCCTAATGAACGGTTGGTAAAAGGGATATCTGATCACTCTCTAAATAAACCCTAAGGTCTGACAGAATGGACGGTTGGTAAAAGGGATATCTGATCACTCTAAATAAACCCTAAGGTCAGACAGAATGGGCGGTTGGTAAAAGGGATATCTGATCACTCTCTAAATAAACCCTAAGGTCTGACAGAATGGACGGTTGGTAAAAGGGATATCTGATCACTCTCTAAATAAACCCTAAGGTCTGACAGAATGGACGGTTGGTAAAAGGGATATCTGATCACTCTCTAAATAAACCCTAAGGTCAGACAGAATGGGCGGTTTGTAAAAGGGATATCTGATCACTCTCTAAATAAACCCTAAGGTCAGACAGAATGGACGGTTGGTAAAAGGGATATCTGATCACTCTCTAAATAAACCCTAAGGTCTGACAGAATGGACGGTTGGTAAAAGGGATATCTGATCACTCTCTAAATAAACCCTAAGGTCTGACAGAATGGACGGTTGGTAAAAGGGATATCTGATCACTCTCTAAATAAACCCTAAGGTCTGACAGAATGGGCGGTTGGTAAAAGGTATGTCTAATTACTTTTGTACTCTCTAAATTGTTCTGGTCATGCTCTTGTGTCATTTTGCAGCTAGTGTTTCCAGTAAACCAATGATATTCTCAGTTATTAATTTTGACAATTTAATCCTCCTAGATTATTTCAGAGCGTTATATTGTTATGACTAAATTCATGCCTGTTAATTGTCATAGCTGTTTGATGTGTGAATATTGAGAAAACAAAAGACTGTTTGTTTACTGCATTCTTTTTAAATTCTTAATTCTTAAGAAGTACTGAATAGATATTTGTCAAATTTCATATGTAACTTCCCTTTGATCTCTCCTTGTGCTCGTTTGATTTTGGGACTGATCAGAAGAAACAAAATGACTTCCAGGTGGCCATTTTGGATTTCACAGGTAAAGATTATCATCACTATTTCTGGAAAGGAATGCTTAAATGTCTTCTCATAAAGAGCAAAAACAGAGAAGAGAAAAGAAGGGAAAAGATCCAACTTCCAATGAGCATATAACGATCAAACAAAGGTGTACAATACAACTGACGTTAAGATAGGTAGTTCTGTTGGTATAGCAGTACACTAGATCTGATTCCAAAACAAAGCAGATACATACATAATGTATATCATTGAGAAGTTATACACACATACAGTATGTCAAGATCAGATCATATTTGGGAGAGTGGAAGGGATGGGAATATTTCAAATTAAAATGTTATTGATAGTAGGTAATTGTATTTCAAATGGATCGAGTCCCCTTATAGAACAGCAGGGGAAGGAATATCAGGAAAGTGTAATACATATGGTTCATATAACAGTAATTACCATCAGGGCGTGATTCATTCTCATCTGACTCAGGTTACTGTTAAGGTTTTCAGTGGGTGGTTTTACTGTATGTCCCATCATAACATGGGGAAGGGGGATGGGGCATATAACATTGCCCATGTAACTGTCCTGCGAAGTCGTATCACACTGTCCCATCTTGATTCAGTGTACACACCCAGCACCTTCATTCAAATATCATTCAAAGGTCAATTATGAGTATATTTTGGACATGGTTGTATTTCAGGGGCCCCAAGGTCAAGGACAAGGCCATCCTTGCTATTTATAGAAAATGATCAATTGATCCAATTTCAACACTTATCAACTTCAATCCGTCATGAATTTAGTCAAACTTTGCAATGATCATGTATGAGAATACGTCAGACATTGTTTTGTTTCAGGAGTCCAAGGTCAAGGCCTTGGTGATGAGGGCATTTATGTTTTACAGACATTTTCTTGTTTTTCACTTTTTTGAAGGATGAAAAAGAAATCACAAAAATAAATTACCCCAAAATCAAATCATTAAAGAAAATGACAATCCATTGTATGACTTCCATGTTGCTTTAAGCTTTTGGTGAAGCGACAAAATTTTGAACCCATAAAGAAATCAGTTTCCAGATTCTTGCTTACAAAAACATAGTAATGATAAAAGGATTTTTCCAAATCAATTAGGCATATGAAACATTAAAATACTGTCAGAAAATCACAAATACCATGATTGTATGAAAAGATAACATTAAATGTAGAGAATATTTCTGTTAGTGTTTGTTTTTACATACTGTCATACTGTTTTCTTTTTGTAAGAAATATTTACTTTTAAGTCCGAGATGACAGTTCCAGATCTCAAAATAACTGAATCATGACATCACAACACATATGGTCTGACATCACAGACCTTTTAATCTTACATGTGTGTCTAAATTTGGAACCTAAGTTTTAAGTTACTCGTAATGATGGCAAACATATTATGCATTTTAAACATCTGTGATGTGTTTTAAATTGGCAATAAAATGTATTTTTGTAAGGTGAAACATCTGTACACCTTCAAATAGATTTGTGTTGTTACTAATGATCTGCCCATTACATTGAACATTTGTAACAGTGATGTAATTGTTTAGGTACCCTAGCTTCACCTGGTTTCATGATTTCATACAGATCAATAAATGAATACATTTATGATGGTCCATCAACCAATTAGTCAACACAATTAAGAGATTATACTTGTACATTTGACAATTCATGAAGATTCAAAACATTTTTAAAACTCAAAGTTGTTTATATTGGGAGCCTGAAAATCATTTCCAAAAGAACTGCCTTGTTTTTTCCAGCTATAAACCCATGCTTCTACTAATAAACTCTTAAGGTGAATCACAGTATTTCAAAATTAGAAAATACAATCAAAACAGACCAAAGTATTTCAAGAAGAATAACTCTTAAGCACTAAAGCATTATTTTCACCACATCTGTGTGAAGTGGAGTTGGTGGGAAATGAAAGGAGGGAAGGGAGCAGTCAGACTTTATTTCAGTATTAGTTTAAGGACTAACTGACACATGTGGTAAATTTACTCTGTATATGATACCAGTATTTGTTGTTTTGTAGGACCAGTATCAACAGTGGTTTGTGTCCAAAGTCTTCCTTACTACCAAACATGGCACCAGGTTTGTACCAATCCATCTTTATCTGACAATAAGTCCATCAGCTGTGGTTTGTGTCCAAAATCTTCCTTACTACCAAATATGGCACTGTAACTCAGATGACCGTTAAGGCCATAAGGCCTTTTGTTTAACAAAATAATTTCTACAACATGCTACATGAAGCACTGTAACTCAGATGACCATTAAGGCCATAAGGCTCTTGTTATGTTGTCTCCTCATATTACTCTCCTGCAATAAGCCCACCCTTGACTCTGAATCAGAGATAACCTTGCTGTTTTCCTAGTGTTGTTGGAGGATAGACTCAGTTGGATTCACAGATGAAACTTTTCAACCCATCATTAAAGTACTTTACACCTCAACTCTGAACTTTGTATGTGTCCCGGTGAAATTACATTTCAACACAAGTTTGTTTTGTTACAGAATTAAAGAGGTGAAGTTATCACCATCTATATCCTTCCAGGCAAGACGACGAAACAACCCGGCTTGTACAACTGTTCGTGATGCAGCTGTAGGTGTTACCATTGTGATATGCTAGTGATGCTTTTGAACAAAGTGGATGTGAAATAGTTCATTGAAAGTGCTGTATGGATGGAACTATTTTTTAGTAAAGAAAAAAAAAAGAGAAAAAAAGTTCATATCTTACCAGAGGAAAAGTATGAAATATGACAATATTATGATAGGTGTGTTATGAATGCTCAATATATGCGCTGGTAATTTTGGTACCTCACTGTTTTGCTCTGTGTACATACAGGTCATACATTGTATTAATTTACCTTGCACACACCTTCAATATGATGCATGTATATGTAACACTGGTAAAGGAAATGGACTATTTACAGGTAGTCTTCTATCAGAATATTTAGAGGAATTATTTTAGTTTTATATAAATATACATATGTTCAACTTTTGTCTATGGTTTGTCAAACTTGTTGTGCAAAAGCTTCCTGAGATCGTAAAGAAAATGCATGCCGCATGTGAATGTTACTACATTGTCTTTGTTGTTCTGTTCTGATTTTAAATTTTTTCACAGCCTTAGTCAATATGCAGCATGAATTCCTGTATAAAAAGTACATCCTGAATTCCTTAAAGTCCACTGACTCTTTGTAATTGCTAAATCTCATTGGACCATGCCACATAACCATAGTCTCTTTGTCAGTTTTGTCCTGAATCCCTTTTCTCATCAAATATATGTCTTTATCTGTTGTAATGGTATCCTGTATGCTCCAGTCAGCTCAGATTCATTAACGTTACTAAGTTATAATGATCCTATCTCTGGCCCATCCTGTTATCTGTTGTAATGGTATCCTGTATGCTCCAGTCAGCTCAGATTCATTACCGTTACTAAGTTACAATGATCCTATCTCTGGCTCATCCTGTTATCTGTTGTAATGGTATCCTGTATGCTCCAGTCAGCTCAGATTTATTACCGTTACTAAGTTATAATGATCCTATCTATGGCCCATCCTTTTATCTGTTATCATATCCTGTATGCTGCAGCCAGCTCAGATTCATTACCGTTACTAAGTTATAATGATCCTATCTCTGGCTCATCCTGTTATCTGTTGTAATGGTATCCTGTATGCTCCAGTCAGCTCAGATTCATTAACGTTACTAAGTTATAATAATCCTATCTCTGGCCCATCCTGTTATCTGTTGTAATGGTATCCTGTATGCTCCAGTCAGCTCAGATTCATTAACGTCACTAAGTTATAATAATCCTATCTCTGGCCCATCCTGTTATGTGTTGTAATGGTATCCTGTATGCTGCAGCCAGCTCAGATTCATTAACGTTACTAAGTTATAATGATCCTATCTCTGGCCCATCCTGTTATCTGTTGTAATGGTATCCTGTATGCTGCAGCCAGCTCAGATTCATTAACGTTACTAAGTTATAATGATCCTATCTCTGGCCCATCCTGTTATCTGTTGTAATGGTATCCTGTGTGCTCCAGTTAGCTCAGATTAATTACCGTTACTAAGTTATAATGATCCTATCTCTGGCTCATCCTGTTATCTGTTGTAATGGTATCCTGTGTGCTCCAGTTAGCTCAGATTTATTACCGTTACTAAGTTATAATGATCCTATCTCTGGCCCATCCTGTTATCTGTTGTTATCGTATCCTGTGTACTCCAGCCAGCTCAGATTCATTACCGTTGCTATGTGATCATTATCCTAGCTCTGGCCCATCCTGTATCATCTCCTCGTTTTAAAACTACAACCATTGGAATAGTACGTTCTACAGTATTTCATCATGGCTCTGGCTCTTTCCTCCTCTTTCATTAATCAATTTTTACTCCTCCTATTTCCAGTGACTTGACTTTAAAGCCAACATCTATCTGGTCGTGACCTATGACCTCTGATCTTTGCTATTTTACCATTTCATTTTATTCATTAGGTCTATGGAACTTAATGTTTAATCCATTCACTGCTGTCTAGTTGTCTTGAGACTTGCTCTATATTCCTTACTGTCAATGGCTCTTAATTCACTCCATCACAAAATAAAATAGGATTTTTGTTTCTTGTTGATGAAGTTGGCTGACATTTGTCTTGAACCTGCTCTTTATCACTATCTGAAATAGAGCTTTTTGTTGCCTGTATACTAAGTTTGGTGTCCTTGACCTCTTTTATTCACCAGGTCAAATGGACCAAGATGAGCTGATGCCATGCCATGGCCTCCGTCGAATATCAACAATTCCAAAAATCATGACTAGTCTTGAATGACAGAGTAGATTTTGACCAAATTTGGACCTTAACCCTGCAAAGTTTGCTTTCCTTGACCCTGTGAAGTTTACTGACCATAACCCTGTGATTGTTGTTGTCCTTGACCCTGTGAAGTTTACTGACCATAACCCTGTGATGGTTGTTGTCCTTGACACTGTTAATTATCTGTCTTTGACCTTATGTGGTTTCTCTGACCTTGACCATGTGATGTTATATTACCTTGACCCTGATTTCACACCTTATCACATTTAGTTTGTGTGGTGCCTGTATGTGTGTGTTATGCTTTGTTGTAGATTCCCGACCATAATAAAGAAGTTGAAGAAGCCCTCCTTTCCCACCCAGAAGCGCATGTATGTCTTGTACACCAATGCTCATTTGATGTTATTTTACTATATATGTATACCTTGTAAATACAGTATTAAAATCCTACTAAAAGTGTATTATTGGTAGAAGTATTCTGAATGATTTTGTTTGTGGCAAATTGTCATCTATGTTTTTGATGTATATGATTTCAAATGTCTTAGTTATATCATCAGTGTTTCACTGATGAGAGAAATGGTATTCATGAATATGATACACAATATAACAGAGTATCCTTACTTCAAGTGGTCATTTTCAAGGTTAAAGGGTCAAAAAGTGAACCTTACCACTTTTAAGTTAAAGCTTCTAAATCTCCTGGCTTAACCCTCAACAGGTAGTTCATTGTCACAACATGCTATCCTAATCTCAGGTTCTACACCTGATGATATTGTTTGGTCAAAGTTAAATGGTCAAAGGTCATATCTGACCATTTTCAAAAGAAAAATATTGGGTGATGGAAATTTATTTTAGAAATTCTAGCTCATATTGGTTTAGTTCTACTTATTGTTTACTCTTCATGATGATGAGAATTGTTTTTATGGAACTTTGAACTTTATAACTTTTTTCAGTAGATCAATTCCCAGAAGTTCCTGCTCTAGTACAAGGAGAGTGTGAAGACAGTTAACAGTTGACAATCATTTAACCATTTATAACATGTAATCCATGTTTCAGATGGACGATAGTATTATACGATATTTCATGGTAAAGAAAGTGAAGTACCTATGGAACCGCCATCATCAGACGTTTGAAAAACTTAGGTAAGTTTGATCTTGATATTTTAGATTCTTGATTCATGCTTTAGAAGAAAACAAATCAGCATCTTTATAAAGAACAAATGACCAGTATGGAGCATACTAGCACTGACATACGTAGTGTACGAGATGATACAGAATCAACCAACTTTTTTCACTGCACTATAATCCTTTATACGAAAGGTCGAAAATAGTGCGACGAGAGGGTTAACAGATTATAGACCAAAAATATATACCAGATGGTAACAATGTACTGTAGTCAAATCGGTTACGCTTTGTTTAACACTGGGTCATAGATGTGCTAGATTCTATGGCCCCCCTCGTCTCTATATCATTGACTGGGAAAATTGCAAAAAAGTCCACTGAGAAAACAACATTTCAGACTGTTGGTTAAGGAAGCCATCTGGATACGCTGCAGCAGGCCAGAACATCACAATATTCTACTGGTTGTGTTATAAGAACTTCAATTCTAGGGATGCTATATTGTGTTCATGCTTTGATATATTGAAAGTAATGCCATATTGTGTTAAAACATGGATATATTTCTTACAGGGGTTATGAGGATGCCACATCGTGCTCATACTTCCATGAAACCCAAGGATTGACAGGTGCTGAACTGGAAGAAAGGTATTTTCAATCTTCAATGATTGTACAATATGTGATTCTATCATTTTTATGCTTAGCAGTTTGATTGTTAAGGTTACAGTGTGAATAAAGCTGTGTTAAACATATAATATTATAAAATGTATTTATATCAAATCATACGATATAAAGCAAAGAATTAATAAGTAAATAATATCCAATCATTTATCTCTACTTGAAATTAAAGAAATGTTTTCTGTCTACAGGAGTACACTCTATGTTTTCTGTCTACAGGAGTACACTCTATGTTTTCTGTCCACAGGAGTATACTCTATGTTTTCTGTACACAGGAGTATACTCTATGTTTTCTGTACACAGGAGTATACTCTATGTTTTCTGTCCACAGGAGTATACTCTATGTTTTCTGTCTACAGGAGTATACTCTATGTTTTCTGTCTACAGGAGTACACTCTATGTTTTCTGTACACAGGAGTATACTCTATGTTTTCTGTCCACAGGAGTTTCTGTCCACAGGAGTATACTCTCTGTTTTCTGTACACAGGAGTATACTCTATGTTTTCTGTACACAGGAGTATACTCTATGTTTTCTGTCCACAGGAGTATACTCTATGTTTTCTGTACACAGGAGTATACTCTATGTTTTCTGTCCACAGGAGTATACTCTATGTTTTCTGTCCACAGGAGTATACTCTATGTTTTCTGTACACAGGAGTATACTCTCTGTTTTCTGTCCACAGGAGTATACTCTATGTTTTCTGTACACAGGAGTACACTCTCTGTTTTCTGTACACAGGAGTATACTCTATGTTTTCTGTACACAGGAGTATACTCTATGTTTTCTGTACACAGGAGTATACTCTATGTTTTCTGTACACAGGAGTATACTCTATGTTTTCTGTCCACAGGAGTATACTCTCTGTTTTCTGTCCACAGGAGTATACTCTATGTTTTCTGTACACAGGAGTATACTCTATGTTTTCTGTCCACAGGAGTATACTCTATGTTTTCTGTACACAGGAGTATACTCTATGTTTTCTGTACACAGGAGTATACTCTATGTTTTCTGTCCACAGGAGTATACTCTATGTTTTCTGTACACAGGAGTATACTCTATGTTTTCTGTCCACAGGAGTATACTCTATGTTTTCTGTCCACAGGAGTATACTCCATGTTTTCTGTACACAGGAGTATACTCTATGTTTTCTGTCCACAGGAGTATACTCTATGTTTTCTGTACACAGGAGTATACTCCATGTTTTCTGTACACAGGAGTATACTCTATGTTTTCTGTACACAGGAGTATACTCTATGTTTTCTGTCCACAGGAGTATACTCTATGTTTTCTGTCCACAGGAGTATACTTTATGGTATCAATGCCATCCAGGTCAGCGTCACACCCATTTTCATCCTTCTTATCAAAGAGGTAAAGTATAGACAGTAAATAGATGTTGTTAGGATAGAAGGTTGTCTTTGCCTTTTATTGTTCACTCTTTTACTATAACTTGTAATATCTTACATGTTTACTTGTTGTAATTATAGCTGTTTGTATTACTCACTGACTTACAACAAAGATTAGGGCTTTATGTATAGTCAATCATATACTAAATTAATGGGAAGTTCTCGTGGTTATTTGTGATGTTTAATAAACACATGATGAACAGTTATAGCATTGAAATGTTATGGTATTTATAGCTAATATAATCGACAGAGTTTTCAGGCGATTGTCATGTTGTGCCTCAGGACTTTATGGTGTAGTTTCCAGCAAAGGTCTGTCATTTATATCAGCCATAAATCCCATAACAAGATAGTATAAAGCTACATTTTCAATTTATATTTTACTTTCTGATGTTGTTAATAACACTGGTTAAGTTGTCGAATGGAACAGTATTTTTGTGATTGAATGAATCAGGACATAACTCATTTTACTTTCTGATGTTGTTAATAACACTGGTTAAGTTGTCGAATGGAACAGTATTTTTGTGATTGAATGAATCAGGACATTAACTCCTTGATTAATTACTCTAGATAAACATTGTATATTTTATATGGTTATGACTTATTTTGTTTGCTAGGTGCTGTCCCCATTCTATGTGTTCCAAGTGTTCAGTATGTGTGTGTGGTACTCAGACGAATATTATATCTACGCCACGTGTATTCTTCTCATCACCACCATTTCCATCAATACATCCATCTACCAAACCAGATCTGTGAGTATGATCAACAGGTGCCCAATATCTTATGTTTAATTATCATGTCTCTGCCATTTTAATGGGGAAAAAAATTAAAGACTTATTTTTTGTGGAAATTATGAAACAACATTTACCGTCTCAACTTTTTAAGGTTTTGATTTTATTATTTATATTTTCCTTGAAGTGAAGGTGAAAAATTTATTAATTTGATTTATTCAAGCGTTATGACTGATTATGCAAATCAATATGTTTCTTCACAATAATCTTAATGTTACAATTGTAGCACTGTTTTTTTTCATTGTTAATTTCAGATGCAGCGAGCATTGCGTAACACAATCCAAGCATCAACAACTGTGACAGTTTTCCGTGGCGATAATGAACGTGAGTGTTTATAATTAAAACAGATTTTGTACTGTGTAGAAATGTTTAGCTAGCCCGTCGGCTTATGATAAACATCTACAACCATAGGTGAAATAATTAGGTTGCTGGTAATGTTAATTAAAAATGTTTTAGATATTAATTGTTTATTTATTTTCTCCTTATTCTTGTCATATCAGTCTGGTTCCTTTACGCTCTTACACACAAGACACCTTACCACTCAGTGTCTGATTCCTTGTGTCTTGTCATATCAGTCTGGTTCCTTTACGCTCTTACACACAAGACACCTTACTACTCAGTGTTTGATTTCTTGTGTCTTGTCATATCAGTCTGATTCCTTTACACTCTTACACACAAGACACCTTACTAGCCAGTGTTTGATTTCTTGTGTCTTGTCATATCAGTCTGATTCCTTTACACTATATTTGGTGATTTCTTGTGTCTTGTCATATCAGTCTGATTCCTTTACACTATATTTGGTGCCGAGTCACATCAAAATTTAAGTGATGTCATTTCGTCTTTCTGACGTATAACTGAAAAAAGAAGTAATTTGATTTAAGCTTAAGAATTTGGAAGTCAAACTAATGAGAAAGCGGTGTAAGTTGACTTGTCAGTCTGAATTAGATTGGTTCCCTTTTCAGGGATTCATCATTATTTAATTCACAAGCATGCTTGTAACTACATCTTTTTATTTCTGAAAAATCTTTACATTTTTTAACATCAGAGGATCAGTGTATATTTGTATATCATGATAGAATACAAACTTACAGATTTAAAAAATGGAAAGAAAATTTATCAGTTCAGGTAGATATAGCCTTTATATACCTATCATTAAAATCAAATTTACATTTTGTGATTTATTTCTAGCCTGTAATATCCAGTCAGAAGATCTGATTCCTGGAGATGTCATAGAGATTCCACGTCACGGCTGTATCATGCAGTGTGATGCCGTCCTGGTAGCGGGAAATTGTATTGTGGATGAGAGCATGCTTACAGGTGAATTTATTTACCTGGATAACACTCTGTAAAACATGAGATGACTTTTTGTAAAGAAATGATATGCTTAACCTTGTAGTAGATTGTCTGGCACATTACTTCATCCGTCTAAAGAGAAAGTTCAAACCGATGCAGTGTTCATGGAAACCAAACTATAAATGGAACATTTGCTTTTCTCCTGATCTGCCAATTCTTGAAAGGATTCTCATTCAGAGTTCCAAAATCCATAAAATGTTGGTCTGGAGAATGTCTTTCTCTGCCATCTTCCTGTCTGTTCCTTGTGGAGATCCTGATTAGGGGCGATCTCAACAAGCAATACTTATAAAGTAGTTTATACACAAATCTTTATGTTGATATAGTAAATATTGTTCATTTGGAGTACCCTCATATTGTACTTGTGTGCATTAATATGATATATGTGTACTAGGTTCACTTAGGTGCTATCTTCCTTGAGCTGAGTATATGAGATGGAACTGGTATGTAAAAACACGTGCTGTAAATAAACGTGTTGATGGTACATCTGGCTCCTGGTCGTTCGTTTGTAAAACTTACTAAAATATTACCTGTATATCACTGGAGATGTTCATTTTGTAGGATTGTATGCATGGCAGTTTCCTTATATTAATTCTAATTAATGCATAGACTTGGAAGGTTGTTAGGTGTAAATGTACAGTTATACACAGAGTCTATAGCCATCATGTCTGTGTAATGCTTCAAATGCTGTTAAACAAATTAACAAATGTTTTGACATTGATGTAAGGAACTTCTCTAGTGTAATATTGTTGTCATTTGTACTCACAATGACCTGTACATGTGTATGAAATGACAATTAGAGTGTGTCAACTTCTGTCAAGAGATGTAGTAATTAGGTCATGACCTTATCTTCTCTCACCACTTGTATGTCATTATATAACATTAAAACAATATCAATCTATAGCCATTCTGATCCCAACTCATCATTACACCATCACTGTGTCAGAAACCAGAAAAAAAAACAACATTTCCTTTAAATTTATTGCATATATGTAAGAAAAGGGAAAACATGCTGCGACTAATGTGTTCCATGTAGACAGAAAACAAGTGTTGGGCTGGTGTCAAAACAAAGATAAATTTTAAAATCTTGCAAAAAACATCTAAACGTTGTAAAGGAGGTGGAAGGCCTGTTCAACATGAAGATATTGATATAAACTTGATTAGATAGCTGACTGACAGGTGAGAAGCTGGTATCTGGGAGACAGGAAACGTTATATGCTTTGAGACCCCACATATGCATAGGCTAACAGAAGTCAGTCATTCAAAGCTTCCTATTGGTGGTTTACAAAGTTTTATTATCAGGAAATCTTCTAAACATGTGGTTTTAGAAATTCACCAGACAGTTGCAAGGATGGTATTTTTCCAGCAAGACTCTGATAAAGAGGAATTTGAATGCTTTACTGAAAACGAAGTCCAGGCTGCAAACTATCGTTTGGGAAATTAGAAGGGTGGTGCGTTCGCTCCTGATCAAAGCAAGCTAACAGAAGAATGAAAGTGAAGATAGCAAGGACAGTAGTTCATACGTCAGTCCCGGATGTTAATCTGGTCGTTCATTGTGTAGAAATGTAAATAGACATGTTCTTCAGTGTTGGGATTTAATTGTTCTTCGTTTGGATTTTCCTGTTCCATATTCATATGTATATGTGTGGATATTTAGTACAAGGTTTGTGATCGTAGTCGGTGAAAATCACTGAGAAAAGTGGTGGGACATTTTCACTGGCAAATCTGTGATAACCTAAGGCAATAAGCATGGAACTATGACAAGACTGATTACACAAGTATTACATGATGTTTTGTATTTCTATTTTGTAGGTGAGAGTGTTCCAGTCACAAAAACCCCCCTCCCAAACCCAAAGCTTGTCAAGCCAGGGGATTCCATCACAACGACCTTTGACATCAAAGAACATGCACGTCATGTCCTGTTCTGCGGGACACGTGTCATACAGACTCGTTACTATGGTAACAAGAGAGTGAAGGCAGTGGTTGTACGAACAGGTATACCCTAGCTTATAGACTGATAATCTGATCACCCAGCACATGAAAAAGTACAAGGAAGGTACTTATTCTGTAGAACTTTTATTGTCCTGTAACAAGCTAATCTCTAGAAAAAGATCAGAAGAATTGTCTGAGTTTATGATGAATACACTCGGTATGTGATTTCTGTCCTATCCAGGCTTCTACACAGCTAAAGGTGAACTCGTTCGTTCAATCCTTTACCCCAAACCTGTGGACTTCAAATTTGAGCGTGACACCTACATCTTTGTTGGAGTTCTGGCATTTATAGCAGCTTTAGGGTTTATTTACACCGTTATATTGGAGGTAAGGACTTTCAGATAGATAGAGAGTGTGGGTACAGAATTATGTATGATACTGGAGACAGAGACACTATAGATAGATAGAGAGTGTGGGTACAGAATTATGTATGATACTGGAGACAGAGACACTATAGATAGATAGAGAGTGTGGGTACAGAATTATGTATGATACTGGAGACAGAGACACAGAATTATGTATGATATGGAGACAGAGACACTATAGACTATAGATAGAGAGAGAGTGTGGAGACAGAGACACTATAGATACAGAGAGTGTGGGTACAGAATTATGTATGATACTGGAGACAGAGACACACTATAGATAGATAGAGAGTGTGGGTACAGAATTATGTATGATACTGGAGACAGAGACACTATAGATAGATAGAGAGTGTGGGTACAGAATTATGTATGATACTGGAGACAGAGACACTATAGATAGATAGAGAGTGTGGGTACAGAATTATGTATGATACTGGAGACAGAGACACTATAGATAGATAGAGAGTGTGGGTACAGAATTATGTATGATACTGGAGACAGAGACACTATAGATAGATAGAGAGTGTGGGTACAGAATTATGTATGATACTGGAGACAGAGACACTATAGATAGATAGAGAGTGTGGGTACAGAATTATGTATGATACTGGAGACAGAGACACTATAGATAGATAGAGAGTGTGGGTACAGAATTATGTATGATACTGGAGACAGAGACACTATAGATAGATAGAGAGTGTGGGTACAGAATTATGTATGATACTGGAGACAGAGACACTATAGATAGATAGAGAGTGTGGGTACAGAATTATGTATGATACTGGAGACAGAGACACTATAGATAGATAGAGAGTGTGGGTACAGAATTATGTATATGATACTGGAGACAGAGACACTATAGATAGATAGAGAGTGTGGGTACAGAATTATGTATGATACTGGAGACAGAGACACTATAGATAGATAGAGAGTGTGGGTACAGAATTATGTATGATACTGGAGACAGAGACACTATAGATAGAGAGTGTGGGTACAGAATTATGTATGATACTGGAGACAGAGACACTATAGATAGAGAGTGTGGGTACAGAATTATGTATGATACTGGAGACAGAGACACTATAGATAGATAGAGAGTGTGGGTACAGAATTATGTATGATACTGGAGACAGAGACACTATAGATAGATAGAGAGTGTGGGTACAGAACTATGTATGATACTGGAGACAGAGACACTATAGATAGATAGAGAGTGTGGGTACAGAATTATGTATGATACTGGAGACAGAGACACTATAGATAGAGAGTGTGGGTACAGAATTATGTATGATACTGGAGACAGAGACACTATAGATAGAGAGTGTGGGTACAGAATTATGTATGATACTGGAGACAGAGACACAGAGACACAGAATTATGTATGATACTGGAGACAGAGACACTATAGATAGATAGAGATACAGAGAGTGTGATAGATAGAGAGTGTGGGTACAGAATTATGTATGATACTGGAGACAGAGACACTATAGATAGAGAGTGTGGGTACAGAATTATGTATGATACTGGAGACAGAGACACTATAGATAGAGAGTGTGGGTACAGAATTATGTATGATACTGGAGACAGAGACACTATAGATAGATAGAGAGAGAGTGTGGGTACAGAATTATGTATGATACTGGAGACAGAATTATGAGATACTAGAGACACTATAGATAGATAGAGAGTGTGGGTACAGAATTATGTATGATACTGGAGACAGAGACACTATAGATAGATAGAGAGTGTGGGTACAGAATTATGTATGATACTGGAGACAGAGACACTATAGATAGATAGAGAGTGTGGGTACAGAATTATGTATGATACTGGAGACAGAGACACTATAGATAGATAGAGAGTGTGGGTACAGAATTATGTATGATACAGGAGATGGTAGATTTTATAGGGAAAAATCTAATTCTTGATTGTAATTTCTTTTAATGGAAACTTGGTTAGAAACCTAATCATGAGACAGCAGTTAATGTTATGTACATTTTATATTTGCATTATGTGTACAATATAGTTAAAGTTACATTACTGTTTTATCAAAAATCATTTCTATGACATGTTACAAGAAGCATTGTGACTCAGGTGACTGTTAAGACCCTTGGACCTCTTGGGTAACCACTGAGCTATTTTCAGATTGTATTTATTTGTCACCCATTCATGTTGAAAATATATTCAATCCAACAACTGTTCAATAGCTATAGCTATGTTTTATTTTATGGAATTATTAAAGAGTTTTTCTCCATATGTGTTTGTTTACAGAAAGACTTTCCTGAAAATCTCAATACCTCATGGATTAACATAAAATTTTGATGTGTGTTATCTAAGGTGACATACAAATCAATGATGTAACATAGTTCAACATGACATCAATATGATGTCATATCTACAGTCCTTAGAATACAATCCAGACTGAGTTCATTACATGCAAAATGTAGGTATTAAACGATGATTTACTAATTCAAAGCATGACTTGTAGATTCAGCACGGTGAGGATGCTAAAGACATTGCTCTGCACTCCCTCGATATCATCACTATCACGGTACCACCTGCTCTACCAGCTGCCCTCACCGTGGGGATCATCTTTGCTCAGCGTCGCCTGAAGTCTCATGGCATTTATTGCATCAGTCCTCGTGCTATTAACATCGCTGGTAGTCTGAATGCTGTGTGTTTTGACAAGGTAAGCTGAGCTCAAATACACATCATATATGTAAATACATTTTCTTAATGACAAACATTTCAATATGAATTTTTTTTTATTTATTTCACAACAATTATTTCAACTTATCTTAATCAGTCTTGCTGGACCAGCTTTAAGCGTGCGAGAGGTTTTATTGTGGAAGGAGTCCGTAGTACACAATGATAACCAGTAAAAGTATGTGAAAGATCATATTGTCTGCTTGAAGCTTCATTTGTAAAATTTGGATAATATTTTTTATCACCTTCTGATGTCTAACCATTTATTGTAAACGTTCTCGGATAGACACCAGACTATGTTCTGTTTTACAGACAGGCACTTTGACTGAGGATGGACTCATGATGCAGGGTATTGTTCCCTCCCAAGATGCTTGGTAGGTATACAATGTCATGTGTAGAATTATTTTACAATGGTTTACACATATAAATAGAAATATTTCCTTCTCTAGCTGAAGAAGGACAACTCTTGTTGACTTAATGTGTGTAGTTGTCTTAACACTTAGGTTGTGCCATGTCATGATCAGAACAAAACAGTTTCAAATGATCTCCTTGTGACAATTTTCAGGGAGGTGATTTAGGAATGTTCTTGCATATAATTTAGCACTTAATCTTTGTCATAATCTAGCAGTTTTATTTTATAACAGGTTTTGTACTGCACTTTTCAATCACAACTCAATGTGAATTTAAGACTACTAGAGCTAACATCACCATGACTACGTGTCAGCATTGTCTTCCCTCCGGGATTACTATCACACTTCACACAATTACAAAACACTATTATATCTGAGGTAAATTCAAATTTCAGAAGTAAGGTAACCATGACTACTTTTAGAAATTCCTTGTCAGCACTCTGACGTTGCCACTCCCTGATCTTGATCAGCATTGTATACTTTACCTACTGAATACCTTTAGTTGTGGACGTAGATCTTGCCATGAAATCTGACTTCACAACAGAAAAAGGGGAAAAATCAGAAAGTGAACTCCACAATAAGAAAAAGTAGTGAGACATGATACAAACATTTTGTGATGGAGTGGCTTGTGATACATCATAAAATTAATCAGCATTGTAAGGCAATGAAACAGCAAAGAGGATATCACAATGAAATTATTTTTAAAGTTACCGATTAATGATTTATAATTCAGCTGTTTTTATGCCCCCGCCCTGTCGCGTCCCGTCCCGTCGCGTCCCGTCCCAAATCAGTATATACCACCTAACAACTGCATTCGGAAGGCAATTTTCATGAAACTTCATACAAATATCAAGTATGGAAAAACCTCATGCAGTGTTGAATTTCTCGGCATTCTAAAAAAAGATGGCCACCAGGGGAGATAACTCAAAAAAGAGGAACATCATCTTATTTCTACATAATTTGGTACTTGTGGGTTTTAAGGCATAAGGAACTAATATACTCCCTCATTTTTTCCAGAGAACAAAATTCCAAATTCATGTACGTTAAATCAACTTGTCAATTTAAGTATGAAACTTAAGTGGTACATAGTTGCATACAAATTAACAAAATCATCTCTTTCAGAACTTTCACTATTATTTCACATGGGGGGGCAGGGGCATTCATGTCTTACAGACATTTTCTAGTTTTATCATGTTTTCAGTTTCCATGATGAGATCCGGGATATGTGTGAGGTTACAAAGGGATCATTACTGGTGTGTATGGCTACGTGTCATTCACTTACCAAGATAGATGGAACTCTTAGTGGGGATCCACTAGACCTCATCATGTTCTCGTCAATTGGCTGGGTAAGGCTTTATCTTACTTCTGTACCTGGTGAAGGGTTAGCTACTCTCATCTCAGATCATTCTAAACCAGGATTCATTCATCAGTTGAATAAAGATTTGGATTTCTTTTCTTTATGTATTGAATCACTGTAGATCTATATACACCCAACATTCAAGTATTAGCTAAAGTAACCTGTTGATTAAGTTACACAGCACAAGGTCATTGCTGAAACTTGTGAGTGACATTGGCACCATATGTCCTCTATATGTAAAATATACAGTGCAATTTTGGTTTTGGACAATATAAAATAATCCTGTTAGAAAAACAGAAATCTTGGGTCTATGTAACGTTTTATTTAGACAGGTTTTAGGTCACACTTTGAAAGATGTTTTTGGTGAGAGGATCATAATGATATTTCATATATTTTTTGATGTATGAACCATCTTCCCTGTGATTTTGTATGTGAAATCACATCAACAGTCACCTGTTAACTTAAAAGCCTGTAATTCTGTTGAAAGGATTTGGAGGAGCCAGGCCTGGAAGAGTCCAGCAGGTTTGATATGATGGTGCCCACTATTGTCTATCCCTCAAAATCACCAGATGTCCTCAAGGAAACAATTGATTTTGCTGAAAAGGTATTGAGCTTTACACCATTCATAACCACTGATAATGAATAAGATTTAAACAATCCCCCTGATGACAGATGATTGTTAAGATTTACACAATCCCTGAATATAGATGATGATTTAGATTTTAAGCATAAGCTATTTAATGACTCTTCAATGATATGATGTGTTTGGTTAAATATCAGATATTCTTGACATTTGTCTGATAATGAAAAACATGATACATTGCCTTCCTGTATATAAAATGTACAGTACTTGACATGGTATGCGATTATAGATGGATCCACATCCAAAAGAGGAATACGGAATCCTGCGCCAGTTTACTTTTACCTCTAGTCTACAACGTATGTCCGTCATCGTCAGACAGCTACAGTCTGCAAACTTTGAGCTTTATTGTAAAGGTGCCCCAGAGATGATCGCCCGCCTCTGCCGGCCCAGTACAGGTAAAGTGACAACAAAGATTTACGTTGCTTTAATGTGATTACACAGTAAGTAGTGGAAAACGTTTAGTATCTCTTGCACTGTTTGAAGTGCTTTTTTATTAAAGTAGCCTTTAACACTGACTCTACATGTAGTTATATACTTTAATGTAAAACTAAAGCTGCGACCCGTAGCAATTACCGGTGTGATCAAGTGTAGCTATAGAAAAAAATAGTTATTTCACGATTTATAAAATGGGAATGATAAGTTAGTTGTAGAAAGGCCAGAGAAAGATTTTCATTCGTAAACAGTGGAGAGAGCAAGTTTCATCACTCTCCTTCATACAATCACAACATGACTTAAAATTGCTGGCAGGTTTTATAGAAATTTGAGCTTGTATGTAATCTTTGTCTCAAAGATTTGAAATTTTAATACTGGAAAAGAAAATTTAAAAACATTATTTCATGATTTCTTTCACTGACAGTGTTTTATGAAATGATCTTTATTCGTTTGATTTTCAGTACCTGACAACTTTCAAAGTGTACTGAGTTCCTATACACAACATGGTTATCGAGTGATTGCTTTAGCCTGGAAACCACTGTCATCTAAAATTAACTATGTCAAGATACAGCGGATGCAGAGGTGAGGTTGATTTGTCCAAGTCTCTTGGAAACTGCAAAGCAACAGCCATCCTTTCTCTGATGTATAAATTTTTTTCTTATAGACAGCAGGTGTAAATATGTGAACTGTAAGATCTTGTTGGATTACATAGAATCTTGTTGTGATGTTTGTTGTTATCACTAGAGAAGAACAAAGGTCTTGTTGTGATGTTTGTTGTTATCATTAGAGAAGAGCAGAGGTCTTGTTGTGATGTTTGTTGTTATCACTAGAGAAGAACAAAGGTCTTGTTGTGATGTTTGTTGTTATCACTAGAGAAGAACAAAGGTCTTGTTGTGATGTTTGTTGTTATCACTAGAGAAGAACAAAGGTCTTGTGATGTTTGCTGTTATCACTAGAGAAGAACAAAGGTCTTGTGATGTTTGTTGTTATCACTAGAGACGAGCCAAGGTCTTGTGATGTTTGCTGTTATCACTAGAGAAGAGCATGGTCAGCTGGATTCTGTAACATCATGCAATGCAACCTCCATTCTGAACTATTCTGACGTTCTTTCAACTTATATCAGTTCTGAGTTAATGCAGGTCAGAACTTCAGCCCTATGTGAAGTGAGGGAAGTAAGTGACCCTTGCCTGGGTCGGCATTCAAACGTTGATTGTGTATATCACATGGATTGACAGGTTAAATCTTATCTACAATATTTTCAAGCGGGACTTGTCTCATGATAACAATACACTCTCTAAATGGACAATTTCCCCACTGTACTCTGTTTTAATTTATGTTTGTCATACACATGCCTCCTCTAGTTACACCCCTATAGTCTTGCCACTTCTTGCACATGTGCAAGCATTCAGGCAATAATGTAAACAAAGACATTTTTCTCTTCATCTTCCATTTCACTTCTGTGCCATTTATATACGGGATGGAGTCGTATATCAAGATTATGACTCTGAAATAATTCATTTAAGATTGAAAAACAGCAAATGTTATCTAAGAACATTCATTTTTATAAGTGAAATTAACCTGACAGCATAGGTTTGTATATATATGTCTAGGTTGATTTGTTATATTAAACATCATAACTTTTTAGGAAATACCTTGGGTATCGTGGGATCTCGTTCAGTAACCTGGTTGAAATCCTTCCCTAATTTCCATCAGAATATGGGTAGGCATGGGAAAAAATATTTAAATAATATTATATGTTTACACTGAAGTTTGAAACAATGACATTGGTATCTGCTTGTAGAGCAGACCTTTCAATCCATTTGCAATATACATGTGAAAATGGCAATTTCTTTCCACAGACTTGGGTCACATATTTCCCTTACTTAATATAGGGTCGGAGTTCTGACATTTATCAAATCCAGACCGATATAAAAAAGTTGGTAGAATTTCAGAACAATTTTGACCACCTCCATTCTTAACTTCGAGTTATAAGATGTTATACAGCTTGTAATGTGTAAATATTTTTATACTAAATACATGATTGATGTTGTAACTCTCATTGTTATTTCTCTGAGTTATAAGATGTTATACAGCTTGTAATGTGTAAATATTTTTATACTAAATACATGATTGATGTTGTAACTCTCATTGTTATTTCTCTGAGTTATAAGATGTTATACAGCTTGTAATGTGCAAATATTTTTATACTAAATACATGATTGATGTTGTAACTCTCATTGTTATTTCTCTGAGTTATAAGATGTTATACAGACTGTAATGTGCAAATATTTTTATACTAAATACATGATTGATGTTGTAACTCTCATTGTTATTTCTCTGAGTTATAAGATGTTATACAGACTGTAATGTGTAAATATTTTTATACTAAATACATGATTGATGTTGTAACTCTCATTGTTATTTCTCTGAGTTATAAGATGTTATACAGCTTGTAATGTGCAAATATTTTTATACTAAATACATGATTGATGTTGTAACTCTCATTGTTATTTCTCTGAGTTATAAGATGTTATACAGACTGTAATGTGTAAATATTTTTTATACTAAATACATGATTGATGTTGTAACTCTCATTGTTATTTCTCTGAGTTATAAGATGTTATACAGCTTGTAATGTGTAAATATTTTTATACTAAATACATGATTGATGTTGTAACTCTCATTGTTATTTCTCTGAGTTATAAGATGTTATACAGACTGTAATGTGTAAATATTTTTACATTTTTGATGTTGTTGTAACTCTCATTGTTTTTTCTCTAGGATATTTCTGTACCTTTGTCACAGAATTTATGCTTCATTTCATTGAACCGACAGAACTAGAAGAATATAATGTGAGAAATTCTGGAATATTGTTACGACTCAATATGTCACTGCTAATAATATATCAGTGTAAACAGAATCATTAACAAAACTTAATTGCTTTAATTGTGACTGACAAAGTTTGGAAAATTTTGTAGAAAATTCTGGTCATTGGAAAAAAACTCTTTATACCTAGAGTTATTGAGTCGGAAATGTCAGCTGAATGATTTCTAAATTAGAGTCACCAATGTGTAATGTATCGTCTTTGTTCCTTCAGAGAACAAGTAGAAAAAGATTTGCTGTTTTTGGGACTTCTTGTGATGGAGAACAAGTTAAAACAAGAGACAACACCTGTTATCAGTCAACTTCGTGAAGCTAACATTCGCACCATCATGGTAACAGGTGAGTGAACTAATCACCAGTTGTAGGTCTTTAGTTACCTTTTATCTGGCAGTGTAAAATTACTTCTTAAGGTTGAGCGTGAACTTTATCAAGATGATAGAAATTTAATTTGTAGTCAAACTTAAAGTATGGTTACAAATTATTGATGAAAATGTGAAAAACTTGCATTGAATAAAATACAAAAAGACCACAGTAAGATTTGATTATGAGAAAGTTTCTCTGTTTGTTGTAGGAGACAATATTCTGACTGCCCTGAGTGTGGCGCGGGAGTGTGATATGGTAGATCCCCCAGACAAGGTTATCTTAGCTGAGGCTTTCTATCTTCCTGAGGACACTACACAGTCAAACCCACAATTAGAGTTTGTGTACGCTGATGATCGGAACAAGAAGGTGGAGGAAGTATCTACTGGGGAGGTACTTTCATCTTTAGGCTCTTATATGAATTTTCATTTCATATGTAAACAGTGTAATAAGTTAAGTATTTGTAACTCGTTTGGCACTAAGTGTCAGACAGAGGCTTAGAATTTGTAACTCGTTTGGCACTAAGTGTCAGACAGAGACTTAGAATTTGTAACTCGTTTGGCACTAAGTGTCAGACAGAGACTTAGAATTTGTAACTCGTTTGCCACTAAGTGTCAGACAGAGCCTTAGAATTTGTAACTCGTTTGCCACTAAGTGTCAGACAGAGCCTTAGAATTTGTAACTCGTTTGCCACTAAGTGTCAGACAGAGCCTTAGAATTTGTAACTCGTTTGCCACTAAGTGTCAGACAGAGCCTTAGAATTTGTAACTCGTTTGCCACTAAGTGTCAGACAGAGCCTTAGAATTTGTAACTCGTTTGCCACTAAGTGTCAGACAGAGCCTTAGAATTTGTAACTCGTTATGGTCAACTCTTATCATCTTTACAGCATGTCGTAGAATTATATACCAAACTTTTGGAGTTTCATTAATCACATTAATCAGAAACAAAGGAATGGTGCCAATTTTTGCCATTTTGACGTGGAAAGCTCTTCCTGCAAGATATAAGTACTTTCATTGAATGGCCTAAGAATGACCCAGATCAGCTTGGAATGGCTCAGATTGACTCAGATTGACTCAGATTGACTAAAATGGAATAATTGAAGTGATACATCAATGCCAAATTCCCAAAATTTGCAATTTATTCCTGAAATTTAGTTCCCAAAATGATGCAAAAATATCCTATCCCAAACCAGTGAAAAAATGCCCAGTTACAGTACATATTTCTTGAAGGAAAACACCTTAATATAGAACTTTGTGGATGAAAACATAATAGCAAAAATAAGTGTTGAATTCAGGAAGATATGCTTGATTAGGTGGTTCAGTAAGATTTAGGCATAGAGTTCTATAATGTATTAAATATCATGTTCTGTCTTTTTTGTGAGATATTTGTTGTTGCTGGATTGAGAAAAATGTTATTACTCTGTTTGCAGAACATGACCATTCAAATAGATGACCCATATGACAAGTTTCATTTTGCTGTCACAGGGAAATCATGGAGCGTTCTTCGTCAACATTTCCCAGAAATTTTGCCAAAGGTAACACATGAGACAATATGTTTCTGTTTTCTCTGTGAAGGATAATTTTGATACCTTTGTAACATATTAACATTGGTTACCAAGTAGTATTAAGTGATAAAGATAACTTTTAAACTGTTTCACTTACCTTTGATACCTGTCCAAAGTCCACCAGATTTTAGAGTGATAGGATGCTTTATAGGGTGATGGGATGCTTTATAGGGTTATCAGGGGAAAAGTCCTTATAATCAATTCTATTACATAGGGATGTATACTTAGATTATGGTGTATGTTATTTTTAACATTCTTTTGGCTATATTAGATAATGAAATTGATTTCAGAATTTTTGAATACTGATCCAATTAAAGAAAAGTCAGATGATTGGATCTTTATGATGATGTAGGCTGGTCATGGTATGGCCATTATCCTATAGTCAGTGTTTAATTCCTGCACTGAACACTTTAATGTTAATGTATTACTGATGGAATACTTCTCCTAACAAGTTATAATAAATCAGTCCATCTGTTGTAGATTGTGGTGAAGGGAACAGTATTTGCTCGAATGTCTCCCAGTCAAAAGGCACAACTTATAGAGGTTCTTCAGGAAGTTGGGTAAGTGAGATGTGTTATAACATTTTTGTATGTTGTGACAAAAAAATTTGAAAAACAAAAAAAAACCAAAAAAATCCAAAAAAGTTGAATATGTTTGATGAAGGCTCTTCAAGAAGTCTGGTAAGTGTAATGTAGGTTTTACAAGAAGTCAGGTCAGTGTTGATAAGGTTCTTCAGGAAGTTGGTAAGTGTAAATAATGTTCTACAGGAAGTCAGGGAAGTGTAAATGAGGTTCTACAGGAAGTCTGGTAAGCGTAATGGAGGTTCTACAGGAAGTTGGTAAGCGTAATGGAGGTTCTACAGGAAGTTGGTAAGTGTAATGGAGGTTCTACAGGAAGTTGGTAAGTGTAATGGAGGTTCTACAGGAAGTTGGGTAAGTATAATGGAGGTTCTACAGGAAGTTGGTAAGTGTAATGGAGGTTCTACAGGAAGTTGGTAAGTGTAATTGATGTTCTACAGGAAGTTGGTAAGTGTAATGGATGTTCTACAGGAAGTTGGTAAGTGTAATGGAGGTTCTACAGGAAGTCTGGTAAGTATAATGGAGGTTCCACAGGAAGTTGGTAAGTGTAATGGAGGTTCTACAGGAAGTCTTGTAAGTATAATGGAGGTTCTACAGGAAGTTGGTAAGTGTAATGGAGGTTCTACAGGAAGTTGGTAAGTGTAATGGAGGTTCTACAGGAAGTCTGGTAAGTATAATGGAGGTTCTACAGGAAGTTGGTAAGTGTAATGGAGGTTCTACAGGAAGTTGGTAAGTGTAATGGAGGTTCTACAGGAAGTCTGGTAAGTATAATGGAGGTTCTACAGGAAGTTGGTAAGTGTAATGGAGGTTCTACAGGAAATCTGGTAAGTATAATGGAGGTTCTGCAAAAAGTCATTGTAAATGATGTTCTACAGGAAGTCGTGTCAGTGTAAGTAATAATATTTGAATTAATACTGTTATCTACTTAAATGATTGACAGTATATTGATGACCTTATTGTTTCTATTGACATCTGATATTGTCCTGAGTAGTATCATGTATATCATGTTCAGGACCTTGGTAAGGTTGACCTTTGTCCTAAATTTTCAAACTTCTGTTTTAGGTACTATGTGGCCATGTGTGGTGATGGGGCCAATGATTGTGGGGCCCTGAAGACTGCCCACACTGGGATTTCCTTGTCTGAGGCAGAGGCTTCAGTAGCATCTCCGTTTACATCAAAGACTCCCAATATCCAATGTGTACCTACAGTTATAGCGTATGTAGAATTTTTGTTCTTTTTCTTGTTCTTGCTGTAGTTTTTTGATCAGTTGATCTAGAACTGATATAGCTTTTTCTATGTTACAGTCGAGGAGAGCTGCCTTAGTGACATCCTTTTGGATATTAAAGTCTTTTTCTATGTTACAATCAGGGGAGAGCTGCCTTAGTGACATCCTTTGTGATGTATATGTCTTTTTCTATGTTACAGTCAGGGGAGAGCTGCCTTAGTGACATCCTTTGTGATGTATATGTCTTTTTCTATGTTACAGTCAGGGGAGAGCTGCCTTAGTGACATCCTTTGGGATATTTAAGTACATGGCCTGTTACAGCCTTACACAGTTTATATCTGTCTGCCTGCTGTATTGGGTAAGTAGTATGACAACAAATAGGAAGAGTTTTACTTTTATATGGAATTACCTATATACACTGGAACAATTACAGCAGCTTGTGATTCCAGTAAGTAATTATCCAGCCACTTGTCATCCCAATTGATAACCCAGCCACTAATTATCACAGTAGATAATCCAGTTACTTGCTGTCCCAGTAGATAACCTAGCTATTTACTATTTCAGTAGATAATCCAGTTACTTGCTGTCCCAGTAGATAACCTTGCTATTTACTATTTCAGTAGATAATCCAGACACTTGCTGTCCCAGTAGATAACCTAGCTATTTACTATTTCAGTAGATAATCCAGTTACTTGCTGTCCCAGTAGATAACCTAGCTATTTACTATTTCAGTAGATAATCCAGACACTTGCTGTCCCAGTAGATAACCTAGCTATTTACTATTTCAGTAGATAATCCAGACACTTGCTGTCCCAGTAGATAACCTAGCTATTTACTATTTCAGTAGATAATCCAGACACTTGCTGTCCCAGTAGATAACCTAGTTATTTACTATTTCAGTAGATAATCCAGACACTTGCTGTCCCAGTAGATAACCTAGCTATTTACTATTTCAGTAGATAATCCAGACACTTGCTGTCCCAGTAGATAACCTAGCTATTTACTATTTCAGTAGATAATCCAGACACTTGCTGTCCCAGTAGATAACCTAGCTATTCACTATTTCAGTAGATAATCCAGACACTTGCTGTCCCAGTAGATAACCTAGCTATTTACTATTTCAGTAGATAATACAGGTATTTATTTTAATTTTAGTATATATTGCAGAAAGATTGAATTATATTTTAAAACTGGACTGATCTGTTTCATGGTATTTTTCGTAATTAATACAGTAAACTGTTTCCAGATTGGGGCCAACATGACTGACTTTGAGTTCCTGTATGTGGATTTGATTTTGGTATCTACACTCAGTATTACATGTAAGTATCCACCTTCCTCCAAGCCGCCTCAGTGGCTGTCACATCATCATCAAATTGTTATTGGACGATACCATATGACACTCTTAATACCTATGTTGTTCTGTTTAGTTGGTAGAACAGAGGCTCACCCAAAGCTGGCCAAGGAGCCACCTCCCTTCAGACTGACGAGTCTACTGCCAATCATGTCCCTAGTCATACAGATTGGAATTCAGATGGCTGTTCAGGTGTTCTGTTTCTATCACATACAGACACAGCCTTGGTGAGTAGCCTAACTCTGTCCCAGTGACAGTACATGTAGTCTGATTGTGTGTCATATCTTTACCTACAATTGTTTATTTTCACATTTTAAACATCAAAAGTTTTATGATGAATTAGAGACAGAGTTGTCTTCAACAAACTTTTTTTTGTCATTGTGGCCAAAGGTTACTGTAAAAACATACATAATGTGCACAATTTTTTTCTTCTTCTTTTTTTGAGAAATTAAAGGTTCAAAGGTGGAGGAGGGTGGGGATGCTCACATTGCATTATTTTTAGGGGGCATGAGTGCTTACATTGAGTTAATTTGGGGGATGGTGGGGTGGGGGGGGGGGTTGCATGGAAAAATCTTGAGATTACCATTATTGATTGTTGAAGTTGTACACAAAACTGACACAAGAAGAATTTGACATTTTATTTATGAGCAACAATAATGAAAATGAATAAGATAATATCTTGATACAAACAATCGGAGTCAATAATATCCAAAATTAGACATGAAAGTAAATGTAATTTGTGGAGATCTTAATTACCTGGTTTGGTCATTAAAAGGCAGATAGCTACTGTAATTACAATACTGAACACTGTTGATTAGGCCTAGTGTGAAGACAAGTGTTTGTGTACATAAGATAAATAAATCATAGATAAGTAAGTGTAGAATAAAACGTAACATGTCTGATGGCAAACAAAACAAACAAGAAATGTACAAACACGGGAGTGATTGATGTTCTTCAATTGTTTTGTACCTACCATTAAACAGAAGAAGGTAATTAAAATTCAATAAATGAGATAAAACAAATTTTGAAGAGAATACTTTTAAGTTTTAGATTTTGTATGGTTGGTCGGACGTTTTAGCTGAATATTATAAGGTCGGTTTGTTGACTCCTGGAGTTCTCTTTTGACTGGATTTCTTGGAGCACACATTATGCAGCAGAAGCACATTTTTATTGTTTTCAACCCAAAAAAGTAGATGAGCACATGATGTAGGTGCACACGTATGTGTATGGTATAATCAGAAGATTTCTGACCCATATTCCTATGTAGATGTATGGACCTGTAGCACATGTTTCTGTGACAGAATTTATTTCGCCAAAAACATCTACCCCACCCCAGGACTCCAGGTTTTGTTTAGGGCTATTTTAGTAAAACGCTTATCCCATCCCAGGATGGTTTATTTTTTTTAGTCTATCCTAGTAAAAAACATCTGCCCCACCCTATGACTCTAAGTTTTGTTTAGGGTTATTCCAGTAAAACATCTATCCTATCAAAGGACTCCTGTTTTTGTTTAAAGGTCACTGTCCATAAAATTTAATTTGATAATTTGCTTAGAAGTAAAGGCAGGAAAGCAAACCTTGGCTAGAAATTATTTACTTTTGGAGTCAATGTATTCCTGGAAAAGCCTAGTGTAATGTTATACCATTGTATACAAATGATTTGACCTGTTGGTAAAACTGTCCTGTGATTATTTACCTTTACACATATCGACCCTGTCCAGGTTTAAACCGTACCAGGAGAACCCTGATGATGACTACACAAGTTATGAGAACACAGCCGTGTTCTATGGCTCAGCCTATCAGTATATCATACTGGCTGTTGTATTTGCCAAGGGACCACCGTACAGAAAACGACTTTTTACAAATTGTGAGTGTTGTCCTAGATGTATTAAGGCACTGGTTGTCAGTCCTTCAGAATATTTCACTTTCTTGTGTTTCTACAGAGCAGACTCAGTATTCTTTAAACCAATCCCATGCTTGATTAGGAATTCTGAGTTAAACCCAGTGATCAGTCTATAATTTATTTTTTGAGTCCTTTTAACTTTATTGCTAAAAGCAATAGGTCTCACAATGTAAAACTTAAATAGTTTCAGAAATTCTATGAGTTGACCCCTCAAAATTCCCTGAGTATAGGTATCAGGACTTGTACATAGACTTATCACTGGAAACCCAAGTTTCCTGTAATTCATTTAAATCACCTACGACAATGTTCAGATAAAAGTTAAGGTACCAGTAATGGGATAAGCTTCTGTCTTCAAATCTCTGGGAGTTATCTTATTACTGATATGTAGTTGTTATATGGAATAATAATGAACGTAGCAAGGATATTGTATTTCCATAGTAACCCAATCAATATGTCATTTCTGTACAATCAAAACAATGCTGTACTACATTATATCCTACTTATGGTTTTTCAGATTTATTTTTGGGGAATATTATCACGTGTACTTTGCTAACAATGTGGTTGACCATTTATCCACCAGAGGGAGCTCTAGAATTTCTAGAGGTAAGTGAAGTGAAATATGGAGATTATTGGTGTTGTGTACAAATTACAAAGGCAGTGGGCTGTTTATACCATTTTTAGGGTAATTCTAGACAGGTTATGAATAAATACAGGTTATTAAAACACTGGTCAGTTTGGACTGGTTAGGTTTTGAAATGTTTGTAATTCAGAAATTGTTTTGGCTGTTACAGTTGATGCCACCAGACTCCATCCCGTATCGTTTGTTGTATGTAGGTGTGGCTACCGCAAACCTTATCCTGTCACTCCTGTTGGAGGTGAGTCGTCCAATCACTTTATTGACCATGATTTTCAGGTCTGTCCATTCATCTGTACTTTACCAAGTTTTATTTCAATTCTCAAAACCTGACCCCAGCCCCCCCCCCCTCCCTCTTCTCCTTCCTCTACCTCTTACAGAGTAACATTTTCTAAGTGTTCATTCATGTTTTTTTTCTCTCTTTTGTTGTTTTAGATGTTTGTGCTTGACAGCATTTTTGTACGAAAGAAATGTAACTATTATGCTGAAAAGTGGCTTACCCTTGGCGTCCACCGCTACACTCAAATTGAGGAGGAAATTGATGGCTGTCCTGACTGGCCTCCAGTGAGTCCATCATCTACTAGTCTATCGAACAGTTTTATTCCACTGGAAAATCAATTATCCAGAATTGACCCTAAAGATAATGATCATATGCTACCACCGGACACAGACACAGAAACACTGAGTATGAAGTCTCAAAGTTCCTCTCCTCTAAAGTCTGTGTCTAGTGTTGAGGACTGTCTGCTGGACGAGGACAGTATCAGCAGTCAGCTTGACCTAGGGCAGCCATTACTCAGACAAAGTTCTACAGAAGGATCCTAGCACTCGCCACATATCAAACTATTGCTGCTGACTCGTGAAAAAGTATGTTTAGGCTTAAAATGGCCGAACATCTACAGAATTTATAACAGTATATCAATTTGTGGACTTTTGTGATGTATACAACACTTGGGATTTAATAATGTGAGATAAGCAGTTTAATGCAGTTTTACAGGTGATATCATAAGGGAAGAGGATTTCTTATAATAAGGATTAAAATCCTTTAACTTCTCCGTTATTAGGGTAAACTCTTTGTTTCATTAAGATAAGGATAAATTACAATTTATACTCCAAAGCTTATACATTATTATACTGGGCTCTGTTTTACTGTACAATAAGGTATCACAGTTTCATGTGGTTGAGATGCTTGGTATTTACTTTACCTCTTCATACAGACTAATATATTATACACACAGCAAATTTACCATTTATCATTCAGACTTCTGTCTAGTAATTTGCTCTGTAATGTAAAATGTATTCTTTGTCTCATGTGTGTCTGGTCTGGGTGTGTGACTGCCTGGTCAGTGTATGTAACTGCCTGGTGTGGGTATGTGACTGCCTGGTGTGGGTATGTGACTGGTTTGGGTATGTGACAGCCTGATGTGGGTATGTGACTGCCTGGTGTGGGTATGTGACTGGTTTGGGTATGTGACAGCCTGATGTGGGTATGTGACTGCCTGGTGTGGGTATGTGACTGGTTTTGGTATGTGACAGCCTGATATGGGTATGTGACTGCCTGGTGTGGGTAAGTGACTGGTTTGGGTATGTGACAGCCTGATGTGGGTATGTGACAGCCTGGTGTGGGTATGTGACAGCCTGATGTGGGTATGTGACAGCCTGGTGTGGGTATGTGACTGCCTGGTGTGGGTATCTTACAGCCTGGTGTTGGTATGTGATAGCCTGGTGTGGATGTGTGACAGCCTGTTATGGGTGTATGACAGTCTGGTGTGGATGTGTGACAGACTGGTGTGGGTATGTGACAGCCTGGTGTGGGTATGTGACAGCCTGATGTGGGTATGTGACAGCCTGATGTGGGTATGTGACTGCCTGGTTTGGGTATGTGGCTGCCTGGTGTAGGTATGTGACAGCCTGGTATGGGTATGTGACTTCCTGGTGTGGGTATTTGACAGCCTGGTCTGGGTATGTGACAGCCTGATGTGGGTATGTGACAGCCTGGTGTGGGTATGTGACTGACTGGTGTGGATGTGTGACAGACTGGTGTGGGTATGTGACAGCCTGGTGTGGATGTGTGACAGACTGTTGTGGGTATGTGACAGCCTGGTGTGGGTATGTGACAGCCTGATGTGGGTATGTGACAGCCTGGTGTGGATATGTGTGAGACTGGTCATTCCTGTTGACCAAGTTCATATCTCTACGTTTATATTTTTCAATACAATAAGCAGTTTTTTACCCTCCTTGCTAATCAGTTTTCCATTTTCTCTTTGCTTTTTTTTTTGTTATGCAATGCACAGTCATTTTCTGCTTTTTGTAGCTTAGGGCTCCCTCATTGAACTATGTACAGGATGTCGATCACATAGCATCCAGAGCAATAAGGGTAAAGCGTTTTGTCCAAGTATACAACCATTTCAGCACTGACCAGTCTCTTTCTCAGCTTACTGACTCAGCTTACTGAGGAACACAACCACCACACGTAGCAAGTAGGACACTTTGAATCTCCTTACTGACAAACACAACCACCACACGTAGGGAAGTAGGACACTCTGAATCTCCTTACTGAGGAACACAACCACCACACATAGGGAAGTAGGACACTCTGAATCTCCTTACTGAGGAATACAACCACCACACGTAGGCAAGTAGGACACTTTGAATGTCCTTACTGACAAACACAACCACCACACGTAGGGAAGTAGGACACTCTGAATCTCCTTACTGAGGAACACAACCACCACACGTAGGGAAGTAGGACACTTTGATTCTCCTCCTGTGGTCACAAACCCCATTGTATTAACTGACTGAGATATTACAGCCTTGTAATCCAACAGTATGGACTCTATAACAAGTGACGTAGAAATGGTACAAACATGTTTGAGACATTCAATGGAAATATTTCAGTTTTCTAGTCATTTTGGTGTTACATAGCCAGTGATTCTGCTGGTAGTATTCCATCTACCCCTAATGGCCTTCGAGCTTCGAGTGTTCCTGCTACTACAAGTCACTGATGCCATCCTTGTTACAAGTCATTAGTAGTGTTCCTGCTACTACAAGTCACTGATGCCATCCTTGTTACAAGTCATTAGTAGTGTTCCTGCTACTACAAGTCACTGATGCCATCCTTGTTACAAGTCATTAGTAGTGTTCCTGCTACTACAAGTCACTGATGCCATCCTTGTTACAAGTCATTAGTAGTGTTCCTGCTACTACAAGTCACTGATTCCATCCTTGTTACAAGTCATTAGTAGTGTTCCTGTTGTTCCTGCTACTGTAAGTCACTGATGGCATCCTTGTTACAAGTCATTAGTAGTGTTCCTGCTACTACAAGTCACTGATGCCATCCTTGTTACAAGTCAATAGTAGTGTTCCTGCTACTACAAGTCACTGATGGCATCCTTGTTACAAGTTATTAGTAGTGTTCCTGCTACTACAAGTCACTGATGGCATCCTTGTTACAAGTTATTAGTAGTGTTCCTGCTACTACAAGTCACTGATGGCATCCTTGTTACAAGTCATTAGTAGTGTTCCTGCTACTACAAGTCACTGATGGCATCCTTGTTACAAGTCATTAGTAGTGTTCCTGCTACTACAAGTCACTGATGCCATCCTTGTTACAAGTCATTAATAGTGTTCCTGTTGTTCCTGCTACTACAAGTCACTGATGGCATCCTTGTTACAAGTTATTAGTAGTGTTCCTGCTACTACAAGTCACTGATGGCATCCTTGTTACAAGTTATTAGTAGTGTTCCTGCTACTACAAGTCACTGATGGCATCCTTGTTACAAGTTATTAGTAGTGTTCCTGCTACTACAAGTCACTGATGGCATCCTTGTTACAAGTTATTAGTAGTGTTCCTGCTACTACAAGTCACTGATGGCATCCTTGTTACAAGTCATTAGTAGTGTTCCTGCTACTACAAGTCACTGATGGCATCCTTGTTACAAGTCATTAGTAGTGTTCCTGCTACTACAAGTCACTGATGCCATCCTTGTTACAAGTCATTAATAGTGTTCCTGTTGTTCCTGCTACTACAAGTCACTGATGGCATCCTTGTTACAAGTTATTAGTAGTATTCCTGCTACTACAAGTCACTGATGGCATCCTTGTTACAAGTTATTAGTAGTGTTCCTGCTACTACAAGTCACTGATGGCATCCTTGTTACAAGTTATTAGTAGTGTTCCTGCTACTTCAAGTCACTGATGGCATCCTTGTTACAAGTTATTAGTAGTGTTCCTGCTACTACAAGTCACTGATGGCATCCTTGTTACAAGTCATTAGTAGTGTTCCTGCTACTACAAGTCACTGATGGCATCCTTGTTACAAGTCATTAGTAGTGTTCCTGCTACTACAAGTCACTGATGCCATCCTTGTTACAAGTCATTAATAGTGTTCCTGTTGTTCCTGCTACTACAAGTCACTGATGCCATCCTTGTTACAAGTCAATAGTAGTGTTCCTGCTACTGTAAGTCACTGATGCCATCCTTGTTACAAGTCATTAATAGTGTTCCTGTTGTTCCTGCTACTACAAGTCACTGATGCCATCCTTTTTACAAGTCATTAATAGTGTTCCTGCTACTACAAGTCACTGATGGCATCCTTGTTACAAGTCAATAGTAGTGTTCCTGCTACTACAAGTCACTGATGCCATCCTTTTTACAAGTCATTAATAGTGTTCCTGCTACTACAAGTCACTGATGGCATCCTTGTTACAAGTCAATAGTAGTGTTCCTGCTACTACAAGTCACTGATGACATCCTTGTTACAAGTCATTAGTAGTGTTCCTGTTGTTCCTGCTACTACAAGTCACTGATGGTATCATTGAGGTAGCGTTCCTGCTATAAAAGGTGTGAAATTGATTCTTTGTAAATTGTAATATTCATATGACAGACTTAATTCTAAAGACCACTGTCTGATATTTGATGAACGCAATGCTAGTCAAAATCTTTTACATGTACAATGACCAAAGTTAAACAGCCTAGCTTAAGACTGTAATCAAAATACATATATTCAATCTAATCAAATCAAAGGCTTTACACTATTTGCTGAGTGAGTCTGTCTGTCTGTCTGTCCGTCCGTCCGTCCGTCCGTCCGTCCGTCCGTCCGTCCGTCCGTCTGCTTAGGCCCATTTCTATGAAAACGGGAACAAGTGCATTTACATGTGAACATTTCGTAGCTCAGTATTAATAACCCATAATACACCATTAGAGTAACAGAATTTGTATATATATATTGTCCGTCATAGATCTGACACTTTACAAAATACTGGTAAATCAACATCATATGACAGAGGTAAACATGTACATTATACTACGTAATTCACTTTACACTAAAATATTTTTGAGTTAAAATGAAACCAACATGAAGTTGATATATGATATTGATTATAAGATTGATGGTTAAATTCTCATGTTATTTAATGACTGTGAAAAACACACATTTTTTATTTAAAGCTTTTGTTGGAACCACAAACATTTGATCCACCTTGAAAAACAACAACAACAATAATATTGAGGCAAATTACATCAATAAGCATGGTATAATACTGTATATACTGGGGATGTAGTTACCACACATAATGGAGGTGTTCGGGTTCAGATTAGGAGGTGACGTGTTACATACTGTCTTGGAATTAGAAAACCACCATTATGTCTTTATTTCTTGTGGGAATGGATTTTTTTTTTAATTTTTTTTTTTTACTTTTTTTAAATATTTTATTTTATGTATCATTTTAACATGCCATTCTCATGCACAATCCTTATTATTCACATACTTACTAACCAAAGATATATTTGTTTATACATCATTTGTTTGATGTATTCTGTTTTGGTATTATTTATTTGTGTGACTGTACTAAATATGTGTTTTGTAAATTGTTTTAAGTTATTACGAATTAATAATCATCCATTTTATGATCTGGATTTTTTTAAACATTACTTTACAACAATTATGAAAGCAGTTTTTGCAACCTTTATTAATCACTCTTGTTGGTCTGAATGGGAGCATGTGAAGGGTCTTACTTTGGGAGGAAACCAGAATACGCAGGAAAATCTACAAGGTCAGACAGATGACCCCCCCCCCCCCCCCCCCACTCCCCCATACCTTTTCATGTCCATTCCAGGAATAGAACCATGTGTGTCTAGGTGAAATGTGAGTGTGTTACCTCTAGCAACACAACCACATAGGTGAAATGTGAGTGTGTTACCACTAGCAACACAACCACACAGGTGAAATGTGAGTGTTAACACTAGCTACATAACCACACAATTATAAGTGAATACTGTTATTGTACTGTCATCACTTCTAGGTAAGTGATATAATATAGAAGTGTCTTCCACAGAACACACACGCATCGTTATTATGGTATCAAAGTTCACCTCATTGGAGTCAGCATGAAGGTACATCCGTGTATTAAAAAATCAGCATTCAAATTTTAAAATTTCCATATTGTAGATTGTAATTAAAAGAAAAATATTCAAATCTCTATGCTTGGCTCTAATGGACTTTGTTACAATTAGTGCTTAGGACCAAATCTTTGGGTATTGAAAATAAGAATTATGAAATTTAGTTTTCTCTTGAACCATGAAGTAAAATATTTACTATCCTCGGGATATATATCTAGGATTTTGTAAATGATTATAACTATACCAATTAATATTATGTGTGAATTTAAACAGAAATTCTTGAATGACCTGTGGTGTACTAATCAGTAATGTTGCTAGGCAGAGTCAGTAATTAACAAGATCTTTGGGTATTTACCTAGATTATAAACAGAAATCAAATCATTATTAAGATGGTATGATTTAGGTATTATGAGCTCTGTAGATATTACAGAAATAAAAGATTGTTTTATTTTAATTTTGTTGGCTGCGGCGATATTCTGACATGTTTTAGTTATAAACAGCATAAACTCAATTATGATTGTTCAAACCTCATTTAACAAGGAATCATTGCTTGTATCATTGACGGGGCATGGTTTAGAACATTTGTGTGTAAATACTTGGTTTTGATATGTTTTTGTGATGTTTGTAATGTATGACCTTATAGAAGTGCAGTTATATTCTTTAGCTTGCTCCGGTGAAGCATGACATCCATTTGGATTGTATTATAATTTGCATAATGAAATTTTATGTAGTGTTTATTTGCTAAGCAACACTGATGATATGAAATTGTCGCGAGCATTGATATTATAGACAGTTTCAGAATCTGTCAGATGTTTGAAGTATTATTTATTTGATGATGTTTTTATACATCCATGACATTTTGAAACTATTCGTAGCTTTATGTTCTAGGTTTTGGATGTAATGTTGCTTCTCGTCCTCTTGCCATTCCATAAGTTTTTCTTTTAACAAGAAATTAATTATCCAAGTGTAGGAAGATTTGTTAACAAGAAATTGGTCACCAGTTGTTGGAAGATTTTAAATCTGAAAATATTTTATTTTTAGTGAATGATATTTTTCAAAGCAGTCAAACCACATCATAAACAACATTCAAACTCACTTAACTTGAATACTGTGTTATCTTGAAGTTCTGCCATGGTCCCCTGAGTTCAAGATAACAAAGTTTGACTGTATTTTCATGATCAATATTTGATATTGGCTGTATCATACAGGAACATTTGTCTGCTGTCCCAGTTTAAAACTTGCCTTATCAAAGGGGAGAAGCTGAAGTACTGAATATAACCTTAACACTGATCTGATATATATATTGACTGATTCAAATGAGAAAATCATTTTCTTAAGTAAGTTTTTTTTTAAATTTTTTTTGTATTCCCTTCTTCAAAATCCTGGGAAGAGTCTTGAAAGTCTATTCTGTTCTTTGTTCTGCGTTCCTTGTCTTCAATTCTTCATTGTTTTTGCTTCCTGATTTCACACACACCTTGTATGTATTACCACTGTATGGTACACCATGTACCATTACCCTTGCCCAAGGTCAGAGGTCAACGTTTGTGATTCAGAGACAGATCTGGCCTAATATCACCTTGTTTTAGGTAAATCTTATTTGTTACACAGTTATTACCTCCAAAGAGTGTGCTGCATTGTACCTAAAGTCATGGTATAACCTACACTGATTTAATGTCATCCAGGGCAATGTCATTGTTTCACTTCATTTTCAGAGACTGACAGAGAAGTATTTTCTGTTGTAAATAGGAGCATCAATGTTTTTGCAATACATGTATATTTGAAATAACTTTCTGCATACATATATTTAAAAAAAAAATTGTATATTCTGTACGTAAAATTTATGTTTATAGAGAGCTGTTAAAGTTGTATCTCAGCAGTTCATGTATAAATACGTTTTTATGAATTTGATTCTGGAAGCTTAACAGGTAAAATCAGATTCTAATTGTTTTAATTAGGGGGTTTTAATTCTATCATAAAAAAGCAAATTAAAGAATATTTAGTGTTTAATTAATAGAAATATGATTAATTACTTCAGCAGTGTAAACAAAGAAATGCTTTACAAAGCATAAAATATATATTGTTTATCCTCTCATCTCTCTTCAGCCCCAAAATATTAAATGAATGTTGAAAATTTGAAGTCTTCTTGAATTCAACATGAATTTAACTACAGGTAAATCATATCCATTAGCAATCTCAATTCTCTGCCTAAGTTTATCGGAATTTTCATGTTTTTATAACAATTGGAAACAATCAATCCCAAATATAATTGAAATAAGTTTCTCACTGGTACCCTAAAATATTGTTAAAAGCTATCACTGGTACCCTAAAATATTGTTAAAAGCTATCACTGGTACCCTAAAATATTGTTAAAAGCTATCACTGGTACCCTAAAATATTGTTAAAAGCTATCACTGGTACCCTAAAATATTGTTAAAAGCTATCACTGGTACCCTAAAATATTGTTAAAAGCTATCACTGGTACCCTAAAATATTGTTAAAAGCCATCACTGGTACCCTAAAATATTGTTAAAAGCTATCACAGGTACCCTAAAATATTGTTAAAAGCTATCACTGGTACCCTAAAATATTGTTAAAAGCTATCACTGGTACCCTAAAATATTGTTAAAAGCTATCACTGGTACCCTAAAATATTGTTAAAAGCCATCACTGGTACCCTAAAATATTGTTAAAAGCTATCACAGGTACCCTAAAATATTGTTAAAAGCTATTACTGGTACCCTTAAATCTTGTTTAAAGCTATCACTGGTACCCTAAAATCTTGTTAAAAGCTACCATTATTTAAATGTCACCTGAATCATATTTACTATACAAGGTGACCTTCACTACCAAATTACCATTTTCTTGATCATTAAGAATAAATCTTACCTATCTCATCAACACAGATGTTGTTAACAATGAGAATTTCCTATTTCCCCAGAATTTACAACACAGATGTTGTTAACAATGAGAATTTCCTATTTCTCCAGAATTAACAACACAGATGTTGTTAACAATGAGAATTTCCTATTTCTCCAGAATTAACAACACAGATGTTGCTAACAATGAGAATTTCCTATTTCTCCAGACTTAACAACACAGATGCTGTTAACAATGGGAGGTTTCCTAGAGTTGACAACACAGATGTTGTTAACAATGGGAGGTTTCCTACTTCTCCAGAATTAACAACACAGATGATGTTAACAATGGGAGGTTTCCTATTTCTCCAGGGTTAACAACACTGATGTTGTTAACAATGGGAGATTTCCTAGAGTTAACAACACAGATGTTGTTAACAATGGGAGGTTTCCTAGAGTTAACAACACAGATGTTGTTAACAATGATAGCTTTCCTATTTCTCCAGGGTTAACAACACAGATGACATAGATAAGAATGGATACAAGAGTTAAAATAAATATATATAAGATAACAATATATCACAATAAATATAACAGATAACAAAAGATTGTTTTTCCAAATATGAAGGGTTTTTTAGGATAATTGTATTATGAAAGGAACTTTTTGTATTTAAGAAAAACATTGTTATTACAACAGTAAAATTTTGGTTTTTCCTATTGTTGCGATTCAACATGGAATATTTTGTTTTTATATGTTTCTGACACAGAAGGAGGTAGATAGCATTGACAGGTCACCACTGATGTGATTATTGTATAGGATATGGCAATATATGATTACATTGTCCTTGTGAGAAATGTTCAATTCTAAACCTTTGTGTAACTAGAGAATAAACTTACCTGTACACAAAGTTATCAGTCCCGTAACACAATGCAAAGAATATTCAAATGTTTTAAATTAAATTGTGACTGCCAAAAATGTATTGTAGTACTGAATATCAGTATGTACTTTAAATGTATCTTTTATCTACAAATAATTATCATGGCTGTTCATTATATTGTTAAGGAAAGTTATTAGTGCTGCACTGGGAACCAGAGCTGACTAGTTTTGTCTGTCCATCCTTCCTCTATCTCATCCAGGATCTCTCTCATACACTACATATCACAGGTCACTCTGACCAACATTTTTTACCTTTGACCTTCATCACAGAAAACTTTTGTTTGAACTCTATCTCCTACACTACTGGTCACTAAAGCTTCTTACTTTGGGTACATGGTCCCCTTGGCTAGTGTCATGTATCAAATGTTGGTCACTCTGATCAATAATTTGACCTTTGACATTCATCAAAGAAAAAGATAGGCGATATCTCCTACACTACTAGTCACAGGGCCTTCCTACTTGGTGTATGGGTTCATCCTGACTGGGTGTCAGGTTCACCTTGACTGTGTGTCACCTTGACTGTGTGTCAGGTTCACCTTGACTGTGTGTCACCTTGACTGTGTGTCAGGTTCACCTTGACTGTGTGTCAGGTTCACCTTGACTGTGTGTCGGGTTCACTTTGACTGTGTGTCACCTTGACTGTGTGTCACCTTGACTGTGTGTCGGGTTCACCTTGACTGTGTGTCACCATGACTGTGTGTCAGGTTCAACTTGACTGTGTGTCACCTTGACTGTGTGTCGGGTTCACCTTGACTGTGTATCGGGTTCACCTTGACTGGGTGTCAGGTTCACCTTGATTTTGTGTAAGGTTCACCTTGACTGTGTGTCACCTTGACTGTGTGTCAGGTTCAACTTGACTGTGTGTAAGGTTCACCTTGACTGTGTGTCACCTTGACTGGGTGTCAGGTTCACCTTGACAGTGTGTAAGGTTCACCTTGACTGTGTGTAAGGTTCACCTTGACTGTGTGTCACCTTGACTGTGTGTCAGGTTCACCTTGACTGTGTGTCACCTTGACTGTGTGTCGGGTTCACCTTGACTGTGTATCGGGTTCACCTTGACTGGGTGTCAGGTTCACCTTGATTGTGTGTAAGGTTCACCTTGACTGTGTGTCACCTTGACTGTGTGTCAGGTTCAACTTGACTGTGTGTAAGGTTCACCTTGACTGTGTCACCTTGACTGTGTGTCAGGTTCACCTTGACTGTGTGTAAGGTTCACCTTGACTGTGTGTCGGGTTCACCTTGACTGTATGTCGGGTTCACCTTGACTGTGTGTCACCTTGACTGTGTGTAAGGTTCACCTTGACTGTGTGTTGGTGGGGGACTAATGCCCTGAGTTGTGTTGTTTTAATGTAGTGTTACACTTTCCTTACTGAATATTTTGAAGTTCATAAAGGGTTTTCATTCTTTTATAATTTGATATTTTAATTTTGTGTTCATTGTCATATAGACATCTTTTTCAGTATTAGGTGACATTATTAAGACCATTCCTGGATGTTTTGATCTGTTCTCTGTACTCTTTTTCCTGACGTCAGTTCTGGTTTTTGTCTGACATTGATAAGGTGCTATATCAGTGTACCTTTATATTGGTTTTTTATTAAGACATCTGTGGGGTTTTAAACTTGTACTTTTTATTGATATGACATTTTAGCCATGGGTAGAAATGCTTATGAGATAATTATCAAAACTACTTGAGTGCCATTGTCTGTTATCAAAGCTACTTGAGTGCCTGTGTTTGTTACCAAAACTGCTCGAGTGCCAGTGTTTGTTAACAAAACTGCTTGAGTGCTGTATTTGTTAACAAAACTACTCGAGTGCCAGTGTTTGTTAACAAAACTGCTTGAGTGCTGTGTTTGTTGACAAAACTACTTTAGTGCCAGTGTTTGTTAACAAAACTGCTTGAGTGCTGTGTTTGTTAACAAAACTACTCGAGTGCCAGTGTTTGTTATCAAAATTGCTTGAGTGGCTGTGTTTGTTATCAAAACTACTCGAGTGCCAGTGTTTGTTAACAAAACTGCTTGAGTGCTGTGTTTGTTATCAAAACTACTTGACTACCAGTGTTTGTTAACAAAACTGCTTGAGTGCTGTGTTTGTTAACAAAACTACTCGAGTGCTTGTGTTTGTTATCATAACTACTGGAGTACAAGTGTTTGTTAACAAAACTGCTCGAGTGCTGTGTTTGTTATCAAAACTGCTTGAGTGGCTGTGTTTGTTATCAAAACTGCTCGAGTGCCAGTGTTTGTTAACAAAACTGCTTGAGTGCTGTGTTTGTTATCAAAACTACTTGAGTACCAGTGTTTGTTAACAAAACTGCTTGAGTGCTGTGTTTGTTAACAAAACTACTCGAGTGCCTGTGTTTGTTATCATAACTACTGGAGTACAAGTGTTTGTTAACAAAACTGCTCGAGTGCTGTGTTTGTTATCAAAACTGCTTGAGTGGCTGTGTTTGTTATCAAAACTGCTCGAGTGCCAGTGTTTGTTAACAAAACTGCTTGAGTGCTGTGTTTGTTAACAAAACTACTCGAGTGCCAGTGTTTGTTATCAAAACTGCTTGAGTGGCTGTGTTTGTTATCAAAACTACTCGAGTGCCAGTGTTTGTTAACAAAACTGCTTGAGTGCCTGTGTTTGTTATCAAAACTACTGGAGTGCCAGTGTTTGTTGATATCATTAAAATGCTATTACCTAGCATTGTATGTTAAACCAGTGTTTGAAGGGTGAATTAATTAAAAAGTAGTATACATTAAACATTGTCGGTTTTCATTTATTTCATTCTTTTGTTGTGAAATACCATGAAAATTTAATTGAAAGTAGGTATTTTCACTGCAATGAAAACAAGTTTTGATATGTTTGCTGATTTTTTACAAATCCGATCACTGCATTTACAGTGAAACTATCAACTCTGTCGGATTTGATGATTCATATCTTGGATGTGAAAGTATACACCCAGTGATAAAGAGCACACCTACAATTACTGAAAACTGTAAAAACAAATTGATCAGTAGAACACCAGTATATACAATGTGATCAATAAGTGTACACTGTTCTTTACATGCAGGTCAAGGTTGATCAAGTATTATGGAATATCCTGTCATGGATTTATCGAAGAGATCAGCAAAACAGGTCATAAAAACTTTGTAAAGTCTGTCTGAATCAATTTAACCTTTAAGGTATTGATGACGTCTTTAAATATCTATATATATATATATATATATATTGACCACGTCCATTGTATACACTCACCAGAAGTGGAAATCAAAGACAAAACAGACTCTTCTATTCGACTCTTATTCCTAACCTGAAATCATCAGTTTTCTACCATGCTTTATGATAACTGTTATGATTTTCAGTTTCCAATGAAACTGGACGTGTTTGAGACTTGTTAGAAAACCTGGTGATTCCGTTGTTTTATATCTATTCTGCATTGGACATTACTTACTTGGATTGACCAAAATTTCCATCACAGGTGTCAAAGCAGAAGACGCTTACTCTTCCAAAGCAGCTGGTCATATTATTTTTCTTTAATTCATTATAATGCCCGAAGTCCGCCGAATTAGAGTGTGAATTATGATTCTGTTGACATATCGATATTTACTTATATTTGTTATTATTAGCTTTTAACACGCTGACACAATCAACACTGTATTTCAATGTAGCAATATTAAAGGGAGACAATTCACAAAGACCAAATATAAAACCTTTAATTAAAGTTTGCTGTGTTGACATATGACGTCACTATAGAACCAAGCATACCGCGCTGCTGTCTGTCTGGAAGTGTAGTTGGCACAATAGCCAATGTTCACGTTCAGTTCCTTATTAAGGGTGAAAATATTTATGAAAAATATCGGCATATCGTCCACTGCTATCCTCGTCAGACTTGGAAACGAAACCAGTCTGAAGTTTTTTTTCAGTTCCGGTTTTACCATATCGTCAACCCTGGAGAGGTTTGTAAGGCATATCACAAAAGGGGATTTCCCTCTTACTGGCTGTTCCCTTAATTCATTCTCTGCTTCCTCCTTCATTATTTCGATAGGTTTCCCGGTTGACACGATATCAGAAATTTTGTCTGCGCATTGCTCGGAAAGATTCCAGAAGTTCATTGCAGACTGTTTGTGCGCACGTCGCAGAGGAACGGAAATAGTTAAAGGAATATGAATTGCAGCACATCCGGGATAGTCCTCGAACATTGTTTGATCTGTAACGTAGCGCCTGAGGTTGACCATGATTTCAACAGGAACTACCAGGCGATCAATGTCAACAGGGAGGGTTGGCTCCAGCAACCGGGCTAAGGACATACAGGCCGCGATGATACAAGATGACGTCACAGTCACGTGATTCTCCTTGTTGCTCAGTAAAAATTTCCTGGAATGCCCCTCTGTAAATTTGAATCTGATGTTGCCAGTGGATTGTTTATGTGTGTTAACAAGATTTGAAATTTCAGAGTGGCAGCTGTTGTTATAGGCATCAAGTGCTTGAATAGACTTTCCTGTGCACGAGCGTGTCGTTTGCGCATTAGCATCGCCACCTGTTTGCATGAATATACCGCTATTTTTTCTTTGTCGAGGACGTCGTTCGACTCTGTCGTCAGGAAATATTACAGGTAGAATATTTTCTATCGGTGGCAAAAACAGTGACTTCTTCATTGCCGATAATGCACTGAAACGCCCATTCTGAATAAGGTGAATAAGTTCTATAAAATCTGTGTATATCTTCTGTAGATAAATCCCATCAGCAATGGCATGATGGCAGCTAAAGGCGAACACCAAACTGTGGTTTAAAGGAGGGGTTTCTACGTTTGTGCTTGCTTTAATATCTGGATCAACAAAAATGATTCTCCAAAGAGGTCCATTTTCGTAATCAAATGATAAACGCAGGGCGTTGGCGAGGATTTCCTCGTGGTTGGTATTCTTCGTCACCCGTAGATCCATCGTACACTTACCCATTTCTAGGAAATTGTAACAAACACTGTCTCTACACTTGTTTCTTCGAATACACATACGCAAAATAGGATGCTTCTTCATCAGAAATACAAGCGCTTGTCTGACATTGAGTTGAGTCACTGGCGCGCACGTCCTGAGAGACATGAGCTGGACTATAAGGTCCATTCCTCGCTGGTGATAGAGGTGGTACATGGTCTCGAGGGGCCCAAGAGGACGGGACAAACGGGGAACACATCCGGGGCTTTTGTTTCGCGATAACTCTGAAAGGTCTTCCATACTCATTTTTAGCACGTTACTCTGAAAACAAATGAAAATTTGAATAACGTAATAAAAACCCAAATACGTAGGAAAGGACATGAGTCGCACATGAAGCAAGGAGCAATGAAGGGTCAGTTAATTATTCGTTTTGAAGTTGAAACATCGGTCATTGATATGTATTTTTTCCCTTTTTTCGTCAGAATATCCGTCTTTGTTTTACATCATAAATAACGATTGCTCATGTGAAAATTTATTGGTGTTTGGATTACAGTGAGCCCAGTTGTGACATATAGTTTGGTAAACATTATGAACTGGTGTGTTAATATCAGGATAATTGAAAGTTAACAGAAGTGAAATATACCTATATTGATTAACAAATTTGGTAGTGTAATGGTGGAACTTCAAGTTCTTGAGGATGTATCCTGAAAACTCGAAAATAAGATTTATTTCATTTAATAGTATGCAAATGTAGGTTTATTCATATAAGAATCTACAGGCTTATTTTCAGGAAAGGCATATTATGAGGTTAGATAATTCTATAGATAATCTCATACAACTACGTTACATAAGTTTAGGAAAAAACTGAGTTTAAGGAAGTTTCACTGTAATGCTTTCATATGAGCAATTTTAGCTAATTAAAATTCCTAAAGTTAAGGAAGATTCGTGACACTGGGGCTTGGTTGTCTCAGAATGACAAAGATTCGTGACACTGGGGCTAGGTTGTCTCAGAATCACAAAGATTCGTAACACTGAGGCTAGGTTGTCTCAGAATGACAAAGATTCGTAACACTGGGGCTAGGTTGTCTCAGAATGACAAAAATTAAGTACAAAGTACTAGTATTAGAAATAATCAATTTGAACGTGACCCTTTAATAGTTAATTTTTCCACCTATTAAACTAAAAAAATTAAATTAGGTTATGTTAAACGTTCACTGTTTATTAATTACCCGTCTAGGTGCAATAAAATATTGGGCAAAGCGGATTTTCCCCGGAAAAAATCATACAGAAAGCATTTTCTCAATATTGAATTTGCTCTAGGTATTCAGATTCTCCTTTGCAACCAGTCACTGTACATGTTAGTAACTTACGAAATCTTAAATCAAATACATCATTCATTTAACTTACCCGTCAGCTGTCGATAGTGTGGCAAGTGGTATCTTGTGGCACTGTCCTCTGAAAAAGTTGAGAAGCATTTTTTTATAATTCTAATGGGTTTTTTTCCTATAGAAAACGTGTACAAGATTAAACATCAACTTGTACTTTAAAATTTTGAACATAGACTTGTTTTCACAGAAACATCGGATTCCTTGTTGTGAAATTTATAGATTTATAATTTATAAAGAAAGACATTGAAATAGTTTGGCTAAATTAATAAACTTGAATAAATTCCCAATAAGAATTTCGGTTCTATGCAAATTCAAATTTAATGAGTTCTGCGAAATTGGATATAATATCTTAATAAAAATGTTGTAATCGTGTTTCTCACTATTACAAATATGTCGTTAAAATTGATTAATGGTAACACAGATCAATGCTGCTTACAAATGGTACGTATTTAAGTAATAGTTACATGATAGGTACATAAACAAGATTGTACAAAACACACGTGAATAACATCTTTACAAATTTAGAATTAGACAGAAATCGAATAAAGAAGTCCTTTTAGGCGTGTCAATGATGGTCATATATGACTTAAATTGACGAAACCTAGGAGGCAACTAAGGAAAATTAAATTGCCAGAAACCGGGTTTTAAGGTGCACTAACAAAAATGACACAAATTTCATTATATTTCCAATATTGTATAAATTATGTAAGTTAAGTACATGAACATATTCTTAAATGTACCACTATTCTAATGAATTAAGGTTAGGGTTATTTGAATTAATTCAATATACAGTATTTAATTTAGTCAATACGCTTACCTGATATCACGTGTTTATGAGGAAATAATAGCGTCCAGACATGTTCAACAATTCACAAGCTCATGCATATGAACATGCAAATCACGTGCTTACTCAGCAGAATACCGTTATCTTCTGTGGAAATTTTTTTTTCAATATGCCGTTGTTTATATTTACGATAATAAATAGATCCATGCTCTTTTGGCATTTAATTAATTGTCATACAGTCTGATAATGCAGATATTTTTATGTCCAATTAAATCAATATAACACCACCATTAGTTAATATCCACGTGAAATGTGTCGACATATTGTTATATAATACAGCTATTTGGAAGGAATCTCTATCTGATATCACAATTATTAGACTTGTCTTTAGATAAGCTGCCGGGAGGAGAAGTACAACATCAATTCAGCTAGACCAATACACACAATATGTGGAGTTTCTTCACGTAATGAATACAGATGTAGCAGTGTTTAGATCGAAATCTGTATAAGAGGATTCGTCAATAAACCATCAGAACTGAGAAAGTCTTTTATTATCTTAACGATAAGTGCACCAAGTTACTGTGTGTACCTCTAAAACATAAAACAGGAGTTTTCTTTAGAGTCTATCTTTGATTTATCAGCTTGATTACATACAATCAAGGTCAAACATTTAGAAGATTACAGTTACTTTTATAAGATTAATACAGATATATACTGATGATTTATGGAAAGATGTTGTCGAACACAACCTTGATCTACAGTGCATATGATACACCGAATTCTTATGTTGAATCGGTTGCACAACAAGAGGCACATAGGGCCTGTCTTGCTCATGTTGATATTAGAGCAATGATATCAAAAGAATCATCTTGTGTTCTGTGATCCTAACACAAGATCACATTGTACATTAGAATTGAGATATCTTGCTTGTATTTGTGCATACTCAGGTTTTCATGAAATGTGTGTTCTGTTTTAGCAAACTTAACCCCCGTAAACCTAATTATTATCCATTCGAGAAAAAACTGTAGCAGTATATTCCTGCTACCTACTTGCAGGTTATCAGGAATATGAATCTCCTGTATTCAGAAATACGTCTGAAACGATTTAGACAAAACTGACCACAATGACCTTGAAAATAGGTTGATTATCCATATGATGAAACTTCATAGCAATCTATGCTAAGAACTTACTGAGCAAATATTATAGAACATGAGATGAACCACTGTGACCTTTATAATATTTGAAGGTCATATATGTAATCAAACTCTGCAACACTCCATTCTACGTAACTGCTGGCAAAGCATCAGGACTCTGGGTATCCTAGAAGTCGGAAAGAAGATTCATAAGTGGTCTTGAAAAGAGGTCAAGGTCATTATATCATTTTTAAGTGAAAACTTTTCAGATGTCCAAGCCAGGTACTGTGTTGTAAAACATTAGGACTCTGGGTCTTCTGCAAATTAAGAAGACTCTTAAAAGTTTATAAACATTTGACATACGTGACCTTGAAAATAGTCCAAGGTCATTAATGCTCCACCTTTGGTACCTGCTGGGTTGGCGCCGTTAAAGATTCTTAAACATAATTGCCCTTAGTCTTTAAACCAAGATACCTCCTAGTCAAATATCAATGATCAGTTGAAGGACGAACGACGGAACCATCTCCATAGCTTAAGGCACTGTCACTTCATACCATGGCAGCTAAAAATGTTCCTTCTGGTTGACCTGTTTTAATTTTTCAAACGTTGCAATAAAAGGTGCGACATATCGTTTTTTGTACATTCCTTTTAACAGTACCCACACAAGTGTTTATTTATGGCCATTCAAACGGAGCCTAAACACATCTACGTTAACAGTTAATCAGCATGAAAGGCCATATACATGTCAGAAACTTTGATGAAATTATTTGATAAACTGATTTATGAGTTTGGTTTTTATTAACGCTAACCATCTTACGTGTTGAATTAACCTTGGCTTTATGTGTGATAACGATGACCTCTAAAAACATAGTGTATACGATCAGGCATAGAGATAATGCTATTTATAGACAATTCATCATAACGTTACGCGTAATGCCGATACATCTATGTAGGGAAAAGTCACTGTAAGAAGGGATTGTAGAAAACAATCATAAGTTTAAAACCCTTTAATAACCGACTTAATAATAAAAACAACACAATGTTCGATAGAACTGAATTATATTTAGCTATGTAGTCCTTCTAGAAATAAAGTAACCGGACTAACGAAGTGCCCATTTTGAAGGGTGATGGGACAAGGAAAATTAACAATCATCCAAAATAAACATGTTGATATACAGAAGTGGGCTAATCCCGTTATTAGTTTGGTAAATGGTGGATCTAAGATAATCTAAAAAAAAGAACGCTGAGTAAATGTGTATAAATTACTAGTCGGTGTCACTACTCGTTAAGATTCAGTGATGACATTTTGGGTTATGGCAAACCCCGCAGACTCAAATGTCAAACTTTTACAGCCAGCAATCTCAGCGAACTGTGCTGAGGACACAAGTACACACGCTTCCAATTAAGACACAAATATGATAAAAAGGGAGATAAAAAGATGATAAACTGCTATATTGTTTAGTAAGAAACATGTAGAAGTAACACTTTATGTTTTCCATTCGTTTAAGACCAGATCTGTAACAGGGGCGCATAACTCTCATGAATCTCTACATACGACTGTCAGCAATAAAATTATTGATAAGAAGTTCTTCCCCTGTAAATTGGTTAAGTCCCTGACTTTTATTATTTACAAAACGGTAATAAATTCTTCGTAACAAGTTAAAAAAAAAACATTTTAAATGATCAGATGGATCCTTAAAAACTAAGAATTTAAACACAAAATTATGTTTTAAAATTTATTCTTTATAAATCCTGTTATGTAATATACAATGACACAGGGATGATATAGTGAAATTTGATATTCATTGCACTGACAAAATGACTTAAGGCAGAAATAATAAAAACAATAACAACCTTTTAAAAACTGAAAACGAAAACGATATTCTAGAGAAAATCAATTAAATCTAATCGATAATAAAGACGATTTTCCTATTTGACAATAACGGACTTTATGCCCAACCCTGCTGATTATATTAAATGGACAATGTGAATTAAACTGCG